TTGTTGTTCCTTCACCAGGTGGTCGCCTACCATCACTTGCCTGTCCAGATGGACTAGCATCTGCGCCGCTTGGAACTTCTGCATTCTTCGGGCATGTCTTGTAAGTATGGCCGCGCAGATCACACTTGCTGCAGCGTAAAGTCCTCCCACCTGCTTCTGACTCATCCATATCATTTCTGATGCGTCTAGTTTGGCGTCGACCCTTTTTCACCCTAAACTTAGATGGATCTGGAATATAAAAAACTTGGGCACTCAGCGTTGTGTAAGATCCTGAGATCCCGAACCCATATATCTCCTCACTCCATGTATGAAAGATTGCTTCTTTCCTGAAATAATTTGAGACGTACACATTGGGAGATATGCCACAATCACCGGCAGCAGCAAGAACGTGTGAGCAAGGAAGGTGATGAAGCTTCGGCTTCATACAACTGCAGGTACATCCACCATCCGCCTTCAAGACACATTCCTGCACGGCTTGCTTGCGATAGATACCACGCCTGCTCCTATCAACACACATTATTTCATACCGATGCACTTGTGTGCCTTGAGCAACAACTCTATGTCTCCGTGCCTTTTTGATTTTATCTTCCATGTACTTTGTCACTACGTTGCCAAACACTATGTTGTTATCGGCCATGGACGGACCAATTTTCTTGTATCGATCCCTAAAGTAGGCTTGCGTGCCGTGAAGGATGAATTCAACAATAGCAACCAATGGAAGTACCCGAACTCCTCGCATTACCCAGTTGTACACCTCTGCCAAATTGGTTGTCATTATGCCATACCGAGATCCATCGGTGTCGAACAATAGAGCCCACTTCTCCTTAGGCTCATTCTTAATCCACTGAGAGAAATTTCTGATGGCCGACCCTGACCTCCTTCTCATTGTTGGTGGGTCATCATGTAATGCACCAAGAGGTATGGGAGGCTCGTCACCTTCAACTTGTGGTCTGCGAGATTGCTCATCTGTTTGCTTCGTTGTCAACTCATCCAACTTGTCCCACAACTCATTAAATTTCTTCTCTTGGTTCTGTGCACAGAGCCTCTTAAAGAGCTCCATAAGATGCTTGTTCTTGAATTGCTTGTAGAAATTTGCACCCATGTGACGCATGCACCACCGACTCCGAACATCAGGCCACTTAGCTGGAAGTCCCTTCTCATCCCAACCGTTCTGCAAGTAGTCAATAGCCCGCAACATACCCGCATGACGATCATGTATAAGGCAAACGTTGGGCCTCATACGCACCACTGCAATGTGCACTCTCTCTAGGAACCAGTACCAGCTTTCAGTGTTCTCACTCTCTACAAATGCAAAAGCCATAGGTAGAACCTGGTTGTTCCCATCACACCCAATTGCTGTCAATATCTGACCTCGGTATTTACCTGTCATAAAAGTTCCATCTATGCATAGAACAGGTCGACAATGCACAAAAGCATTGATGCAAGCACCCAATGAGAAAAAGGCTCTTTGCAGCACACTCTTTGTTCTATCTTCAACCGATGTAAATGTATGTAGGTCATAGTAAGTATTATTATTCCTCTGGGCAATGGTGGCTAACAAACGAGGCAAATTATCATAAGAAGCTTCAAATGTGCCATACCTCATCTCAATGATCTTTTGTTTGGCTCTCCAGGCCTTTGCATAGCTTATGGTGTACTTGAATTTGTTCTCGATGTGCCTAATAATTGATTTTGGTTCAAAGCCAATGTTACCAACAACACTGCTGTACATCTCACTTGCCACAAAAGCTGAAGTGATGTTTCGGTGATACTTCTCCACCCCTTGTAAGTAGCACTTGTGCTCGGTCACAATGCTAACTTTCCAATAATCATTCCATTTACCCTTATATGCATGGACACGCCACGGACAATCTTCCTTCATGCACCTCACTTCATACACATAATTTGTTGACTTGACCACCCTAAACTCTCTCTGCAATGAAACTGCCCAATGCTTCACCGCCTCCTTCATCTCATCCTTATGAGCATACCTTGCACCCTCAATTACCTCGTACTCCTTATACTCCCAGGGTACATGATCACCCTCTGATATAACAAGACCAGAGAAGTCCTCATTTGCCCAATCAGTGGCCATTACATCACCTTCCTCATCGGATGATGCGTCGTCCTCCGCTTGCTCATTATCCGAATCTTCCCTCTCCATTTCATCAACAATTATACCGACTCTCTCCCCCTCATCCGCCATGCCCATGGCCTGCTCCTCCCTTGGTTGATTTTCCTCATTTTGCATCGATGGTCCAACAACATCCCCTGCATTGCTAGGACCCTCCACATCTTCGGTTTGCATTGAAACATTTGTATCTTTCTCTTGTACCGACACAAATATAACGAGGGGCCATGACCGTTCAAAAGCCATTTCCACATACCGTCTCCAAGCAGCAGTGCTGTCCATCGGCATTAGTTCCCAAAAATAACCTTCTATTGCACGACTCACTACAACAGATACTGACATTGTGTAGACTTCTTGGTCTATTCTAAATCCTCTCAACAACCAACTATAAATTGACTGAAATGTTCTCTCCGCAGGCCTATCGATGCCCTTAGATGTCATTACAAAATCTGACAGATCAACACCATCTGGACCAAATCTAATATTTCCTTCACCGTGAACTATCTGAAATGTGACCTTACTTGACATTGTGCCTGATGAAAACAATAACTGCGTTAACCTCGCATTTCTGTACTACGCCCTAAGTTACATTCTCTACAATATTGTTCTCTAAATTTCTAAAAGTAGGTTACATTCTCCAGATCAAACTAAACTACATCTTACAATTAACACTACTTTCTATGTCTCAATTCATACTATTATATTCTATGCTCTGGATCTACACATATGTGCTGTGTGCTACAGATCTGCTAAAATATATGGAACTAAAACTAAAACGCAACATATGTACTCAAACGTAATATATTAGTACAAATGCAAAAGATGTATGGGAGCATACCTGTGATGAAGTGAGCGAACCAGCAGGGCTTCGCCGCTCCCCTTCTGCTGCCCTCCCCTCTCTCTCTCTTTCGTTTTTTTTGGATTTTTAGTGAATATAATGAAATTTCATAGGGGAGGGGCTGGGCTTTATAGGGGGGAGGCAAAAATCGCCCTCCCCCAGGGCGGCAAGGGGGCTGCCTGCAAAATTCCATGCCCCCTCGCCGCCCATTTGCAGGCGGGCCCCCGCACAGTGCAAAATCGCCCTCGCGGAGGGCGGCAAGGGGGCCGCCTGCAAATTTCCATGCCCCCCCTCGCCGCCCATTTGCAGGCGGCCCCCCGCACAGTACAAAATCGCCCTCGCGGAGGGCGGCAAGGGGGCCGCCTGCAAATTTCGTTGACGGCCGTCGCCCGAGAGCGAACGGCCGTCTGCCACGTCATTTTCGCCGCCCTCTGGGAGGGCGATTTTTAAAAATCGCCCTCCCAGAGGGCGGTAGGCGACTATTTCCGTCAATTTTCAAAATGGAAAATTATTTTTGTAAAACTTTTAATAAGAAAAATTATAAATAAAAAAAATTCTTTGTCGGTCCACATCTCTGGGCCTAAAAGAAGACCCAATAAGGCACACCGTCCTGGGCCTAAAAGAGCCAGAACTAGGGCTAAAGTGGTTTTTTAAAAAGGAATAAGTTCGCTTTGACTCCCTTAACTAGTGACCGAATCTGATTCATATCCTGAACCATAAACCGGATATCTCAACCCCCCTAACTATTAAAACCGGTACAATTTGACTCCCTCTGTAGTTTTAGAGGATGGTTTCGCTGACATGTGGTGTTTGAAAACAAACTAGAGATTGATACCACACATATTTTCATGAGGTTTTGTTTTCATGAGACGGGTGGTGTTTATGCAAATATCAATCTAATCAAATAAGCCAAGTGGCTGGTTTTGTGATCTATATCATCACCAAGATTAGGAGGAGCTAGCAAGATCAAGGCGCTACTTCGACTACTTTGCTCACACGGGAGACTTTGTGCCAGAGTTTTAAATCTTCGGCTATAACTACTGCTATCTCCGACTATAGATGTTTCAGAAAGGGTCGAGTTATTGCTCTCATGTATAATTTATCCACTATAACTCTATTTAGCTCACTATAGTTGTTTAATAAGTCCAACCGCTTAATGTCTTAGCCCGCTATTTAAATCACTGCTCTGTGCGTATAACATATGACAACCACCCTTCCCTAGAGGTTGGTACCACACCCTCCATATTCCCTGTCCACGCCCTTCCTAATAAGCTGTTGGAGGGATGCAGGTCGTCTGCAGTACTATATGTGGGCCTCATAACCCTTCGGGACTATATATCAGGGCATTCCTAACCCAATGACTAGGATGGTGTCCATATCATTAAATAAGTTGCCACCTAGGATAAAAAATAATGTGGCAAGTGAATAAATAAGGAAAGAGAAGGAAACCATGTCTTGCAAGATATCATGTGAGATAAGTAGCATTAAATTGAAGTATAGAATAGTGGTGTTTGCATTGGAAGAGTAATGTTTAGTACTAGTTTCTTGATGATGTAGAGTTTATAAAAACCATGTCTAATTTTATAGGTTGGGACTGCCCTCAGCGAGTAGTTCTGCACATGTAAGTAGGATCTCAATTGCTGTTGGAGAGACGAATCGGGGCAAGCAATGCCACGTATGTTTGTCACAGTTTGCAGGAAAAACAGAATGAACAACTACTACTGGACGGCAATGGTAGACCAACTTACTGCTACCACTGTTGCATCAACCCACAAAAACTCACGAATATTCCGGTGATTAAATGCGTCCTATTCGTTCTATTTGGAAATATCACATTTGATCTTAGGGTGTGTTTAATTCACGTTAAAATTAAAAGTTTGGTTGAAATTAAAACAAGAGATGTGACGGAAAAATTGAAAGTTTGTGTGTGTAGGAAAGTTTTGATGTGATGAAAAAGTTAAAAGTTTGAAGAAAAATTATGGAACTAAACTCGGCCTAGGTTAAAAAAAATGGCATCTTTTTAAAGAAATGGATGCCTTAGCTGCCACATAGCTGGTGCCTGGTGGCGAGCGCAACGAACCACAAGGAAGAGCAGATGGCGGCCACCGGCGCTGGAGAAGGCAAGGAGACGGCCGCCGTCGCCGGCGGCGGCGGCGGAGGTAGCCTGCACAGTAAGACCCTCCTCAAGAGCGAGCCGCTCTACCAGGTAATTAATTATCCATCTAAACAACCAAACAAAGAAAAACAATTGATCACCGACGGCGAGCGACGCCTCTCTCTCTCTCTCTCTCTCTCTCTCTCTCTCTCTCTGCCAGTACGTGCTGGAGTCCACCGTGTTCCCGCGCGAGCCCGACTGCCTGCGCGAGCTCCGCCTCGCCACCGCCAATCACCCCATGTGAGGATCCGATTCCGAGGAGATGTGTTTGCTTTGTTCGTGTCTTGGTGCGGTTCTTGCACGGTGCGTGTTTGACGTTTTGTCTGTACGGGCGACGCGTGCTTTTTTTTTTTACGTGCAGGGCGGTCATGGCGGCCTCGCCGGATCAGGTGCAGCTGTTCGGCCTTCTGATCGAGCTGATCAGCGCCAAGAACGCCATCGAGGTCGGCGTGTTCACCGGGTACTCGCTGCTCGCCACCGCCCTCGCGCTCCCTGACGACGGCAAGGTCAGGATCGCTACCACCGTTCGTTCCTTTGCTAGCAATAGCAATCATCTTGTTCTCTTGATGTCCGTCCATGGTGGCAGATCGTGGCCATCGACGTGAGCCGGGAGAGCTACGACGAGGTCGGAGCGCCGGTGATCGACAAGGCCGGCGTGGCGCACAAGGTCGACTTCCGCGTCGGCCTCGCCATGCCGGTGCTCGACGAGCTCGTCGCCGAGGTACAGTACACTACACCGTCTCCTCCGACCGACATTACCATTACCGCTCGTAATCTGCTTGTTCTTTTTCTTTTGTGCAGGAGGGGAACAAGGGGAGGTTCGACTTCGCGTTCGTGGACGCGGACAAGGTGAACTTCCTCGGCTACCACGAGCGGCTGCTGCAGCTGGTCAGGGTCGGCGGCCTCATCGCCTACGACAACACGCTGTGGGGCGGCTCGGTGGCGGCGCCGCCGGCGGCGGCCGACGAGGCGGTGCCGTCGGGGCGGGACCGCTCGCTCGCCGCGCTCGCCAGGGAGTTCAACGCGGCGATCGCCGCCGACCGCCGCGTCAAGCCGTGCCAGCTCGCCATCGCCGACGGCGTCATGCTCTGCCGCCGCGTGGCCTGACCACCACAACACACCGATCCCCTCTCCATGGATGTACTTTTCAGAAAGTGCGTTGGGTAAAAGTAAAAATGAATAAAAGTTGCTACTACTTGGACTCTTTTAGTCATAAAATATAAAAATTTGGATGATGTGAGTATCCTTAGAGCCTGTTTAGTTTTCAAATAAAATTTTTCATATTGTCACATCAAATGTTTAGACATATATATATAAAGTATTAAATGTAGAAAAAAAACAAATACACGGTTCGTTAGGAAATTGCAAGATGAATCTTTTAAGTCTAATTACGTCATAATTTAACAATGTGATGCAAAAGAAACATTTGTTAATGACGGATTAATTAGGCTTAATAAATTTGTCCACAGTTTCCTGTGAAATCTTTAATTTGTTTTGTTATTAGGTTACGTTAAATATTTTAAATGTGTTTTCGTATATCCGATGTGACGTATAGGGGCAAAAATTTTTTTGGCCCTTATTTGTCCACAGTACTTTAAGCACAACTTTTCGTTTTTTATATTTGCAAAAAAAAAATTGAATAAGACGAGTGGTCAAACGTTACAAGTAAAAACTCAAAATTCCTTATATTGTGGGATAGAGGGAGCAGGATGCAACCGTACATCCATCCAAAATCATCGAGCACTAGTATACTAGGGCCGTGTTTAGTTTCCCCTCTATTCCCAACTTTCTATCACATCATATCACATTAAAAATTTTTCTACACACATAAACTTTCAACTTTTTTTTAAAAATCTTAACTTTCTTCGAACTTTCAACTTTTTTCAGAAACTAAACACACCCTAGGATGCAACCCATTCTCTGAACAGGGCCTATCTCTGAGCAGAATGGCCAATGCATTGAGCAATTATAGAAGATGTAAATAATCTACTCGCTGATTAATTAATAGGTCACACTTTGTACTTTCTGATGGCCTCGAAATTCCATCTTGTTGTGATGTTGTCTATCTTTGAACCAGCCCGTTCGTCATTCCTCTTGGATAGTAACTGCCTCCCTCAGAGTTCAGGGTTCAGACAGGCGACTGTTGCAACCACATGATGTTGAGATGATCAATTTTCACAAATTGCAAAATAAACAAACCTTTTCTTTGGAGACAACAAGTTTACAAGTGACTTGATTTTCAGCTGAATTTTCATAGAAAAAAATGGGTTAATCATGTTACTGCACATGAGACGCCATTATAGAAAAAGCTGCAAAAAAAAAAACGATAAGGGAAGCAAGCAGATGACAACTCTGTTTCCTCTCGCCTTCCCACTAGTACTTCTCTTTTCTTGATTTCTTCCTCCTCCTCGGATCCCTCCAAGATCGAGGCCGATCCCCACCATGCGCGCCCACCGATCCCGACAGCTCGTGTCCCGCGATCCCATGGCGGTTCTCTGATCCCATCTGGCTCGCGAAGCCGCCGCGTTTTGACGGGAATTGCGTGGGCTGCGGGCGGCTGGACGCCATGGATTCCGGCGGCAACAGCGTGAATTCTGCGGTGGAGTCGGTGGCGGAGTCGCCGGCGCCGGCTTCACCGGCGAGCAATCCCACCGCACCCGCCGCGGTCACCAAGGGGCGTGGGCTACGGCGGTGGCGGCGTATCCCCCGGGAACACCACGAGGAGGGCTCACCTGGCTCCGGCGGCGGCGGCGGCGGCGGCGGCAGCGTTGCGGCCGCTGCCGCGGATGAGGACTTGGCGCAGCTTCACAAGCGCCGGCACCCTCTCGGCGCCGACGCGCCTAAGGGGAAGGAGGAGGCCGCCGCCGCCGCCGCCGCCGCTGCCGTGGAGGAGGTGGGGAGCGAGAGCCCCGTCGCCTCCGTGGAGTCCAGCTTCGCGCCGCAGGAGGCGCCACCGTCGCCGCCGGTCCAGACCAAGCTGGACCCGGATCTCGGCTTCCTGATCGCCTCGGCGGGGTTCTCGGTGGGCGCCGGCGGCGCCGACTCGGACAACAGCGACGACCGGGCCAGCAAGTCCTCCACCAACGCCGCCGCGCCGCGCCACGACTTCTCGTTCGGCGGCGGCTTCGGCCGCGAGCGCGACAGGCCGCGATCCCGCGCCCCAGGCGCCGCCGCGCACGCCAAGGGCATCCGCACGGCGCGCACGCGCGGAGCCCACGGCGCGCGCGCCGCCACACCGACCCCCTCCATCGTGGAGCCGGAGAACTCGCGCTCCAGCGTTGAATCCAACCTCCGGAGCTCTGCCGCTGCTCATGCGCGCCAATCCAGTGCTGGCATAAGCAGCAATGGCGTTCACAAGGTTCTCTATGATGATGATGACGATGATGATGATGATGCCGAGCAGAGTGACGGCGAGCCTCCGAGCGAGGAGGCGGCGCGCTCTGGAGCAGGAGGTTTCTACAGGGAGAATGGAAGTGTAGTAGGGAGATTGGTAAAGGGCAGCAGTGATTCCGATGCCGATGATCATGGATACGATGAGAGGAGTATAGGCAAGGGTGAGAATGGGGAAATTCATTCGGGTCTCGATCCGTATGTGCAGTCGATCGCGATGCTCCGGTCAGCCGAAGAAGCAATTGAGAATGGTAATACTGAATTCCCCTTTATCATAGTTTTATTCATGAAAACTAATACTCCATGATTGTAGTTTAATTCATGTCTTCTCTATTTGGTTGTGAAGACATATGTTGCTGAACTCAGCCTTGTGGAGAGTCTCTCAAAAGATTGAATATATAGTTCCAATTATTATTAGTTGCTTGATGGAAGACCTGATAGTCTAGATCAATCCATTAGTGTTATCTGCATGAAGTCAACACTTCCTATTCTCTTGTTATCTTAGTGGGTGAAGTTTAGAACCTCCATAATGCTAGTACTACCTATATTTGTTTCAATTATTGTATTTTGAGATTCATCAGTTCAGTTCCCTAAACATATAATGGTAAATGAATGAAGGGGCAATGCATAAATACATAATATCTGTAGAGGATCAAGATAATGCTTGTAAATGATCTAAGATACTAACTTCTTGAAAAAAAATTAATTCACACTGGTTGCATGCTTCTTTCGTACGAAGTGGTGAGTGGTGATTATGTTGAGGCAGCACTTTTGAATGAGTTTATCCTATGAAAAATCTTTAGCATAGAATTAACTCGCACTACATGTGGACATCCTGCTAAAAAGGTCTTTGCTGATGTTTTTTTTTGTTTGACTTGTAACTTGTAAGATGAATAGATCTAAAGTGCTGGCATGCTTCTAACTGCTAAAGGGAAATGTGGTAGATGACTTGTACCATTTTCACATATTGCAGCCTATAAAACAATTGTTTTATGCAATTATGGCCTTTGTGGCAATTATTTACTGCAAAGTGCAAATTGCTGATTTGCTCATTGGTTAGAAAAGGACATCTTCTGTTTAGCACCGTATGCATTATGGCATTTAGTTCTTGAAATTGGTTCCTTTTAATAAAGTAGCATTTGTTGACTTGTTGTATTCTTCTAGCCTTTTTCCAAAGTAGAATATGTCATCGCATAATTAAGAACATATACTTTCCCAGCATGTTCTGTGAAGTTTCCTTAGTCCATCTCCCTGTAATGAAGTTCTGAGTGCCTTGTTACTTTATCACTTCAGCATGGTCATAACATCATTTGTATTTCATATGATCTATTAAAACATTAAATCTCCTTTTGGCCCAGTCAAAGCGTTCTTTCAATAACTATTTGCTTCATTGTATGTTACAGAGATCCAGAAGTTTATTGAAATGAGAAATGAAACGTGTGAAAATTCTGCAAACAACCACAGTGAAACTGAATGGAGTAGTTCATGCCATTTTGACGAATCCACAGAAGAACTGAGTGAGAAGTTGAAGCTTCTCGAGTCTAGGCTAAACGAAGCTTCTACCCTCATCAATGATAAGGATTCAGAAATACTTGAACTCGATGTGCTCAACCACAAACAACCAAAGCAGCATGTTCTATGCAATACCGAGCTGCTGTCTCTGCAATCTGATATGGATCAACTGTTCCTGGAGAAGATGGAAGCAGAGACTCAATGCTTCATCCTGACAAGAGCATCGCAAGCTTGGAATCCCCTGACTGAGGATCAAGCTGCTATTTTTGACATTCAGAAATCTCTACCTGAGGATCACAAACAGCTTGAAGCTAAGCTACGGCACACCGAGAACAGGGCACTGATGCTAGAGGAGATGGTGGAGAAGCTAGAGGCACAGTGCAAAGATCTTGCTAGGACTTCAGAAATCCTGAAGCTGCAGGCAAGAGCAAGCAGAGCTTCGCTGTTTTGCTCCGTCCAGTTTGTTCTGCTGTTCATCGCCGTCGGAACCTTCCTCGTCCGGCTATGGCCCTCTTCCTCTGAATTTGTACCTACCTGAGGTTAGAAAATCCGGCGCCAATGAGCCTTTGTGTAGGCATTCTTGAAAAGTTCCTTATTGTAATTTACTAAGCATTGGTCACCCTATAATTTTTCAAGTCTGTAACATCAACTCAATTTTGCTAGTAATCTCTTCTTATCTTTACTGTACTTCAATCACCAATGTACTTCTCGATTATCTGGATTCTGTAAATGTCAAAAGTTCCTATATAAATGTATTTCTTTGCAGACCGTATAAATTGAAATTGGAAATAGGTTCCAAAATCAGTCTCATATTTTCATACTGACTTTCAAACTTTTCTGTGCCTGGTGCTCTCTATTTGCAAATTCAAGATTGCAATTCATGAATCATGGAGCACTGGTAATTGAGTTTCTGGGTAAGTGCCAGTGCCACACATACGAAGTCTGAAACTCTGAAAGTAACTGATACATGAGCATAGAGAAAGATCATCAAACTGACAAATTTCATGCGGCCAATATACACACGCGATTGCACTACTGTTCCAAATTAATCAACCTTTTTTCTTTTCTTTTTTACCCATCTCATACATAATCACGTAGAAACACCAGAGATCCATTCAGATTACATTGCATCCATCCAAGATGAGAATGATCAGAAGAAGTTTGGGTTGTATCCGTTGCTGCAGGTGGCGAGGATGTAGTAGGCGACGATGTGGCCGAGGGAGCCCCAGGCGAGGACGTCGACGAGGTTGAAGCCGACGGGGTCGTTGGACCGGAGCAGGCCGGCGAACTCCTTGGCGCGCTCGTCGCCGGCGTCGAAGTGCGTCTTGCCGTTCTGCTCCGGCACCTGCTTCGCCACGTTCTCCCGCTGGAAGTTGAAGAACACGAACCGCCCCAGGAACAGGGAGACGCCGGTGCTCAGGCTGATCACCAGCGACGGGCTCAGCTCCGCCCTCGCCGCCACCGACCTCCTCCTCGCCGGCGCCGCCCTGAACGCCACAGACGGCGACCGCACGCGCGGCGACGGCGCCAGCCGCAGCCCGGCCACGGTCGGCGGCGACAGCGAGGTGGCGGCCATGGTTCTTGGAGCTTGGAGCTTGAGGGTGGGTCTCGCTGCGATCGAGTGGTGGTGCTCTCTTGATCTCGCGAGCTCGTGTAAATGGTGGTTTGGGTATATAGCGGGAGGTGACGTGGCGGATATGGTGGGGCCGGGGGGAATGCGAGGGTTTGTGGTGGAGAGGAGGGGGATTTTCGAGGCGTTGTGGGGATTGGTTGGGTCCAGGATAAGGTATCTATATTCTAAGCCATAGCAATTTGGTTTCTTTTTTTCTCCCCCTCTCTACTCTCTTCTGAAATTCAAGTAATTTAGCTATGCATCTCACTGTCTTTTGCTACTGGAAAGTTACTTGGTTGGTCAGGAAGTCAGGGTGAAATGTAGTGGCTGTGCAACATTGCATTCAGTTCAGGAGTGGTTCAGCTTGCAGAAAGTTATTTTTTTTTTCCTTTTTACAGCATGAAATCAACCAGAACTTGTTCAGGAATTCAGATTAACTACCGTTCTCCATCAGATAAAAAGGATTATTAACCTTTAGTTTCTGTTGCTCAGGAAAAAATTACATGGTTGGTTAGGAAGGCAGGGTGAATGTAGTGGCTGTGCAAATGTTGCATTTTCAGGGAGTGTTCAGCTTGCAAAAAGATGTTCTTTTTACAGCATGAACTCAACAAGAACTTGTTCAGAAATTCAGATTAACCTGGCAATTCGTCATGTTAGTTTATGTTCCTCAGGCAGGACAGAGCTTTCCATTTCCATTGCAGAAAAACAAGAACTTGCCTGGAGATTAGCAAAGGAAGAAGCACAGCCGCCATGAAACGTCCTTTCAGCATATGGATCACAAAAATTCAGACAATGTAACAACAGATTCTCCCTTCAATCCTCCAATTCAGAGCAGAGAGCTACAGCAGCTGACAGATGCATCACTGATCTTGCTATTGGTAATGTTCAGGGAGGCAAAAAAGGGATTATTGTTGAGATTAACAGCTACCAAAACGGATTCACAAGCTGCGATGCAGCAAGCCAGCGACAGAGCTGAGCGAGCGATGATCTTTCCTCTGCACAGGGCTGAAGATCTCCGAGTCAAAAATGGCACTTGCAGAAGGTTTTCAGGCTACAGCTTCAGTCTTCATGGTCGCTCAAGGCCAGCCAGACAAGAGCAGTCTTTTACTTATGAACAGCACAATCTCCTCTGCAAAAGTAGCCAGGATAATATCACAAGGCAAGTTCTATTAACATGCATAAATGAAAATGAAGGTTTGTGATTGACTCACCCTGACACTGGAAGATTGGTAGTGATGTTGCATAGCTTCCAAGGTCTCCATCATCTCCATCTGCTTGACCAGGGTCATATGCAATACCTGATGGAAAATGCAGCAAGAGAAAGAACTGTAATGTATGTCTGATAAGAGAGAGATTAAACATGGTTCAGTGTGACTGATCGATCGGACAAATCTAAAGAGATAATAAAACACACTGATGGGGTCTAGGGAAGGATGCCAAAAGCCTGAAACTTCTACTAAAGACATTTACCAGTTCAGGGTATGTAAGGGATAGGATGTTTTGTCAGTCTATTGAACAATGGTGAACCAAAAATGGGGCCTATTGTTGTAGGTACATAAACTCTGTATATATTCTATAAAATATATATACTGTAGGGGCCTCTACTACTGTTTGTCTGTTTCCCAGGCATATGGGGAACAAAAAATGTTAGTTTCTCTGAACCATTTGCCATTTTAAATGTCCCCAAGATCTTGAAGTCATAAAATGCAGTGCGTAGACAAATAGAAATATGAATGCTGAGAAAAGAGGGCAGACCCAAAGTAAACAGAAGAGAAGACAAAACACAATCATAGGGAATGGAGAAACACATTTTGCCTCTGAAGTCGGATTTTTTAGTGCAGTAACATACTAACAAAAATTTGCATGACAAATTAGTTTGCAAACTAACTTACTCTTTTAGTCCTTTCTAGATCCGATTCGATGGTTTTTATCCGATCAAACGATTGTAGCAGTAGACACTCTTTCTCCTTTGGCATATCTGGAGGTTTGCTCATGAGATGATTGCATAATGATTCAAGTTTTTCAAGACGTTGTAAACAAGCACTCATGTTATCTTCCGTTGCACTTCGAGGCTGAGGTTCATCTTCTACATTAGAAGGATGAACATTCTCTAGCATGTTTCCTCTTCTACTGACAAAAAGGCTGAAAACGGCTAGTATCTTGATCATGAGTGTGCCTACTACTCTAACGAAATTGCTCAAAGTCCTTCCAGTCAGAGTGCCATGAAAACTAATTGCCATGTTCCCTGCAAGAGCAAAAATGGGTATTCAAAAGAAGTGGTTATAAATAATTATACAGTAAAATAAGACTGTGGCTGAAAAGACAAAATCTGAAAGAGATATTTGGTGTGGTGAATTATTTGAACAGAAGATACACTTTTTGTTGTTCTAAAGTGGAAACTGTACTGAAATGCAACTAACTTGCTATGAAAAAGAAGAGGTACCTAAATTATTCATCCATCTGGTTGTGGATGAATGTTCATGAGAGACCAGTTGGTTTGGCACCATTTCAGAAGATTGTTGTACAGACTGAGAAGATTCAGGAGTTACATCTGGGAGACCCTTCCTGTCACAAGACTCACAACTACAGAAAGTTGAAGAATCTGATCCCTTAACCTAGTGCAGGCATTTTGATATCGAGTCAGTTCATATAATGTATCAAGAACATAGCTCAAGGCATCAAAATAACTGGAGATAATGTATCTTAGTTAAAGTAAAGGATAGTTCAACAAATAAGCACAGCACATACTTCTTCGCTAACTGGAGTAAGGAAACTGTAGTCAGTACTCCTCAGGACAGCTGATAAACTGAACTCATCAACATCTGACTCTGATTCAGCATTTGATATATCACTCATCATCCCCTGCTTCCAGAAGAAACAATAGCAAAAGGTTCATCAGGAACTACGAAGCAATACTTCATTGGAGTTTGGAATGGTTGAAGGAAAAGAGACATTCAGAACCTTGCCTTCAATTTTTCTGCCCTTAGGGAAGATCCGCTCCTGTCTTCGCTATCAGAAACTTGCTTGATTTCCCTCATACTACTACTGCTCCTCATACTGTGTATCAGCTACAAAAGAAACTTCCACATTAGTTTACTTTTCAGAGGGATATTCATTTCTAGAACGCTGTCACAACTCACAAGTAATCTTCCATGGACAGCATTTCTAATGTTGGGGCTGTTGTACAAAAGTATGGTCAGGATCACAAATTGAGAGGTACCTTCAAAATGACATGATCATTCCACGGCCCTTTGTTAGAACCAAGGCAACCACCTTCACTGCATGTACATGAACCGCCAAGAAACTCTGGCAATTCACTGTGAAATCACAAAGCATTTTCCAAATCTTGGTAAGCTGAAGAGCTATAGCTGTATAAATATATACAAGCTGAGTTTCAACGATGGTTGCTAGTTGCAGCTAGTTGATACTAACCTTTTGTCAATTACTTCAAGAAGTCTACTCTGGTAGTTTGTACCAAGAACCTAAGCAAAACAACAATTTTAGACCCAATTTTAACACACCAGTAAGATGCTAATCCTCATTGATCACAAACATGTCACTTACATGAATCTTTGAAGAAGTTTTTGGGTCAAGAAACCCTTTCACACTGTTCCATATCAGCTTGAAGCCACTGCCAGCATTCACTACATACATCTGATGTAATGTCTGCAAATTCATGTGCAATTAAAATGTGCACTTCACTAACCAACACTACACACATCACACCCATGGAAATCCAAAATTACCTCAGGATAGTAATCACTATCTATCTTCTGCATCCGGTGAACAAGCTCCCTTGCAGTCTTTGAGAAATTCTTCAGCCCCTGCAACAACAAACAAAACAAAACAACACAACAACAGCAACATTAAAACTGAAGGATTGACAAAAATCCAACACTAAAGACAACACAACACACATATATCCAAACCCAATGTTGGAGCTTTGTCATTGGCATACATACCACGCCATGGACATCCAGTATGGTGGTTGTGGAATCAATGTGCCTCTTGGCCGCCAATGTGCAGGCAGGGAACCTCTCCCTGAAAGCCCTCTCGAACTCCTGCACATGGTACTTGATGTACCTGTCCACCGAGGTGATCTGCATCAGCTTGTTGGGATACACCTTGCCGAGCCTCTCGATGTACACCGGCCGGCCTTCCCGATCGACGCCATGGTAGCCCTGAGGGTAGTACCGGAGCACGTCGTCGAGCTCATCGAACTCGAACTCCTAAACCACAAGAAACCCAAGAAATGAAGAACAAATGAACAATCCAAAAATTATTCAGACACTGTAAGTTATCAGGTGAAAATGTTACTATCTGAATCTCTGATCACCTCCAAGATCGTGTCGGCTCCGAACTCCTTCCTCCATCGCAGCATCTCCGCCCACATTTGCATCGCCTTCTCCGAATCAAACTTTCTTGCCTTCAGAAACCTGAATCACAACGGGAGTTATCATTAGCAACTTTTTGGGGGAAAAAATGATAGATTTTCTGTTTCTTTTTTCTTGGCATTTCTCCACCTGAGCATCATGTGGTAGTCGTCGTGCTTGTCGGGGAGGAGGGCGTGCACGGCGAGGCGGTCGCGGAACGCGGCGACGGCGAGCTCCTCCTCGGCGTCGCGGACGTCCTCGATGGACATGGCGGCCGGGTACCGGAAGTCGACGCGGCGGCGCCGCCGCCGCCCGCCGCGCTTCCGGAGCGCGCGGATGGCCTTCCGCCGCAGCGACGACCCCATCCCGCGCCGCCGCCGGTCATCCTCGGAGTTCGGGTCGCACGGCGATATCTCGAGCTCCTCGCCATGGCTCACTGTGCAGAGCACAACGAGCGTGTCATCCGACAAACGCAAAGAAAAAAGAAAGAAAGATGAAAAGTTTCAATGCCAAGAACTGCTTCTCTTACCTGACATTGTCTCGCTTCCGGATTAAATTTGGATCTTGACTGAAATCAAACAGATGTGATGATTTCACGCTATGAGAAGAAATCAAACTGATGGTGTTTTCTAGTACAACAAACAGCTACGAAAATAAATCAAGCAGAAGTTGTTTTCTAGCAACGAGAGGAATTTGCTGCGATTTGATGGCAAAAAAAAGGAGAATAGAATAGAAAGGTCGTTGTTGAGTCTCATCCAAAAAAACTTGCAGGTGGCACCACATCCACATTGGATCGATCCTAGGATCTCCCAAAGAAAAGAAACAAGAACCGATAGGAACAGCTCAACTCACAACCAAAGAAACTGCATCTCTTTGCTAGGACAAAATCTCTGACTTAGCTAGGAATCCATTGAAACAAAAGCAATCCAAACGGCAAGAGATTGGATCAGTTGAGCGAAAATTTACATTTTCTGGATCCAATCGGCACAAACCGAGAGTGCTACGACCTCTCCTGTAGTCCTGCGTTGCTGTTGCTGTATGGACGGCAGGACAGACTGAGACTGCAGCTCTGCAGATCAGGAAGAAGAGTGGCCGGTGATCAACTAAATAACTGATCATATATAGTACTAGTAGTAGAACACTTCTTTAATTATGTATGATACACATGTCATGTATTCTTACGGGACGTGGCATACAGTATGGAGCAGTGTATATACCGGTAACATATCCTATACACACAAGCTTCCTGTACACACTTCGTGCACTCCAACTAATAAATATCACCAAAAATTCTATAAAAAATGGACATTTACTACTAACGGTATTACACATATATGCAAAATCTCATATTCAAATTCATTATATTTTAGTTGTAGCAAGAAAAATAAAAAATCTGACAGTTTTGAGGCATGTAGGTGTAATACTATTGGAATTATGTGTCATTTTTTAGAATTTTTGTGATATTTGTTAATTGGTATGTACGGAGTGCACACGGAAAACTTGTGTGTATAGTCTGTATATATATACCTGTAGATATACGGATGTGTCGGTAGGAGGACCACTTCTGCAGTTCATCACCTCACCTACATTGTAGTTTGGGCTGAAAAAACATGGCATCTTTTTGGTTGAAACGATGATGGAACATGAGGCGTGGAAGTATGAAAACCTAGGCAGCTCACGGCACGCCATTCCACCCAAATGTCAGGATTGTTAATTTGTTTAGGAGACTTAGCAGCAAATTGATTGATTACTCATTCCCAGTGCTCAAGCAGTCCACTGTCAGATGAATGTGGTCAATTTTCCCTTCCAACTGTTTGCAGTTGATTAGAACAAAACAACTGTAGGGTTACAGTTGATTAGAAAGAGGTAACTGTAGTTACTACAGTACTGCAACTAGCCAACTAGTTAGGTGCTCACTCCATCCCATAATATAAGCGATTTTGGATAGATGAAACATCCTAGTACAATGAATATGGACAAACGGTTTGTCCAGATCCATTATACTAGGATATGTCACGTCTACCCAAAATCCCTTTTATGATGGAAAGGATGGAGTACTACATCCATTCCAAAATATAAGGCCATGTTTAGTTCCAGGGGTAGAAAGTTTTAGCGTGTCACATTGAATATACGGATACACATTTTAAGTATTAAACATAGACTAATAACAAAACAAATTATAGATTCCGCCTGTAAACTGCGAGACAAATTTATTAAGCATAATTAATCCGTCATTAGCAAATGTTTACTGTAGCAATATATTGTCAAATCATTAAACAATTAGGTTTAAAAGATTCGTCTCGCAATTTACACATAATATGTGTAATTAGTTTTTCTTTGTCTATATTTAATACTATATGCATGTGTCCAAACATTCGATGTAACAGGATAAAAAGTAGGATGAAAAGTTTTTGCGTGGGAACAAAACAGACCTAATAAGCAGGATCGGATTAAACACGTCCTCTGTCTAGATTGTAATGGAGTCCTAGCAATGTGCACAGCTCTAAATTGTTCCAAACCAAACTACAGCAGAACTCTGTCCTTTGCCTTTGTCTAATTTAAAATTTAATTTTAAAATTGATTTTAAGGCTATTTTTATCATAATTTGTGTTTTTTTACGGAGGAAGCATATAAAAGTTTCACTCATAATTTTTTTAAAAAAATCAACGATAAATCGTTACATGCATGTTTTCCAACCAATATAGGAGTAACACAACCAGCTACTCCCGTCGTCTCATAAAAAACAAACCTATGACTGAATGTGAATGTGATATGTTCTAGTACAATGAATCTGGGTTTATAGTATAATAAATCTGGGCAGGAGTTTACTCATATTCATCATAATATAATATGTCACATCCATTTTATAGAACGAAGGGAGTAGCTAGCTAGTACATAAACAAAAAAAAAAGGCAAAAAGCATAGAAGCAAACTGCATCGACCTCAGGCAGAGCAAAGCGATCGAGCACCATGCATGGCCGGCCGGTCGCCGAAGCCAGTGCGCGGAGCCACCTCCATGCCGGCCGTACAATCGCTCGGGCTTCGTCGCTGCTATCTTCACTGTCGATAGCCATTAATGTTTATAAAACTTAATCGATCACCGAAAAATACTTCTAATCGTTTGGGCTTGATGACATTGCTGGCTCCGCCACTGGCCACAGCCACATCTCGCCGTCAAAAAAAAAAAAAAAACGCACGCGTGCTCCGTCGTCGCCGGCCGCCATGGCCGCGCATGCTGTCCTTTGTCACGAGGAGGACGAACAAGAGAGACCACAGACTGAGAGATGCAGGTTCGTGATGACTCACGCCATTGACCACCCTGGTTTAGGGGTAGATTGGGCCCGGATTTTGCAGGGGTTTATTGGGTTTATGGGAGCTCGGATTGATTAAATTAATGGAGGAGTAAGTAGTTTTGGACTGGCGTTGTAACGTGGTTTCTGTCCCCGGAGTTTTGTCGTGTTACCGCGTGTTCCCGTGACGGCCACAGTGCTCTCTGTCGTCTCTCTCTCCACTCCTCATTACAAAATTCACCATCCCTACGCGCCAATCTTAGCTTCAACGATGATACAGTGCCATCACGATACTTTGGTTAGGGCTTTCTTTCACAAAGTTTCCACAGATTTTCTCCATTGCAAAAGACTTTTAATTATTTTTCTCCATGCTAAAAGCCTACTCCCTCCGTCCCATAAAAAATGAATATAGAATCGGATGTGACACAACCCAGCACTACGAATTTAGACATACATTATGTCCAGATTCGAGATTGGTTTTTTATGGGACGGAAGGAGTACCGATAGTCTGTGAAAAAGATTTACTCATATGGACGAATTAAATAGCATCGTAAAAGCTAACAAGTAGGACTAGAAAAAGTTGTCTAAGCAATATCGGTATGAATAATGAAATTAAACTATTGTTTTGACTGCTTGCGAAAAATGGATCTTTCACTCTCTAAATACAGTATTGTATATGCGAGCTTCTTATGGAACAGAAACTTCATACTCCTACTACTACTTGGAAAAAGTTCTGAGATTTTTAAATGAATGGGAAAAAAATATAGGATTTTACAAGAACCGGAATTAGGATCTGAAAATTTTCAAAGCAGCTACTGCGGCTATTCATCAATCATGGATCATCAGTATTTCACACTCCACGTTGCGACTGTTGGAAGGACAGGAAGCACAGTAGCATCTTTTGGTTGGTGACCTCTCCTCCTTTTCAGGTCCGTATTCAGGCATAAGATCATCAGTTACATGAAAGCTTTCTCTCTGATTTCTCCTTTTCTGCCTGCCTCTGCTGCTTTTTCTACTACCACCTTGTCATCTTGTTAATGGATCCATATGCCCCGGTGTCGCAAGCAGTCAAAACCCTATTCATGGCGGTGCAAAGCCACCACGAGCTCTTCAGAGTTTCAGAAAGTTTCAGAAAACTTTCAGGTTTCAGCCCACTCTCGAATGCTCCATGGACGTGTAGCTGACAGATACAGGAGGTAATTAAGCTGGCTTTAGAGAGTTTGATTGATTGATTGATTTACTGCCACAAGTTTATTTATTGCCAGTGATCAGCCAAAAGATCGGTTTGATTTGACTGAGGTTTAGCAGAAAATTCAGCAGGATGGTTGCGGATATAGTGTTAGTGACTGAAAACTGAAAAGTTGTGTCTCTGAACCTCTCTTAACTGTCTCATTTTAATCAGCACACAGTGGAGACATGGATCTGCATTGTTGTGGGAAAGAGGAGAAAAGGCCTGCATCAAACCCCTTTCCCTGTTTTGGATAGGTTTTACAACTTCTGTTATTCCCATCCAGTTTTTTCAATAAAAAAAATCCGGTCCATTAAGTTCAATACAACAGTGTGTTTATATGTAACATTGCCACAACTCACCAGTCAAGTGTGGCCTGACATACTTCGTGTGGCAAACGAATTGTAAGTCATCATTGTGGGAAGTTAAACAAGTGATTTGAGTCTATGACAAGTGAGCGAAGACGCTAAGAAAGCGTGACAAGTCATAATTGCGACAATAAGCCAAACGCATTACTAAGAAGGTGTGACATGGCAAGTTAGGGCTTTCAATCAAACAACCTCTCAAAGGCACGAGACACCTGAAATGGTAGGATTGGGTAATTTGTGAGTGATGAACTTGACAATGCTAGTTAATTGGAGGATGGTGTGTGATGTTAATTGTTGGGCTAAATTCCCTCTACGTAGAGCTTCCACTGTAGCCCAAAAAACTAACTTTTATGAGCTATTGATTTATTTCTTAATCAATGGTGAATTGCCTCACATAGTAAAGGTGAGAAAAAGAAAACTCTAGCCCCCCCTTTGAGAGAGTGTGCAACAGCATTGGAGAAAAAAAAAGCAGCCAGAGAACTCAAGAGAGGAAGAGAGGAGGGGAGAAAAAGAGGTGCAATTCGTCCCATCCAGTAGCTCTTGCTCGATCTTTATCAAGTTTACGATTTGGAGACTCAAATATGATTGGATCAATACCAAACCTGGTGAGTTCGTTCATCGCTTGAAGCATTTTAATTATGTCGGATTGGTTGACTAAAAACACCATATTTGAGTGAGGGATTGCCAGCTCGAGTGACTACAATTTTCAGCATGATTAAGGCTATGTTCGGGAGTGAGGGTTGGGAACCCTCACTCTCCGGCACACAAAACGAAGCAGCGTTTTAGTGCTTGATTAATTAAGTTTTAGCTATTTTTTTTTTTCAAAAATAGATTAATATGATTTTTTAAGCAACTTTCATATAGAAACTTTTTACAAAAAACACACCGTTTAGTAGTTTGAAAAACGTGCGCGCGGAAAACGAGGAGGAGGAGTTGGGAACTTGTACTACCGAACGGAGCCTAATTTGGGTGGAATGTCAGTATAAGGGAGAGTAAACGGTGTTTGATTGGGCTTATCTTTTGGTAGCTTGGAAGGGACTTATAGACTTTTGTTTCCACCAAATTTGTACTGATTGCTTATGTGGTTTGGGAGATATCATCTCATAACCGAAGGCATAGATTCTGATATTTCTTTGTTTGTAGTTGCTATACCTCTCATTAATTTAATTGTTATAGTTAATGTTGATGGTGCTAAGTTTGTAACTCGATGATGTTACTGTTGCTACGATGTACTCCTAGATGTTGTAGAGAAGATTTTTTTTAGTGTTGTTGATTATAATGGAAGTTTGGTGTGGACTATTTAGTCATGTGGATTTTTTTTCTTATATCGAGGAGGTTTTTTTATATAAATTATCATGTTTTATGTTCGTGTTTATTGTTATTCCACCACTGATGTACTAATTGACCCTCAAGTTCATGATAAGATGAGTGGTCGATAGTGTAGAATATATATGTTTGTGGATTGGTGGATTACATTTTATATAGTGTGCTAGTTGTTCGGTCCAAATAGATGTAGAAAGGGGTCACACCAAGAGTAAGGACATGTAATTTGGTCTGTAATTTTTTCAGACCTTAGTGGTAGTAGAAGGAAGAGAATATACAAAATTTGCACCAAATTCCAACCAAAATGAAAAAAACAAGGAGTTTTAACTTCAAATGAAATTTGATCAAATTTTTGGTTGTCAACCAGGGATCAGAAATCAAAATTTGATCATATCTTGTCCTTTTGCCGAAATTTCGGCGAAGAGGAGTGTTAGCACGAATTCTTGAACAATCCTAGCACAGCTCAGGATATATGTAAAAAACAAGTGATCTCCCATGCAAATCAGAGAGAAGTGATCGTGCATATGAACCAACACAAACTTTTTCCTTTATTTTATCAACGTATATATCACCCAACTCGAGATCATACAGTCGAACAAGCGAAACATTATTACATTACAAACTGTGACTAATGCACACTTCACACATACAATTAAGCACGTAATTAACACACTAATTATGCATGGCAATAAGATTAAGATCGATCGAGGAGTCCTCGATCATGGCGAGAAGTACTCAATCCTTGTTCGTCGGGAGGATGTGCGCGTCGGCGACGGCGCGGCAGACGGCGGCGCCGCCGGGCCTGACGCCGAGCAGCCGGAACGCGGCGTGGTCCGGGTCCCAGCGGGACGTGTCGGCGTGGCACACGACGGCGGCGATCACCGCGTCCCCGCCGCCGCCGCCGGCCGCGTCCACCGCGTACGCCCTCGCCGGGCCGGTGGCGGCATCGCGGCACCCGTACACGCCGGCGCCCGCCGTGGTCTCGCCGCGGCACACGACGAAGCTGGACCCCTCGATTGCCCTCACCGACCGGACGGTGTACAGCCGCAGCGGCGGCAACGCCGTGGCCGCCGCTGCGCCGGCGGCGGTTGCGTCGGCCGCCGGTCGCGGTAGGGGCAGGCTCTCGCCGACGCGCACGGCGTCCTCGAGGAAGAACACCGTCGGCGGCGGCGGCGGCGGCGAGGACACGCCGTTCTCGTCGGCGTTCTGTACGGCGGCGACGCGGTTCAATGCATCCGGGGAAGGGGCGTCGCTCCGAGGCAGGGCCCTGTAGTCGTCGTAGTTGAAGTTCATCGGCGGCGGTGGACCGTCGCCGCCGCCGTTGGCCTTGCCGCCGGCGCTAGCAACGCCGTGCTCTGCATGCACGCATGCAGCTACGCATGTAAGAGAGGCTCCCACGTATAAAAACATAATCTCTTATTTCTGTTCATTTTATGATCAGTAGCTAAAGATTCGTGCGTTGCAACGGATATTATAAAAGATAAAAGCAAAAAACAAAAGATAAGTTTATAGTATAGTTAGTTAATTAGATATATAACCGTCGTTAAAAAAATAGATATATAACAGCAAAAGCATTCATATATGTGAGGATCTTACATGTCAGCTTATAGTGTTTATTCTAGTGCATCTGATTGTAGCTGCCTGTTCGATGTTGTTTCTTTGTTGAATGAATCTGATTTTGATTTGAATAGGATGCTTTGCATGTAGTGGAAATTGCTTTTTTTTTAATCTTTTTCTTTTTTGCCCCCAAAAACTTTTTGCAAGTGGGTGATACAAGGATGCCGTCTGCGCAAGCGGATAGAGGCTCCGCCTGCAAAAATCAACGACTTTCGCAGGCCTTAGCCTACCGGCGAAATATTTACTAGCTGCCTGCAAAAACTTGTTTTCTAGTAGTGACCATCACTAATACTAGTATCATTTAAAGTAGTGTACACAATTAAGTTCACGGATTCACCATGGTGGAGGAGCTCGACGATGGCGTCCGGCATGGGAGCGCCGGGCATGGCGGCACGCCAGAACGCCTCCGCCGCCGCCGCCGGCGACGTCCGAGCAGCAAAGGCAGTCATCTGCCGGCCAGGTTGAACCACCTGATCAAGGACCAATTCAAACAGGCAACGTTTACTGCATCAGCTAAACATGTCTGCACAATCCAGAAGTTGAAATGCAAGTGATGATGAGATGATATGCGTCAAGTTAATTTCAGCCATGGCTGGGATATCCTCTGCACCATGAGAGCCATGGCGATGGCGATGGCGACGAGGGACGCCATGGGAGGAGCTGGAAGGAGAAGATGGAGGCCGTTCGCCTTGAGGACTTTGCAGCTAGTTCTTGTGTGCAGATACAAGAGCAAAGCTAGCAGGCCGTATTTATAGAGATGGGCACGAGAATGCATTAGCAATTGTCCCAACTAAGTCCAAGTAAAGAGATTTTAAGCATACCAGATGATTATAACCCATAACACTAATGCTTACTCCGCTGAAAATTAATAATTTATAGGTAAAACTTTTACATACGTGAAAATAAATTCCGCTGAAAAAAAAATCAAAATCAGCTCTAAAAATTATTTTTAAAAATTCAAATGCCGACTAAGGTCGGTAAGTGAATTACGATGAAAAGAACATCAAAATCAATTTAAGCTTTAAAATTCAAGTCTTGGCTACGTTTGATAAGCTAGAGAGCAAGGTGCATATAAAATAGAGTGAATCGATCAGCTGGAGTACAACTAGGGGTCTGTTTGGGGAAGCTTCTAGCAGCTGCAGCTTCTCACAGAATCTCCGGCTGACAGAAGCTCCCAAACAGTCCAGCTTTTTACCTAAATTATAAGAATCTGTAATTGTAGAATCTGGAGAATGAACTAGAACTCAAATTCTTCAGATTCTCACCAGCTAGCTTCTCAGCAGCTGCTTTTCATAATTTTAAGCTCCCAAACAGACGACTAGGAGCGATAGGAAGAAAAAATGTGAGGAATATAATCTTGGCGATGATGCATGCAGGATCATGGCACATTCGCACGGCGTGAGAGCGACATGGAACGAACGCCTAGTAGCTAGCTAGTGCATCAAAGTATCAAACTCCCTGCACGCCATTGCTCTTGCTCTGCTGCTGCTGCTGCTGGGACTTGCAGATTTCAGGAAAGAAACGACGGCGGATCTCCGAATTCTGATCGGCTGGACGGCACAGACAAACCACCTGACGGTTTCTCAGGTGATCGGAACACGATCTTCACTGACGTCTGCTACTGCTACTACTCGATTTGTACTAAAATATAAACAATTTTTTAGTTGTTTAATAAATACTAGCACTAATGTTAAAACGAGATATTCTCTTTCAGTTACTTCAGTGATCAATTTTTGCATATTGAATCGCTTAGATTTTTCCCTCCAAGCATCTGATTAGCTGAAAATTAATGTATGGATTTCATGCTGGAAATGTTTATATTGTAGGACAAATTTTGAATCATAGAGACACTTGTATTATGGGAGAGAGTACATTGTAGGCTGGAGATGATTCTGAATGTTTGCCCAGTTTTCTCGTCCCATTTCACCACGAAAACGCGAAAGCAAAAGGGCCATAGAACATTTCAGATTTCAGAAGCCCATGTCATGCAGCAACAAGCATACTCTGCGGCCCATCCAGATGGGCTATCTACCATCTTTTCCATTGTTTCAGGGGAAGGAAAAAGTACACCGAAGGTCCCTCAACTTGTCATCGGGATAAAAAACGTCCTCGAACCGCAAAACCGAATATGCGAGATCCCTTAACTATACAAAACCGGTCACACTAGTTCCCTCGGCGGTTTTGATCCCGGTTTTATCCTACGTGGCTGCTGAGTCAGCATGAGGCCCACATGTCAGTGTGTCCACGTCATCACTCCTTTTTCCCATCTCTCCTCCTCTCTCTACTAGGTTACTCCTTAGGTCAGGCCGAACCCGCGGGCGCGAGGCGAGAGAGAGGGAGGGCGGCCGGCGGCGGGGCGGCCGACGCGGGAGAAGGTGAGACGATGGCTCCTCCTAGCACGGGCGCGAGGTGGATGGGAGGGCGACCGATGTTGGGGTGGCGGCGGCCGGCGATGGCCGACGCGGGAGAAGGGGAGACGACGGCTCCTCCTACCGCGGACGCGAGGCGGGAGAGAGAGGGAGGGCAGCCAGCGGCGGCGGCCGATGCTGGGGTGGCGATGGCAGCCGACGCTGGGGTGGCGGCGGCTCCGGCTCCGATTTCCTCCGCTCCCTCCTCCGCCGCATCATCCCGTCCTCCCCGCCCGCCTGGCCGCCTCCCTCCCTCCCTCCGTCCGCCTCCTCACCTCCCTCCCTCCGACCGCTTACCCGCGCCGGCCCTCCCCCGTCCAAAACAAGCCCAGGCGCCGCCGCTCGATGACGGCCACCGCCCCGCCGTCTCCCACCACTGCCATCGTGCTTTTGTTGTGCTTGTGCTTGTGCTGGAATATTGAACTGAAAAAACACAACAGCGCTCCTTTTTGTACCTTGCTCGGATCATAAAAATCACGAAGTTTTAGCATCATTTGATTACACAAATAAGCGACATCCGAATTCTGAATCAACACGCTCCTGTGGCCGCTCGCACAACCCCCTGCAAAGAGCGGAAACTCCCAGGACTTCTTGCCTGAAAACGAGAGGAAAAGAACTGTAATTGAACTAGTGAAAGTTCATCCATGAAGACAAATCCAAAGAGCTCAATCATACAGTATAAAAATGGCATTGTAAATTGGCAAGCTGTTCAAGAGGAAGGCATGGCCATGTATACCAGAGTTGTGCCCTGTGCGGCAGCAGCATGACGGCGAGGAGCAGGATGGTGTCGCCGTGCTGGACGACGTGCGTGAGCGCCCAGACGACGGCGGCCGTGGAGATGTCCCTGGCGGCGGCCCGCACGGCCTATGGCCTCTGTGTCGCCGGCCTCCTCCCCAACCGGCCTGCTCCCGCGTCGCCGCCGCCGCCTCGTCGCCTGTCGCCAGCCGTCGGGCCTTCTCCTCTCCCTTCTCGCCCCGGCGACCTTACGACCCGCCGGCTGGCCTGGTAGAGGAGAAAAGCGAGCGAGAGAGAGAGAGGAAGTGAAAGGAGGGGAAGGAGAGAGAGGGTGGCACGTGGCATCCTGATAGGTGGGGCCCACGCTGACTCAGCCGCCACGTCGAATAAAACTAGGGTCAAAACCACCGAATGACGGACGCCGGATATCTGGTTTTGCGGTTGGGGGATGATTCTGTAACTCGATGACAAGTTGAGAGACCACTGGTGTACTTTTTCCTTCAGAGGTAATAACTACTTGTCATTTCATTCCAGGAAGAGCATAGTCTCAGCCAATAAAATCAGAAGAAACAAGGTATAAACTGCAGTCCAATAATATACAGATACTGGGTCAGAGGAAGCTATTCCAAAGAGAGGAAAACAAATGCTAAAAGCAAAAGCTTTTCCAAATATCAAATGCAAGCAGTATCATGGAATGCTCCTGCCTGGGTAGATGATCCACATAGAACAGGATGAAAGTCACATGAACAAATTGGAACGTAACAATGATGTTCTGAAGCATAACATGCCACATTTCAATATGATTTCAGAAGCAAATAACCGTTACAGTATGAAATGGGCATTGCTAACTTTAAAGCCATAATTATCAGCAAACCCAATAGGTAAAGCAGTTTAAGATGAATGATGTGTACTGCAAATGCATGTTTGTAGTGCTGGTTGTTCCACATGAGTAGCTGCAAATTACATAACCAAGAAGTGTTGATAAACTAACTGTGCAGAAAAGGACCACATATCCAAGTTCGCATGAGGGATTCAGTGGTAAAAGAAAATCCATACTTACACATGACATCACTACTTTAAACTCTACACACTGAGGACTGAAAATACAGAAGCGTAAAGGAAATAAATAAGAACCGAATTAATTACCTTCTTTATGCCCTACGAAACAATAGCAAAAAGAAAACTGCATAATTCTGCAAACCCATACAACCATAGGTGAAAAATTAGAAATGCGGAACTATTGTTTAGTAACTATATACTCACTCCGTCCACAAATATAAGGGATTTTGGGATTCAAAATTTATCCACGAATATAAGGGATTTTGGATTTATTACTTACTAGTAGTTGCATCACTAGGAATGATCTTTCCCAATCAAGTAAACACCCAGGGGCATCAAAGTAATTTCACCTGAACATTAAACTCTTCTAAACAACCTAGATTCTTTATATTTGTGGGTGGAGGGTGTATAAGATTGGAGAGGCAATATTTGATATTTTGTTTCTTCATGTTTTGACAAAAAAAAGAACCTTCCTTGAAACCAAACACAAGAGCTAAATTGTCAATGACAAACCAAATCAACCAAGTATGTCAACCACATCAATAATAGCAAAAACCTATAAGGCACTTAAGTTAAGTGTGTCAACTTCATTGACGAAAAGCTTCCGCATTTGGCTTTGAACACATAAACCTTACTGCATACGAGGGACTTGTAAGCTAAAATGCAGCGATAGCCACACTGCCCTCGCACAACCTTTAATAGTTTCCTTACACAACCAAATTCTGGTTACAGCATTGTACATCCAAAACAAAGAACATAAATTGCACAGCACATGAGCACAGTAATCATGAGAGGTAACCAGCTAACCGCATAATAATTATCGGATTACACTATCCGACAAGTTAAGACATGCACTACAAATACAGTCATACAGTCTTCCCCATTACAACAATTTTACCCAGATTCTAGAACCAAAAGCTCAAATTCTTTAAGCTCAGGGGAAGCCATAAATTATCAACATATCTTATTACGCGGCAACAACAACAACAAGAACAGCAACAGCAACAACAAACAACAACACATCCTTCGCTTAGAAAAGGCTTGAAAGGGGTTAATCAGATACATTACTGCTGGGGCACATAGTAGTAGGCGAGCGGATCGGTGGCCGGCACACCGGCGGCGGGGCGGGGGATGCCGGCCGCCGCCGCGGCCGCGGCGGCGTCGGCGTCCTTGGCGTCGTCGCGGGGCACGATGTCGACGAGGAAGTCGAACACCTCGGTGCGCGCGATGGCGGCGGCAATGTCGGACTTCTGCAGCGTACGGCGCTTGTTCTCCTCGGCGTGCGCCCAGCCGCGGTGGGTGAGCTCGAGGATGAACATCTCGCAGGCGCGGGCGAACACGACGGGGGCCTCGGCGGCGATCATGCGGACGTCCTCGTCGGCCTTCATGATCTTCTTGATGCGGGCCAGGGGGAGGTTGTGGTTCTTGAAGTCGGTGGTGGCCTCGATCTCGCGGTACTGCTCCGCCCAGAACATCTGCAGCTGCTGCTGCGCCGCCGCCGCCTGCTGCGCCGCCGCGGCGGCGGGGGGCGCGTAGAGCTGCTGCGCGTAGGCGGCGGCGGCGGCGCCGGCGGGGGGAGGCGGAGGGTACGCGCCAGGCGGGAAGCCGACGGGCGCGCCCATCACCGGCGGCGGCGTGCTGGATTTGGTGGGATCCATGGCTGCTGCGAGCGGAGCTTAGCTAGGGTTTGAGGAGGAGGAGGGGATTTGGGGATGGAAAAGCTCTCTCTTTGCTGCTTCTCTTCACTTGGGTTTGGGTGATGGATTTGTTTTTGTGTTTATTATTATTATTATTATTATTATTATTATTATTATTATTATTATTATTATTATTATTATTATTATTATTATTATTATTATTATTATTATTATTATCCTTTTCTTTGTGAAATGGTGGTGGTGTTAATCCCCTTTGGGCTCTGTGGTTTGCCACTCAACTCAACTCACCTGTGTTCACACTTCAAACATGTCTAGTGCATGTATGGATTTGTCTATTTAATTTTGTCTAAGGATTTGTCACCGGAAATTTGATTTTGAAGCTTAGTTTTATATTGAGGGCTGTTTTTCTCAACAATTTCAAACTTCAAATTTCTCGTTGTACGTTAGCATACTTTTCGAATTGATAAATGGTATAATTTTATATAAAAGTTTCTTACATATAAGTTGTTTAAAAATAATTTATTTTTAAATCTATAATAGTTAATTAATTATGTGCATTGAGTTTTCTCGTTTCACGTGCACTACAAAACTTTCTCCAAACTAAGAGAACAAACATAGTCTACATTAGGGTGGACAGGTTAGCTCGCTCGGCTCGTGACAGACTCGGCTCGGCTTATTTGATTTTCTTAACGAGCTGAGCTGGCATTTTAGCTCGTTAGGGATAACGAGCCGACTCGAGCCAGCTCGCGAGCCTTAACGAGCCAGGACTTCATTAGACAACCACAAAGGCCCAACCCAATACAATAGCAAAGGCCCAAGCCCAAGACAACAGCAAAAGCAAAACCCTAGTCCTCTCTTGGTCTCCTCACTCGGTCACTCCTATTCCTCATCCGTCGACCACCGCACCACACAAGAGTACGAGACGAGAGTCGAGACCGCACATCCGCATCGCTTCGCCGCACAAGACTGCGCCGACGCCGTCGCCAGGCGCTCGCGCCGCCGCTGTCGCCAGGCGCTCGCGTCGCCGCTGCCGCAAGCCGCTAGGGCCGTCACCCCTGCTGCCGCCGCCAGCCGCACTTCCCCAACCGCCACTGCACTTCCCCAGCAGGCACTAGGCCACCGCCGCTAGGGCCACCGCCGCTAGAGTCGCCGCTGCCGTTGCACTTCCCCAGCCGCAGCCGCCACCAGCCGCACTTCCCCAGCCGGCGCTAGGGCCGCCGCCACCGCTGCCAGAGAAGGCGTAGGTTGCACTCACAGGTCCCCTCCTCCGGAGCTTGCTGTCTTGTTGGATTGGCTCGCGAGTCTAACGAGCTGGCTCGAGCTTTCAAACGAGCCGAGCCGAGCTGGGTTTCTAGCTCGTTAGGATAACGAGCTAGACCGAGCCGAGCCGGCTCGCTATCCACCCCTAGTCTGCATTGTTTTTCATTAATTTATTTTCTACATTGATTTTTTATCGGGTCATGAATCTTCGCATGGATCCGGGCCATACGTCTGCCTATATTTTACCCTTCTTCTTTTTATTGTAAATGGCATCTAAAATTAGTAATTTTCAGTTAGGTGATTTTTCATCGTTTTGTTTTTTTAACCCAGCCAATCCTATCCTTATATCATTTCTTTTGTTTATTTTTCCATAGCTTATTAGCCGTAGCTTTACTAATCATATACTAATTTATTTTCTAAATTATGCACTTAGCGAAAAAAATACTCCTTCCATCCTAAAATATAAGCATTTTTAGCATAGTGATAAGCCAAACATTTTAAACTTTGACTATTAATAAAAAAAAGATCAATAATATAAAATTGATGTTTATAGATTTATTATTAAAAAAACTATCATAATATGTAACTCTTTTTATTTAGAATATCTTATTTTTATGGGGTAATTGTTGGTTAAAGTAGCATCTTGTAGACCGTATCGTCTAAAAATAGTTAAATTTTGGGACGGATGAAGTAAATAGTATTAGCCCAGAATATCCACTCTATGTGCTAATTTTTGTCGGAGCTGACCCCACACACGTTTTAATTAAGCAATTTATGCTGTGCAGTTGATCATACACGTTGCAGAATTCCACTCCTCACACTGTTACTCACGGCTGATTTTGTACATAGATTGGAAAAATAGGCAAGAAAATCAAGAAGTTTGCAGCCGCAGAATCCAGTGTGCAGCTCCAGTTTTTTGACTCCGGGAGTTGATTGGGTTGCTCCCCTGAATTGCGTGCGTTGGCGTGTTAGCTCGGCTTTGCACCTTTGCAGTCGCTTCAGACTACGAGAGGGGAGCTCAGCTGCTCATCTACTAATAAAGTTGCCTACCCCCCAACTAACTCCCAACTCCGAATTGCACACTTGAAAATGATATATTGGAGATAGATATTTGCTGCATCAGTTGTGTGCTTTGCCACCTGAAAGTGGCAGACCAATCTGAACATGCCATGATCAAACTAATCGATAACAAACAAAACACAAATTGGTTCACAAGCTCAGGAGAGCTGATGAACTTTCATGCTATAATAATACTCAAGAACACCAAGAACATCTACTTGATCGATCAATTTACATAGAATTGCAAGTTGAAAGCACGAGCATCAAGTGAGGAAGAGAACATTAAGATTAAGGTTTCAAGGAATTTACATAGGATTGATCGAAGAGGAACTGATGAGCTTCCATGCTAATACTCAAGAACACCAAGAGCACATCAGCTTGATCGATCAATTTACATATGATCGCGAGTTCAAAGCAAGAGCATCAAAGATCAAGATTTCAAGAAATTTACATAGGATCGATCGATTTGGGAGAAAAAAAAGGAGAAAGCTTAGAGCTTGATTACTGCAGCGGCTAAAGCAAAGGATTGGACGCGAGCTCCCTCTTATTGCCTTCACAAAGGGGAGCTGATGATCTCACACACACCTAATCAAAATCCCCATGGCTCGCAGCAGCATCAGCTAGAGCTAAAAGGCTACTAGTACTCGCCTCGCGACATCGCGACGCTAGTCGACGCAGGTGCCGCAGGGGCCGAACCCGCCGCTGCACCCGGGGCCGGTGCCGTCGCAGATGCCGGCGGCGCCGACGAACACCGGGCTGCTGCGGCGGCGGCGGCGGCGGCGCGAGCCGCGGCCGCCGCCCTCGTCGCCGTCGCCGACGGAGGTGAAGATGATCCACGCCACGACGGACAGCCACAGGATGACGGCGCAGTAGACCGCCTCCCCGCCGAACCCGCCCTCCGCCGCGCCCATGAACTCCACCGGCCAAGGTGCTCCCATCTCCGCCGCCGGGCTCATCTCTCTCTCGCTCTCGCTTTCCCCGTGGTGAGGTGAAGCGAAAAGCCCACCGGATTCGATTTTATAGCCGCGGCGGGTGGGGTGTTCGTCCGGGGTCGGCTCGGTGACGTGACGTCCACGCGCGCCACGCGCTCGCGCGCGCGACGGCGTGACGCGGCCGCGCGCAACGAGACGGGTTTTGCTTTTGCTTAGCGCGGGTGGTGTTCGTTCGCCTCGCCGCCACCAGCCGTCGGATCAGAAATGGACGGCCCAGATCATCTCTGATGACACCGCCCGGCCGGCGTCGGAAGAACCGGTCTCACGACGTCTCCTTTCTTCAAAAAAAAAAAGCCAAATTGCATGTGTGATTCTGCATTTGACTTTGCACTTCAACGAATTTGTGCACGAATCGCTCTAAGAATTAAGCAAAATATTCTGAGAATTAATCATGTGAATAAATTTATTCTGATAAATTGATGTATAGACGGCTAGATTTTGGCCGGGTCAATACGGTGTAGGTTTCCCGGTTAGTTGAGCGTACTTTGAGCTAAGCAATCAAATCGCCGATTGGCTTGCTTAGTAGTAGTGGTTTAACATATTCAATCGTGATCATTTTTCTGATGGAGTGATGGCGACCGAGTGCTGAACCTGCTGCTGATTTCTTAACGATTAAGTTACGAAGGAACGAGAGAAATACTAATACTCCCGTTTCGAAATGTTTGACGCCGTTGACTTTTTAGCATATATTTAACCTTATTAATTCTTTTCATATCATTTGATTCATTGTTAAATATATTTTTATGTAGGTATATAATTTTACATATTTCACAAAAGTTTTTGAATAAGACGAACGGTAAAACATGTGATAAAAAATCAGCGGTGTCAAACATTTTGAAACGGAGGGAGTACTAGACAGATCAAGTGGAGTTCAAGGATTTCGTTGTTGATCAGTTCAGAGAAAATTTTGTCAGAATGCAAGGAACAGGTAGGTGTTTTATTGGCATCAGCAAAACCTGAAAGGCTGAAACTGGTTAGACTGCAAGTCTGCGTGCTTGACTACTGCAGCTTTCACTCACTCGTCAGATTCAGAGTATGCCATTCAATTTGCTATTTTGCTGCACACGACTTTACATCTACAGATTCAGAGGATGTGGCAAAACTGTGTGCAAATTTTAGGATGAATTTTTGGACAGCTTTATACCCAAAATGTTCATTCTGCATTTGCAGCAATAGCCTGAAACGTGGTCTTAGAAAAGTGATTTGGACATTGAGTAAAGAACAGTCACTTGCAAAGTACGATAATCCTGAATGAACTGGAGCAAAGCTTTGGAAGGAGAAAATTATTCTACAATTCAGAGAACAACACTGCAGACGAAATTTCACCTTCTGAATTACCTTCACTGACCGCCATGTGCAGCGTTTTTTTAAATGAAGCAGAGTTCGCTTCGAAATTAGAAAATTAATCATCGTCGTCGTCGAAATTTCACCTACTGAATCCTGCTTGCCATGTGCAGTGCCTGCATGTTCAACATGCTCGTCGTCGTTCAAAGTATTGAGGCGATATTTAAGGCAGAGGTGATCCAGTGAAGGCTTTTTGTCTCTGCTTTGTGCACTGATTATGAATCTGGCACTGGAGTACAATTGATTCGTAGTGGCATTGAGTTTGACATATTAGGGAAACAAATGGTGTGGGCAAATGGGCGATCGAATTGACTAAAGCTGTTTACTGTTGACTGCAAGTGCATACTACAATGATAGTCTATCTAGTACCTAACTATTAAATTATCTTATGATTGTAGTATATTCTCTTTTTTTTTTGCGAGAATATTTGTGAGTATTTCAACGAGCGATAAAGTCTGATTTGTCACATTTTGAAATATCCTGACGACAAACTGTAAAGCACTTAAAAGTCACAATCTAGCGAACACATTCAGAACTACAAATCCCTAAGCCCCTACACAAGCATTCTGTTTTTTGTTGACCTCATGAACACATTCAGAACTACAAACCCCTAAGCCCCTAGTTTACACAAGGATTCTGTTTTTTGTTGACCTCATGAACAGATGACAAGATGTCAAAATCCATTAGCATTGATCAAAATCTCTACAAACTGACACAAATATTTGTAACAAAAATTTCCTAAGATTAACATCAGGCCAAACACAGGAGAGATCACAAGACTACCTTACAATGACCAAGCAGCCATCACTGTCCATGCAAAGCCATCGCAAGATCCGGCAAGTCTAACAGCCGCCGCCGCCGCCGCCACCACCACCACCACCACAGCCACCGCCGCCGCCGCAGCAACCGCCTCCACCACCGCCGCCGCCGCCGCCACCGCACCCGCCGCCGCCATGGCCACCGTGTCCACCGACGACGGCGACGCCGTACGCCGCCGTATACATGCCCGTCGTGTCGACCACCGTGCCGGACATCGACGTGGACACCTTCTTCTTCTTGGATGAAGGCGGCGGTGGTTTCATAGGCTTCTTCTTCCTGAGGAGATCGCCGTCGTGGACGCCGGAGCTGTGGCCGCAGAGGAAGACGGCGAACGAGACGGTCAACGAGCAAACCACCACCATGCACAACGCCATGAACCACGGCCGCCCGAGGCCGGTCGCCGTCGCCATCGCCGCCGACGCGGCGTCGCCGGCGAACGCTAGGAGTATTCTCGCCATTGCAAACGGATGGAAAAATGTACTGCAAGAGCGATGCGATATATATATAGCTCTCAAGATTTTTTTTTCTTGAGATGGAGATAATAACGAATTTGATCTGATCTGTCCATGGAATCCGGAACGGCTGTTGCTTAACGGCGGTGCAGAGCTAGGACGCCGCCGCCAAGAAGGAAGAAGGAACAAACGCTGCATTGTTCTTGGGACCAAGCGGTGGCCGGCGGCGAGGTCGCAGCCGAGCCATCGCCCCCAACGACGGCACAGTGGATAGTTTTTTCTCCCACACTGCAGTGTCGTGCTGTGACAGAGCTGGTGATTTTCTGGATTGAATGCCATGTAATTTGGAAACTCTTCCATTGGTGTTAAAGATGCTGCTGTTAATCTTACAGCATTTGTTCTTTCAGTAATGTATGTATTACTATCATCATGTTACTGAAGGAAAAAAGCTGCACTGATGTATGCATTTGTAGTGTACATCAATTCAAGAGAGATCGGGCATGTATATGCATTCGTGTTCGAGTCAGCAAATATTGGTTTTGTTCAGATTAATAAATGGCTTTCAAGTGAACAAATGACCAAGTAGTATACCTGAAATACTGGAGCCACATAAGATTAATAAAGGTACTCCTAAATACTCTTCCATAGGAATAATACAATCAAATAATTTACTATATTAACATTAGTGACTACAAAATGTGATGCAGCTTTCGTGATCTGTGATTGAACATGTCTCTGATCTAAAGCCTACCACTAACTTGCTGGAACCTTTACAAGAGAGAAGAGCCCAGATAAAAGAATATCGCTCTAGACAGCTTAAATAAAACCTAGAGCGTAAAGAATTAATCTACCAGGTGAAAAGAAAATAATTGGATAATACAACACTCTGTCATTCAGGGATTTATATTGCAGTCCCGTAGGAAGACTTGATCGAAATCGACGTATTTTGACCAGTATTTGCGATATCTGGACAATCCAATCTCAAGCCAGGGTTTCAGATTACCATTGTAGTGTATGACAGATGCCCTCCGGATATCCTTCTCATTGATGTTTGGGTTGTACCCAAGTCCCAACTGATGCCAGGAGTGATGAAGAGGGAAGGTACGGTTCCAAAATGTTACGAGACCAGCAGGAAGAGTACCTAGCTTCCACAATATCCTATTTTCGTTCTGCAGAAATCAGATATCAATAAGTGAAATAAACAGCAGAACAATAGGACAAACCAACACTACATCTCTCCTGCACGTTCGAGAAAAAAAAACCAGCACTACAGAATGGTAAATCATATTTTCGGTTGAGAATTTGAGGTTGTTCATCGGTTTAACTGTAGCAGCTTTTCTAAGCATAACAATATAACATGCTCAATTCCTAGTTGGAAGTATGGAACATTAGATCAGGTGCTTTCAATTCAATTCCAGCCAGGGTTAGAAGTGCAAGTTTTCATTACACTAGCTGAACGGACCCACTACAGCTTTTCTTCAAACAACGAGATTGACAAGATGGTCTCTGCTGGTTGAGGCTTAATATTTTACATCTACTGGTGTTCAAGTGCAGGAGGAGCAGTAGGATGGCAGAGAGACCATCTCCAAATATTTTTACAAATAAATATGATTGTAAGCTCATAAGTACTCACCAGTCTTTGCCAATTGTGGTAGACGTCAGTAATCTTTTGTCTTCTCCACTCAGATAGATCGAACACATTCATGCCATACGCCCAACCGCAGGCACGCGGGTCAAAATTGCTGGCAATAAGAGGATTTGAGAAGTTGAGGTACTTATCAAACCTATGAAAGGTCTCTCCACAGGTCTCAACAGCACCATTAACCTTGCCTTTTAGATCAATGGACCAAATCGCACTTAAGTCCTGCTGTACTACAGTGTCATCATCCAGGAATAACACCTTGCTAAGCTTCGGGAAGATTTCAGGGAGATAAAACCTCAGATGATTGAGCATTGACAAGTACTTGGGGTTCCGGAACTTGGGATTTTCATCACGCCTGGCCTGCCCACTCTTGAAGTAGTAATCAATCATAGACTGTGATTCTAGCTGCTTCATAACTGGACTGTAGGTAGAATTCAGCCATGTAAACTCTTCAATGTTTTGAACCTGAATGGCTGCTTCACCCAAGGGATTAGCCAAGAACCACATCTTCATTGCAGCATAGTTAAGCCTATCCGTGACAATGTGGAAGACATGATCTGCTGGTTTCTGCATTTAAATAAAGTGGTATGCATCTCGTTAAATATAACAAAAAATGGGTAGAAGAACTATTAGTTCATAGAGATTAATGTCAAAGGTCAAATGATGTACCTTAGCATGAATAATAGTGGAGTTTACAACCACTGCAGCAGCCAACACATTATCTGAGAACAACGCATAGTGATAGAGTTTTGGATCTTCCAACTTTTCTATATGTGGGAATTTTTTATTGTTGGAGTTGGTGTAGTAGTACTCATTTGTAAGCCGCAGCGGAAGGCAATGAAGTCCTTTTGGTAAAGATTTTGCTGCTACTTGTGCTAGATAGTTGGTTTCCTTTTTATGAGATTGGAGTCGCTCCTCTGTTGAGTGAAGGGTTGCACGGAGCCTGTTCAGAGCACCCGAGCAACTATCAAGAATTCTCTTTCCCTTTCCCAATGTTTGCTCCATTGCTCTTATTTTGCTAAGTACACTGCATAATAATAAAAAAGGGTGAGATGTCCAATTTCAACAAAAGGTACGGCAAAAGCAATAATGCACCATGATGACACACACACACACAGAGAGAGAGAGAGAGAGAGAGTACTTCTGAGGAAGCTGGCCACCACTGGTTGCATCACCTAGGACTCTTTGGATATCCCTCATCCGTGCACGAAGCTCCCTTGCAAAACCATGATTGCCTCTAGAAGCTACAAGGCTCAGATATGTCGTTGCTCTCGTCAACTGGTCCTTGATTGTGCGGATGGTAGCGTCTGGGGAAGTAGTGGAATGACCAGCACTAACACTTGTTGGGAGAGCAGAATTACTGTTAGTTGTTGGTGTGTAAGACTCTTTGGGAATAGCTTTTGTAACTTGTTCAGACAATCTACCAGTGCTCCTTTCCTGGACAATTGAACAATTAACAGTTAGTTCATAGCATAACCTGAAAGACAATCACTGACGGTTGAGTGGTTGACGGAACACATATACTATGACTGTGGATAACTGAGTACACAAGTTACAGTATGTTAACACCACTAAACAATATGTTTATTCCAAATAAGCAGTCCAGCTTTCAGAAAAGGGTGACAAAATGGAAAATCACAAAAAGAATGGGCATCTAAATGCATTTTTACTCAAGTGTATAGAGTTGTAATATACATGCAACTATGCAAGAAAGGTGAACAACAGAATATTAAATTCATTAAAGAAAATAAAAACCATTGAAAAATCTGCACCACCTCGGCAGCACTCACTTACTTGATTCCTAAAATGAGCATGATTTTAGGTGCTAGTAAATATGTATAGCTGCGAGGTGTTGATGGTACAAGGTGTCTAAAGTCTTACTTTCTAGTTAGTAGTCCCTACCCATGATTCTTAAAAGGAAACTTTATCACCCTTGCCAAGTATGCAATCGGTCATCTGTAATCAATTTTACCTTTTCTAGGGATGAATTCAGGTTTCCACTAGTGTGCGTTCCAGCAATGTTGTTCACCCCTGTTTCACCTGTTCCATCATTCTGTTCTTCCACACTAACACCCAACTTTACCCTATCAACCCTTTCACCATCCCGCTCCTCACCTCCGTTGATCTCCCATGGTTGAGTAAACCCATCTGAACCTCTGTCCCTGCTGACAACCTCCCAGATAACGCCATCCCGTCCCGACTGAGCAGCACCATTCCCTTCAGTAATCACCACATTGGCATCCCCTGATCCTGGGTCCTTCCTCGATACACTTGCATCGGATTTCTCGAATGCCGGATTCTTACTCGCCGCCTCAACCACTTGCCAATCTTCGGTTGCTGATAGCACCCGGTTCTTGTGCTCGCCTAGCCTCTCAATCGTCAAATCTACAACACCAACACACCCAAACTTAACATTACAGAGTCTACAACAATCGGCAGTTTAGACGCAACAAAAAACGTGAACAGAATCTTACTCTGCCTACCATTTCCTCCACGATATGAGACAAACAGTGAGAATGTAAATCCGCACTACTGGATAGTACAAAAAATGCAAAATGATAAACAGCGGAAGGCACCCCCACCTTTGGTGAGGGAGACGTCGGAGGCAGCCACCACCAGATTGTACTCGCCATCCCGATCCAGCACGCCGCTCGCCACTGCAAAAGAGAAGGAAAAACAAAAACACCACCCGTCAAGCACGGATCTCCCCACATTGTCGGCGAAGAGAGAGAGGGGGGGGAGGCATTCGTCCGTTCGTACCGGTGGAGTCCGGGAGGGTGGAGACGGAGACGGGGGAGCCGCCGTAGAGGACGAGGGGCGCGAGCACCGACGAGAGGAGGAGCAGCAGCACCACGCCCCTGCAGCGCCGGCCCCGCGCCACCGCCACCATGGGCTCCCCAATTCCCGCCGCCTCCCTGCACTTCGGAGAGCACGCGCGCCTCGCCGCCGCCGCCGCCGCCGCGCCGAGCGATGCGGGAGGAGGAGGAGATGGCGGTCGCGTTTTGCGGTGGGCGCAGGCGCAGCGAAAGCCGAGGCGGCCGCTTATTTTTTGGGAGGAGGCGAGATGTGTTGTGTGTGTGTGGGTTTTGGGCGTCGGCACGCGCGGCGCGGGGGGGCCCGGATGCGAAATCTCGGGGCGCGCGTGGCGTGGGTGACGGCGTGAGCGTGAGCGTGAGCGACCGACCCATATGCGTGTGTACGACTTTAAATTTGCTTGCTCCACCCTGGATTCCCATGATATCGTGGAGTAGAAGTAAAAATATTTTTCTCCATCCAATTTGGGCAGATAGTGTGTGAGCTGGAGTAGTAGATCTATTTGCTGTCCCTAAGCTGATAACTGTCCCAAATTGCTTTAAAATTGGTGCAGGTCTCTATATTTAAGGCTGTGTTCTTTGATTAGGGTTCCAACCCCTCTCCCTCATGTTTCGCGTGCACGCTTTTCAAATTGTTAAACGGTGTATTTTTTGCAAAAAAGCTTCAATACAAAAGTTGTTTAAAAAATCTTATTGATCTATTTTTTTAAAGAAAATAGCTAATACTTAATTAATCACGGACTAATAGACCATCTCGTTTTCCGTGCACAAGACATGGGTTCCCAACTCATAGAAAAGAACACACTCTAAGAGCACCCGCAATGGTAAAGTAAGGTGCTATCTATAAAACATGTACATCTCAGCAATAGACTCGATTAATAGTAAACCACCTTAATAGTATGTCTACATTGGTATCTATAATTCTCTCATGCATTGCCTCGTTTTTCTCTATAGACTATCTCTAAGTTAGTAGATAGCTTTGCTCTCTCTCTTCATTTAATACCTTCCAAGTAGGAAAATATGCTGACATGGATCTCTTGTAGAGAGCCTATAGATAACCATTGTGGGTGCCCTAAGCACTGAATGCAGTGTGAATTATTAGCGTATGACTAGTTAACTATTAGCTTAAAATAACTAAAAAATAAATTAATATGATTTTTAATGTAAATTCTTACTATATGAAAATATAAAACAAAACATTATAGTTTAGTAGTTCAGGAAGCACACGTGTGAAAAACGAGAGTATAAGTTGAGAACTTTCTCATCAAACATGCCCTTGATCTTTTTATCTCTCCTATTTTTTTTTGTCCCGTCTCACACCATTGTGATACCGCTCCACCGTCTTCCTCATCATCATCGTCGCCGTCCTCCAACACCATCACCGTTACCAATATTATCATCTCCAACCTCCTTCCCTTGTCTCACCCCTCCCTCCCCCACCTCGATCCATCATCGTCGCTCTCCACCTCTTAATCACATGGCCTTTGTTTTCCACCGCTGATCTCACCCATTATCGGTCTTCCACCACCGCCGTCATTTGTCTAAAGCCTTCCTTCTATGTACATTGTAGTTTGGTTATCACTAGTGCCAAGGCTCGCCAAGGAAGCTCCCATCGCCGGTTAGTCCGCCATATCCTCCATGTATTCTTTGTTTGGACCTCTCCCGATTAAAGTGTGTGTTTGTGTTTAAGGGTCCGTGATCCATTTCCCAAAAAAACAGGATAGCTATTTAGTACATAATAATTAATTAGGTATAACTAAAACGATTTAAAAAATGGATAAACATGATTTTCTAAAGTAACTATCATATATTATTTTATAGAGACACACAGTGTTTAACCGTTTGGAAAGCCCGTGCGTGAAAACACTAGACTATAAGATAGGAACGGGTATTCTGAACGCAGCCTAATAAAACTAACACTAGGAGCTTTTCTAAAGCATTGATAGGCGCCTACAAATCGGGCGTCCGATTTTTTTTTTTTTTGCTACAAGTGGATCGAACATGTTTCACTAAATAGATCGAAAATATTTCAGTCTTTTAAAAAGCTGAAACACAACCAAATCACCTCATGAAATATTTTGCTACAATGTATGAAACAACGGTTCCAAAAAAAACCGAGCGTTGTTTCACCCTATATAAAAATAATATTTTAGCAAATAGCGAAAGAATGTTTCAATTCACTGGAACATTTGATCCATACACAGTGAAACATTATGAGTACACTAGGTGAAACATTTTTGGCGGAACAAAAAAATGAAACGGATTTCTTAATAGAGGGTTTCTATAATATATGGGTGATTTGTTGCAAACGAATATTTCAATTCACTGCAACATTTCATCCATACATAGTAAAACATCATGCGTACACTAGCTGAAACATGTTGGTGTAACAAAAAATGAAACGGATTTTCTTAATATGGCGTTTCCATAATATGTGAGTGATTTGTTGCAACGGCGTGTGTGGTGGAGACACGTGGCGGGGGTGGTGCGGCGTGGGGACGGCACGTGGGCGGCGGGCGCGCGCAGCGCCCGATTTTTCTAGCGCGCGTCGGGCACCCAATCCCTGGCGTTTTTCTTGATTTCCATGATCAGGGGTGGATCTATACAGTAGTATGAGCGGTGTCAAGCGACACCGACGACTTTGGGCAAAACCTATAGCGAAACTGCTTATCCACATATTATAACACTATGGTCTAAGCATAATTAACATACTATGACACCGATAGACACGTTATGATACCAACTAATCGATTTTTTAGATCTGATGATGAATACCGAAAATGCTCACACTCGGACGACCGCGCGGGATGGAGAAAAATCGGACGCTGTTGTTGACGAAAAAATCGAACACACCGGCCTGGGAGATCTGCTTAGCTCCAGTGTAGGTCCAAATCTTGGTGAGGTGCAGGCGTGCCAGTCAGTTTGATCCTGCAACTGACAAGATATGCAAATAGTAGATCAAAACAGCCGATCGGCTAACAAGCCAATGGAGTGGTTCCAGCCGATAGCCGATAATAGCCGATGCCGATACCAGCCGATAGCGATAGGGTTTAAGCAATCGGCTATATATCCAATGTAGATAATGATATAAAGGCGATCGGCTGATGATGATAGAATATAGCAATAATATAATCCAGTATAAACCAATCAGCTAGCAATGATATGATAAATAAGCATCGATCCGAAGTTTAAAGCACACATCGGCTGGAGGTCCGATGTCATGAAATCCACAAAATTAGATTAAACAGTGAAACCTTTGTTGTCATCGGCTAAATCCAACTTATATGTATATGCAATCCTCATGAGCCGATGCAACGTCCAGATAACTTACCGGCTGAAACCCCGATGAAACCCTTATTGGCAATCAATAAGCAGGCTAGAGATTATGGTTCTAAGCACGACTTAGTAGATCAAACTTAACTGATGTAGCACTAAGTATGAAAAGAAACATAATATCTAGACAATCAAGCCGATGACTGATTTTTAGGATGGTAGATGCCTATGCTAATCTAATCTAGCAAGGCGATTTAGCCGATACCGGCAGAAACCCTAAAGCGAGAGACAGCCGATAGAGCTAAATTGATATGCTAAGACTGGATTATCAGAGACATATGATAAATAGGTAGGCAAATATATCATCCAAACCAGAGCAATCCAAGAGGTCGAATGTACTGATGCAACCTTGAACGACGCCGATGTAGACGATACAATTGCCTAGGCCGACGGAACATTGGACTTATCCCTTCGCCGGAGATCGAAGACGATGCAGCCCCGCGTCGGGTGCCAAGTTCCGCCGGAATGTAAAAAATAAAAGTAGAAGTAAAAAGGGTGGCGATGCGCTGAATTGTATTGTTGATCGATAGATTGATAGATTACAATGACCCCGGGTGTACATATTTATACCCATAGAGAGATACTAGTCCTCGTCGGACAAGAAAGAAACTAAAAAGGAAAAGATAAAGTCCTTATCGGACACTAAACACACTTTCCTAAAGATAAAAGGAAACTAACAAATTATGCCTAATTAATAGATAACTGTCATGTTGCATCCTTCTTGAACTCGAACTCTTCTAGATAAGCTTCCTTTGATTGATCCGACTCCACTAAGAACACGACATCGTGGCGACTTAGACTCCCATCGGCTGATTCTAGAACTTTGAAGCCGATACTGACTCTAAACCGATGGTAACTTTGGGCTTACCAAATTTCACTGTTAACAGCTGTCTGCCACTGCAGCATGCAAATAATCTTTTCTTTTCTTATTTCTTCAAAAGATTTTTTATCGTAAACTATTTATCTAATCTACGATCTGATTGCACCCCTAAATTCGTTACAATTAAATCTTTACAACAAGACCACACATTATTATATTTCGACAAAAAATATTTTAATTTTTTTATTGATTTTTTTTAATGTTGCATGTGGTCTCTTTTGATGTTTCAACCAATAGTTTTACAATGTTTCAGCTAGTGTACTTATGATGTTTCACTGTGTACGGATCAAATGTTGCAGTGGAACGCGCCGTTGCAATAAATCACACACATATTTTGGAAACCCTCTGTTAAGGGAATTTGGTTTATTTTTTGTTCCACAAAAAATGTTTCACCTAGTGCACTCACAATGTTCCACTACGTATAGATCTAATATTGCAGTGAACTGAAATATTTCATTGCAACAAAAAACCCACATATTTTGGAAACCTCCTATTAAGAAAATTCGTTTCATTTTTTGTTTCACAAAAAAATGTTCCACCTAGTATACTTATAATGTTTCACTATGTATAGATCCAATGTTGCAGTGAACTGAAACATTCTTCCACTATTTATTGAAACATTGTTTTTATATAAGGTGAAACAACACCAGATTTAAACGAGTGAAACATTTTCGATCTACTTAGTGAAACAATTCCGATATACCTGGTAAAACATCGTGCAATATTTAAAAATAATTCAATAATAAGCTAATTTTTTTCCATCGGAATATATCCATGTGTTTTTGTTTTGAAGATTTAATTGCAACGAATTTAATGGTGTAATCAGATCATGATTTGGATAAGTAATTTAAGAGAAAAATTAATTTAAAAGTAGTTTTGCACGTAAATCGGACGCTGACGTCATGCTGACGTCAACGTCCGATTTTTTTCCTAAAACATCGGACGTCCGACGCGTAGCCCTCTCCGATAAATACTGATCGAACTGATCTGATCTGCGGCTGCAGGTGTACATATATGCATATATGCATCGTGTATATCTGCAGGTCGTCTGCTCGTGCCGGTTGACGCGAGCATATGAACCTCACGCGAGCACGCGCGCGGCATGAACATCCAAAATTACTGTATGATTTTGGTTGTTGCGACGTGCAACTGCCGAGATATGCACGCGTAAGTGTGAATTTTTGTGGCACTGCCTGACTGCCATGTGCTGCTCTCTGTTCCAGAACAGTTACATTTTACAAGTCGATGATTTATTCGTCATGCTTTTGAAGGGGAAACTGAAAAGATGGGATATTGTTTCAAGCCGTCAAGGAGAAGAATATAAATCAGTCCATGCACATTTCAGCTCGATCTACACAAAAGTTCAAATTGAACCAACAAAAGTAAAAAACTAAAAAAGATACCGAAGCAAAATTTCAGTAACAACAGATTATTTTTTTTAGGGTTTGTTGGAACCATGCCACCCTAATTTTACAAAATTTGAGATATGTCACCCGTATCTCAGTGACATGTAGGACCCACATGAGTCAATGACATGTCGGTCAGGGTGGCATATCACAAATTTGAAATTTGTGTGGTATGGTTCAAATTTTCCCTTTTTTTTAGAGTAAAATGCATGGAGGGTCATTAAACTTGTTTAAGTGTGTCATATAGGTCACTCTACTTTTAAAATGCACATTTGGGTCACTAATGTGAGATAAGTGAGTCACTTACCCATCTAACTATTCACGCGAGCATACTTTGTACACATGGCATGCCATGTAGGATTGAAAAAATTGCATTTGAAAATATGCAGGAAACCCCCTATGCATTGTGATTAAATCGTCTCGTATCAATTCCCTAAATAAATTGACTAGTAAACAGATCCTGAAATCAGTGCATGACACGTTCGTAGGAGGCTGCCAATATTCTTATTCCCGCTGAATGCATATGTGATATCAATTTTTTAATGGATGTGTTAGACCATTGGAAATTAACAGATACTAGACCATTGTATGGCATAAGAATTCACCAATTTGTTGGCATGCATGTTTTGCCATAGTGGCTTCTACTTTTACTTTTAATTTCAGAGACACTACAGGCTTTCATAAATCAACATTTCTTAATGATGTTCCACATCTCAAAATCACATAGAAAACGATCTTACATTAACTGATAACATCCATGAGCAGTCAACACTAAGTTCCACTAACCAAAAGCCATAAATTTCAAAAGGGGAATAAATCCAATTGTTGAATTGTGCACCTTTTATTTTGCATTTTGCAACATTGAAAAAACAAGATAGAAAGCACCCATATAACTTCTATTTTTTTTTCTTCTGGCTAGGTGGTCTAGATGATCTGGCCGTTGTTGATCTTGTGTTGCTTCTCTTCATCCTTGCTCTGCCCACGTGTGTAGATGTTGTCGCTCTTGGCTGTGGTAGTGTATTTCTATTAGCTTCAATGAAGACTGAATCCGGTAAAGGGCCTAGCTGGTTAATGGAGGATTGAGTTGATGTTGCCTAACAAGCAAATTAGTATGAAACATGAGTAGGTAGCAGATAGTGACAGTGAAAAATGTTAAACCATGCATGCAACTAACCTGTTCTAATAAAGTAGTCAACACTGAAGTGCTATGTTGGCCCTCTTGTACTAATTCTTCTGGAACAATTGGAAACGTTTGACATAAAAGATTAAGAAATGCTTGCCGAAGGTGACAGTACATAAAGGATATAGTTAACTATACCTCATTCATGTAAACATCTTTGTCATCTTGCATTACTTGTACACTCCTCTTCCTTTTTGGTCTCATCTTTTTAGTTGTACCAAGTAATTCACAATTATTCCTATTGTGTCCAGCCCCATCACAATAACTACAATGAATAACCACGCCATGCTTGGACAATTTTGTACCACCCTCCAATTCAATGGATTGCTTCCTCCTAGTTTTCTTTGGTCTCCCTACTTTCTTTTCATATTTAGGAGGTTGGACATTTACACCATTCATTTTTTCCCATTTAGATTGATCCCTTGAAGGCACTATGTTATATTTGTATGCAGCACGAAATGACTCTAATGAGTAGCATGGAGATACCATGTCCTCAGGTTGTATCCTTTCATTCCTAAAGCATGATATGGCATGACTACATGGTATTCCTGTGAGTTGCCAGCGTCTGCAATCACAACACTTCACATTGATATCAACTATGAACTGGTGATCTCTGTCGGTGACTTGGAAAATACCCTTCCCAGCAGGCAGTGTGTAGCATGTATTGGCTAACTCGGCAGTCTTCTCTAGTTTCTGTTTTATCTTTGGGCATATATTTCCACTCCATTTCTCCTCAACCTCCTTTTGCTTCATGTACACTCTAGTCATGATTTAGGTCTTTATTTTCTCAATCATGCTCAATATTGGCAGTTCCCTTGCATGAAGAATGTACCTACAGATTGAAAGAGGAAATGTTAATACTATTGATAATGCTAATTGGAAAGCACACATGTACAATTAGGAAAAATATATCTCACTTATTGAAAACTTCACAACTATTATTCAACAATATATCACACTTCGGAAAATCACTAAAGAATGCTCTACACCACGTATTTGGTGGGATTTTGAAACAACCCACAGTTTAGTTAAATCATAAATCTGTAGTTATGCACATAATTATAGTTTTAAAAGGAACCAAGCAGTGCACATGTAGGCACTCAACTTAGTTTCCCATGCATTAAATCAGAATCCCATATATATTGGTTAGCAACCCCAAAGCATTTCAATACATGTCTAGAAGTACATTCGATTAAATAATTAAAAATGTAGATGGTCTGAATACATAAGCATATAAGAGGTTCATACTAGCTACAAATTAGCTGTCACACCCATAAACTGCAACTTTCATCTGCTAACTCAGAGAGGTATCAATGCCATCAAGGATAGATCAACACTTTAAGCTAGTGTTGAGTATCATCATTCAACTAACGAATCAGCCACTAACTTGTCTTTCACCCTTGCGGCCACAATTGGTACCACCATAAAAGAAGCCATGTTTTCTTTATCCAGTCAAGGGTGGTCAAGGTGACCACAGTGCAAAGAGTAAATAAAAACTCTCACCTAGTGAGCTTGTGACACATACCCATAATAATAGTGAAAATCAACAGGGAGAAGTATGGGCAGCATTCCTAACACCTCCTGGTAATAAGTAAGAGAAGGTGGAAGTTGGTGAGATAGATAGGGGCACAACGATCACCTTCAACCAGTGAACACATCGAGCAACACAACCCCTCTCCACCTTCACCTCATTTGCCAACCATTCCCAAGATTTGTAGCCAATCAACCTGAAAATGGTGACGTAGAGCACCACCATCAGCTCGGCTAGGAGGAGGACAGGGAGAGTAGCAAGGAGGACTGCCGGTTTGGGGAAGAACTGGACCTGCAGGGGGAGGAGTGAAGCTCATTAGCTGCAAACTTGTGGGGGATCAATCAAGAAACATCACCCACCAACAGAACGGAGCAGGTGATTTTCCCCATATTACCACAACCACATTCCCTAGTAAATTAAACTTAAAACAATCTATCACCAGTGTGTAGTTTTCCCTAGCACCTTAGTTCAGTTTTTAATAGGAAAGAAGGAGGAGCAGCAGCAGCAGATAAAATGGAGGAGTAAGGAATAGGAGCACTTACCTAGGGGATGGTTGCACGGTGATGTCGAGCTCTATGGGGCACTGGTCAGGGCATCTGGGCTTAGAGCTCCATGCGTGACTCCATTCTAGCCATGGGAGTCCACTTCTTTGAGCTGTGGGTTGGAGAGCTCAAGGAGGAGGATTAGGAGGGCAGGTCTTGTTGGTAGCCTGGGCATTGAGGTTGCCGAGAGCAACATGGTGGCAGCAGCAACAGTACTAGAGTGGGGATTTGAGGGAGAAGATAGCCACTGCTAGCAGCAAATGGAGGAAGGAAGAAGGGGATTAGCTAGCTGATGCTTTTACCTGTACAAGTCATAAGAGGGGAGAGAAGGGGAGAGGTCTGTACAGATGAGAACAGAGGAGAAAAGGAAAGGTGGACTAATTGCTAGATGCACATTAGTAGGCTACACAGAACACCAACTTGAGCATAGGGACCCAATAATCTGCAGTCCAAGTATACTTTAGATAAATTATCTAGCACATCGCAATTGGAGTTTCGGTATAATAAAAAGGTTACAAATTTGTAAGCACATTTGTAATTGTAAATTATTGTATTTCTATTCGTATAGTTTAATTAAATCTTGACGCGTTTGACGGAATGCAGGAAGGGAACTAGAGGCGGAGTCAGGTCAGTGGGGGAGTGCCAGCTAGTTTCGATTTGAACTACGAGGATTCAGGCAAGCGAACCTTTGATCATGATGATTTGAATTATTTTGCGTAAACCTTATTTTGCTTCATGATACTGTCGCCTTGCATAAAATTGATTTAACAAAATATAAGCCGGAATATATATAGAGAGAATGATAGATGCTGGGAGGGGACAGTTGATGGAGCAACTGACCTTCCAACACTTACTAAGTTACTAGAAGGGTAGAGGGTGCCCATGGATGGAGATTGACTGGAAGCGGGACCCTTTACATATGGCTATAATATAAGGACTAAAAATCACTCTCACTTGTATACGTGTGCCGTATAAAAATCGTGTCAACCATATCCTTGTCGCAAGGCGAGCAACGCGTTGTATCTTATCAAGTTGTTACACTCCGCATGGTGCGTAATGATATATAGTGGTAAGATGGGAGATGATATAAACCCCATAGAACGTTAGTACTTGGATGGGAGATGATATAAACCCCATCAAGATAGTAACATGTGGTGGAGCAGAGTGTAATGTGCTGAAATAAGAGAAGTGTGTTGTACTCTAAATATTACAAATACGCGACTTGTAATATATAGAGTGAATATGGGTACAGTGATACAAGCCTGCGCAGTGCTCAACTAAATCGTGATTCACGCCTGTCTCTTGGATTAGAGGCTACGGGAGCCTATTGCGGTTCTTTCTCACTATACAAGTGATTAGTTGTTTTTCTTATAAATTAAATATGGACTTCTCTTACAAGAATCATTTTTTTAAAAAGGAATTATAATTGAGAATTGATGACTTGATATGATTTATGAAATTGCATGTCATATATCCTTGCTATTAATATTGCTTGCTGAGTACTTGTACTCACCCTTGCTATTAACCCTCCTTGTTTAGATGCAAACATTTATGGGCAAGCCAGTGAGTTAAGTGGTGGGTTGGAGGATCAGTACTATGCCCCTTGGTGTGCTGAAAATCAAGGGGATGTTGTTTATGACTATGACATGTATTATGGAGGATGGGATGAGTAGATGTATGCATGGGAGTGGTCTAGTAGCTTTGTCAGTGAACCTGGAATATTGGAGCACCTAGTGACCAAAGTATTGCTAGCTCTTGCTTGAAACTTGTATTATTAATGGGTGAATGTGTAAGGCCCTGTTTCAGACTTTAGCCCTGCGTGGCATGGTATTGTAATGTTATCTGAACATTCTAGCTATTATTCTGCTGCTATCTTTGATGTGGATCATTATTCGCTAGAGTGCGGCTATGGTGAATAATAATCCATGGACTAGTGATGTCATTTTGGTAATGATGGCGCGGGTCGTCACAGATTTCTTCTAGGTACTCATGTGCTTGCACGTTTAAAGCTTTCATTTTCTCCATGTTTTTGTTCCACTCAATTACATTGCTTGATCTTGCAATTGCCCAGAGTTGATTCTTCGAGGTTTCCCCCTTATATAGCACATGGAAATTCTGGTAGAGGTGTCTCACACAAAACCGGTGTTCAGCATCATTGAACACATCCCCAACAGCCGGTATCAATCCCTACAAATGAATAGGATTTCACTGATTACATGAATGTAAAAATTAAATCATGTATGACATAGAGTATATGAGATAATACATGCATATTCTCACCTTTTGCCTATCAGTCATGATTGTATATGGAGTTGTGTTAACTATATGTAAATCATCCTTTAGGGTCTGAAGAAACCATGTCCATGTGCTCCTTGATTCCACTTCCACTACAGCCATGGCAATAGGGAAAATGCAATTACTTGGATCAATTCCAACAGCTGTGAGCAAATGTCCCCCAAACTTTGTCTTGATGTGGCAACCATCTAAGCAAATTAGTGGCCTACAACCGATTTTGAATCCTCTCTTGCAAGCATCTAATGATACATATAGTGTATTGAATCGTCCATTTGACAAGTACAAGAAAAAACAGCTCCCTGGGTTAGACCTTCTCAACTCAGCAGCGTAGTCCCATAATTGATTGTATTGAGCTATCTCATCCCCATATATCTTCTTGAGTGCTATTCTTCTAGCTCTAGCAAGCTTACTTCTAGATGGTGTCAGGTTAAAGTCTTTTTGCACTGTTCTTGCAAAATTCCTTATAGTCATCTTATCATCTGCCCTAAAAGTTTCCACATACTTGTTAGCAATATAGTTGGCAGTGAATGTCTTTAGCTCCCACTTCTTGTTGCATCTGTGTTCGCCGATATAAGTCTTGATCATGAAACATTTTGATCGGGTATCATGTGAAGCATTTAACTTCGATGGGCAGGTTTCATCACAATGAGCCCTTATTCTATCTTTGTCATTATAAGGCATCTTGATAGCCACTCTGTTCTTGACACTGTGTTCATTTATATCATTTATAGCATCCCTTAGTGCTTCCACTGTTGGGAATACCATGCCAACAAAGAACTGTGGATTTGTCATGTCCTTAGGCATGAAACTCTTGAATTTTAGTTGCGCCTCTTCATCATGACTAGAAGTATCACAAGGATCCAAACCTTCCTCACTAGATAGATGGCATTTTTCATCTTCCTCACCAGCACTTGACAATTGTTTGCCCTTTGGTGAAACTAGCTTATCAACGACATCCTTGTCCACCCACTTCTCAAACAAATCATCATCACCTTTATCTATTTCATAATCACTGTTAGTAAACTCAGCACCCTCATCATCATTATCACTTATATTGTCAACTTGGTAGTCCTCTGAAATGTGAGCCTTTTTAAAGTTGATATTTGCATTTAACTCATGTTTTCCGAGTGAATCCATCTCAGCAAATTCGGTGATAACATTATTATGAACATACAACCTCAGGGTCCTGAATCGAGGTGCCAAAGTAGCCATACTATTTGTGTGCACGTCAATTTTCACCCTTCTTAGCCCATTAGCCAATCCCCTCCCAGGAAGTAACCAGAAAACTTTTAAATCATCTACCTCTGCATGTCCAAGTTGTTTCAATATATCTTCAATCCAGAGCATTGACCATGCATCTACCTCACATCCATCAAAGTAATCCAAATTGCCACTAATATAGCCCCTGTCAGAACCTTCACCTTGAAAGAAACCACCATGAATAATCTCTAAAGAGAACAAGCCATCCTTTGGACCTAAATACATAACATGATTTACAAATGTGGCACTTTTACTGATTGTGTTTGTTTCAAAACAACAAGTTATGGAACAAATAAATCGATTCAAGAACAAAGATATCGATCTTAAGAGAAACTCACTGTACTCTGGAGGTGGACTGCCTGCAACGCGAATGTGCGGCGCCATGGATCACAACGTGTGCTCCTTTGTTCAGATCGCCTCCTGCATATGAGTCACAGAATGCCTCTATGATCTGGTGTGTATTGCCTCTCCGGCAAGGATGCAAATCACGCCTCCTGCGAACGTGCCGTGCGCTGAATTCAGGATTTGTTTTGCGTATGGTATGAGTCAGTTGAATTCGGGATTTGTTTATTGCGTATGGTATGATTCAGTTTTTTTTAGGGATTGGTATATATGAGTTAGATTTAATCACAATGCATAGGGGGTTTCCTGCATATATCCAAATGTAATTTTTTCAATCCTACATGGCATGCCATGTGTACAAAGTATGCTCGCGTGGATAGTTAGATGGGTAAGTGACTCACTTACCTCATATTAGTGACCCAAATATGTATTTTAAAAGTAGAGTGACCTATATGACACACTTAAACAAGTTTAATGACCCATCATGTATTTTACTCTTTTTTTTAAGGGGAAGTAACTCTGTCAAGAGAGACCAGAGTGACGTTCGCTTTGTAGATATCCTCCATCGTAATCGTCAGCACTCGAGTCCCCACGTGGCGGCGCCCAGACGCCACGTCACCATCACGCTGCTACTCAGTGTATGCCAGGTGGGGCCCACCTCCGTCCACGTCGTCGTCGTCACACGGTCGCCGGCGCGGGAGGCTCGCCCTCGATCAGCAGCGCCGAGCGCCAGACGGGGTCCACCTCGCCGTCGCCGGCGGCGGCGAGCCACGCGCCCACGTCGTCGAAGAGCGCGCGCCGCAGCTCGGCCGGCGGCGGCGGGGAGACGAGGCGGTCGCCCGGCACCCCGATGGCCGCCGCGCCGCCGTCCACGAGGGAGCGGAAGAACACGTCCCGCATCTCCCACCCTCCTCCTCCGCCGCCGCCGCCGGCGACCACCCCGAGCCCGCCGCGGCAGCTCTGCCACGGGAACCGGAACACCCCCGGTGCCTGATCCCCGACGACGTCAGCCGCCGCCGCCTCCTCGTCCCCCTCCTCGAACGGGAAATCCACCGCGCCACACGGCGGCGGCGGCGCCGCCGCCGCCACCTCCTCGTCCCTCCCGCGCTTCTTCGTCGTCGCCGCCGCCGCCTTGCGCTCCGGCTGCCCCCGCCGCCGACGATCCATGCACTCTACACAGAAACGCATGCAAACGCCCACGGATTAACATTGATTCGATTCAGCCTCCGAACTCTTGATCTGATCACCTCAAGAACCACAGATTTCACAATTCTTTTGGATGGACAGGCATGCAAATGCAAACAGTAGTGGAATAATTCAGGAACAAAGAACCGAAGAAACCTTTCTTGCATGCACGGATCGTAACATGCATGGATACCTACCTACTTGATGATCAAGACGAGAAGAGAAGATCGATCGATCGCTGCTATATATCTCTCGAGGAGGACGTACGAGGATATGGTGGCCGTCGGGACTCAGGCGCCGTCAGGTGTGCGTGAGCAACTGACAGAATTCAGAAAGAGAGAGAACAGAGGCCTGTGTATATCTGGTTATATGCTCCGAAGTTCATGGCTTCATGCTGAATGCCTGAATGTTAGCAAGGGATCAAGGAAACGTGCACTTGGGCGTGCGGCCGTAAGAGCGTAAGGCTCTCGAATCTTCTGTCGAAACCAAATTTTAGCTGGTACAGAGGAGATTTTGCTGCGATGCTGTCAGGGAAGTGAGCGGTTTCAGTTTCTCCTGCGCTAGCTGTACGAGTAGCTAAGCATCGTGAGGATTTTTGTCGCTGGCCCGGGGGCTCGGTGAATCGTCCAAGCACTGCACCGGACCACGGAGGACGCAAACATCGAACGGCGATACGTGGTGTAGTGCTCTGTTCATCTCGCACGGTCCAAGAGAACGAATATTCGGTCCATTGTTTTTTTTTTAATAAGTCTATGTTTGCCTCCCTTAACTATTGTTTTCGTCAAACGTATCTCTCAACCGTAAAACAAGTATATCGCATCTCTCAACCATAAAACGAGTATATCACATCCTTTAACTTTAAAAACCAACACAAACAAACTCATTTGATGGTTTGGAAAGTGGTTCCTACTGATGTGGCAGGTTGGCCGTGGTCGGACTCGCTGACGTGTAAACATGGTATCATATGTAAGTGACAAAGAAAAAAAATGTAATAAAGTATAGGGCCCACGTGTCAGCTTCCTATCTTCTTCTTCTTCTTCTCTCTCTTTCTTTTCTATTTTCCCCAACCAAGCCAGGCATGACGGGGGTGGTCAGCAAGCCCCTCCGAGCTCACCTCAAGTCCACCATGTCGTCTCCTGCGAGCCCCTCTGCGACGGTGCATTGTCCTCTTCGCCTCTATTCCTATCTCCTTTGTTCGCGCCCACGCTCACTGGCATCATTACTATTGGTGCTCGTTGGACAGAGGAGTCGATGGACCTCGGCGGCAACAGTGTGAGCCATAGTGTCCCGCTCGTATCCTCGAAATTAGGGGACTCAACGAGGTTTCACTACTGCTGAGCTCTACATCTGGCTGCCAGTCACCGACCGCATCATGCCGCCCCGAGTAATATCTGGGCAACGAACCAGGTAGTGGTGGCGATGGCTGGGCTAGGTTGTGAAGGAGGAGCCAACCCCTTCTCCTTCTTCCACCCCCTATATCTCCCCCAAGAGAATTCACTCTATCTTGTTCTTTTCACCGCGACAAAGGAGGCGATTCTTGTTGTGGAGAAGCAGTGGTACCACTAGTTAGGGGGAAGCGGCGGTGGCACTTGGGGAGGGGGAAGCTCGAGGAGGCGGCAACGCTTGGGGAAGGGACAGCTTGAGGAGGCGGAGGCAGAGCTTGACGAGGCAGCGACACCTCGACCCCCACGACATGGAGGCCATCGACAGTGTGAGCTCAGAGAGGCTCACCAGGGACGACAATGGAAGAGCTCGAAGGTGGTGATGGCATGGAGGTTGTCGTTACGGGAGGAGGAGCGCGGAGTAGCAACATGGTGGGGGAGGAGGCTGACGGGTGCAGCGTAGCCGCGTAGGGAGGGAGGTGGGATGGCTCTTCGTCCTCTCGCCGAGCTTGTTGCTGTCTTGCAAGGAGCCGTCATGCTGAGTACGCTCGTGTAGTAGCCGCCATGGCCAGAAGGGGGAGGGAGAGAGAAGAGGGGAGGAGAAAGAGGTTGGTGACACATGGGTCCCACTTTTTTTTCATATCAGCAGAAAACCTTGCACCAGTTTTAGAAGATGGAGGAGGCGTTAGATCCGGTTTTATGGATGACTATTCAAACACGAGCAAGAAATAAGGGATGCAGTTTAGGTTTTGCGTTATTCCTTTTCTGTTCCAGGCCAATCGCTTCACTCCCGTTAACTCACGATCCACTTCCAGCCCAACTTTCAAGAAGGACGACCAATACGGCCATACGTTAGGTCGCCGTCCCGCTCCAACCCATCTACAACCGGTGGCCCACACCTGACAACCAATCACGTCTTGGTGGCCCACATCTGACAACCAATCACGTCCTTGCGACCTTGCCTCTGCTTCACATTGCCATAGCCGTTTCCTCCCCGGACCCGAGTAGGCTGCAGACCATGTTACGTCCATAAAATATTATTACTCCCTCCGTTTCTAAATATTTGAAGCTGTTGAATTTTTCAAACATGTTTGAACGTCTACCTTATTCAAAATTTTTTGTGAAATATGTAAAACTACATGTGTACATAAAAGAATATTTAACAATAAATTAAATGATAGAAACAGAATTAATAATTATTTAAATTTTTTAAATAAACAAATGACCGGTTAAACATACTTAAAAAAGGTAAACGACACAAGCTGAGGGAGTAGTATTTTTCTCATCGCAGGGAACGGAAGGCAAGCGCCGCCACCGCCAGCCAAAGCGTCTGGGTCGCGTCGCCCCTACGGGACGGGACCGAGACGGAAACCGCCACCCAACCCAACCCAACACACCGGCGTCCGCACCCGACTCGGCGATCCCCCAACCCAGCCACCACCCTTTATAGCCGCGCGGTGCGGCGCGTCCCCGGGCACGCACGCCCACACGGCAAAAGCTCCCGCACCAAAAAGAGAAAAAAAAACACGCAAAAGCGCATCGCCTTTCTCGTGCTCCGCCGCCGGCGAGATGTGCTGCTGCCCGAGCAAGGCGTGCTGCATCTGCACGCTCATCGTGCTGGTGCTGGTCGCCGTCGGCATCGTCTTCGGCTTCGGCGTCTACACCCGCGGCTTCCACAAGCTCACCAGCAGCATCCACGACGCCTCCTCCACCGCCGCCGGCTCCCTCCGCGCCCACCAATTCTTCGCGCCGCCGCCGCCGTACTAGCTAGCTAGCCCCTCCTCCTCTTCTCTTCTCTCCCTCCCGAGATCTATCCATGGGGGATAGTAGGGGAGACCGGGAGTAGTAGTAGTACTAATCGTTTGTAAAGAAGAATTCGCCGGATTTGATTTTATTTTATTTCCACCTGCATTTTGGTTGCAATCCATGGATTGATTGATTAATGGTTGGTCTCTTGTTCCTCCCATTCCTGTCCCTTTTTTGATTTCTTTGGGGAAAAAAAACCACCATGTGTGATTGGTTGGCGTGCCTGCCTGCGCTCCGGGACAAACCGGGGCATCTTGATTGATTACTCGCAAATAATCTTGTATCATAATCTCGTCGTTGCTGAATCGCGAGGCGGCGCACATGACCGGCCAGGCCTCGCCGGAGTTGGTCGCTCGCCTGTCCGTTCATCCGAATTCCTCCCGCTTCCGGCGACGGCAACCGGAGCATGTGGGTGGGTTCGGCTTGGCACACGAACCAAACCAATTAACCAACCAGATAATACTCCTAACTACGCCATCACGAGTTAGTCAACAGGCGCTTTCCCCACCGGATTGGGATTCAGTGACGTTTACGCGAATCCATCTGGGTTAAGTGCTGTGCACTGATGTCTACAGATGCTACTAGCCTACTACAGCTGCTGCTGCTGCTGCTGCGATTCTGCGATCGAATGGTCAAGCAGCAGTTGGAGTACAACCGATGGATTGGTGGGAAATCCACCGAAAAGTTTGGGTTTGGTTGCCTTGCACGTCCGTTTGGCTTTGCAACGGCGACGTTGCCATGAATGCCCCCCACAAGTGTTTGTGGAATTAACCGGCCAAAAAAGCACGGAAGAAATGGCGATCTTTTCTACTCCTCCGTCTGCAATTCTGCAAACCCTCCATGAGGTAATTAATTGCAGATTACGCAGCACAAAAGACTTAACTAGCCATGAATCGAGAGGATAACAAGTCAGCTCGACTCGTCTAAACTCGTTATCTTAACAAGCTAGCTCAGCTCGGCTCATTAACCTTAACGAGTTAAAAATCTAGCTCGGCTAGTGAGCTTATTAAACCCTAATAATTTTAAGTTTACTATTTTATCATATATAAACATAACAATAAACACTAACTACTAAATAAGTCATTGAATACAAATAGATTGGATGTAATTAAGTGACTAAATATTAGTTAAGAAGAACCAAGTACACGAAGATATGATGATCTCTTGTGCTAACGGGTTAAATGAGTAGTTCGTGAGTTGAAAGCCTAGTGTGGCTCAACTCATTAAGGCTACAAGTTCGAGTCAATCCGAACCAAGCTCACTATGAGCTTATCCGAGCCATGAGTTTTTTGTCCACCCTTAGCTACATGTTACGCACCACCAATGCTAAGGTACAAACCAAACAACCCCACACACTTAAGACCGCTGATAAATCCTACACCCCGATTGGAAGGAAATGCCACCTAGACTTCGCGAAAAAATGTCATCGATACTATGAATAACCAATTTAATGTCACCGTTTTCGATGACATGAATTGCTATTCTAACTCTATCAGCAAAATATTCTAAAAAAAAGTTTTAATCCACATGTATGTGGGTGATAGAAGGGCGATTTGTAAGTTTCAGTTTATCATTTCTAAGTCTGTTCACCAAACTAGCCAAACCTTCTTTGGTCAGGCTAAACCATCCCACCCAAAAAAAAAAACACACGCAAACTAAGAACTTATCTAAAAAGATTTTACAAAAATCATGGCAAGAACTCATCAAGAGATGGGCAAGCCATTCTTCCCCTTCTTGTCCACGACCCTCACCACCAACGGGCTCCTGACGCGGTGCCTCCCGCCGGCGGCGGCGTCCGACCAGACCAGCCGCCCGAACTCGTACTCCCCGGCCAGGAACGACCCTTTCTTGGCCCGGAACGTGACGGCGAACTCCAGCTCCTCCCCGGCCGCCGTGAACTCCAGCCGGCTCGGCCGCACGGCCACCGACACGCCGCGGGGCTCGGCGACGCTCGCCACGTACGCCGCCGGCGCGGCGCCGACGTTCCTCACCCTCCTCGTCACGGTGCGCGCGGCGCCGGACGGCGACAGGTGCGGCAGCGCGAACGACGGGTAGTTGAGGTCCTCCGGCCGCCGCGCCGGCGGGCAGGCGTACGGCGGCTGGGCGCCGGAGCCGGAGGCCATGAACGTGGCGATCACCGACGAGTTGTAGCCCAGCGCGCAGAGGAAGCCGAGGTAGTCCGTGTCGTTCATGTCGTAGACGAGGCCCGGGTCGGCGGCGCGCCCCGGCTGGACGTGCCCTGCGCCGTAGCTGAACGGCGTCGCCCGGAGGAACGACGAGTTGCTCATCGGCCTCCTCATGTTGTCCTTCACCCTCGCTGCAACCAAACAAACACCTTATAAATTACTCCACGGAAGAAATGGTTTACATCTTCGGCCTCTACAATGCAGAAATAGATAATAGAAATGGTTTATGTCTTCGGCCATAATGGAAATGGTTTACGTCTCTGGCCTCTGCAACGGGCGCTTACCGGTGGTCATGATGGCGGACTTGATGGCGGCGGGGCTCCAGTCGGGGTGGAGGGCCTTGAGGAGGCCGGCGACGCCGGCGACGTGGGGGCACGACATGGATGTGCCGGACTCGGCGTTGAAGAGGACGCGGCGGCTGTCGAAGGCGAGCCCCGTCGGTCCGGCCTGGCCGGTGAACGCCGCCAGGATGCTCACCCCCGGCGCGGTGATGTCCGGCTACACCAAACACACACACAGGTCAAGCTCGCCGGCGATCTCGACACGATGGACACAGTGAGAGTGAGTGAGTGACAGTGTGTTGCGAAATTAATTTGGGAGAAAGGTTTGGACCTTGAGGATCTGAGTGGTGACGGTGTTGGGGCCCTGGGAGGAGAAGGCCGCCATGAAAGGCGCCGGCTTCGTGTCCAGCGCGGTGTCCGGCACGGTGATGAAGCCCGACGGCGATCTGCGTTATTGGGACGGAAAAAATAAAATACTGTGCTAATAAAGATTGGCAAAACATTAAGATATTCTAAAAAAATTAATGTACAAAAGAATTTTTTTAGATAATAACAAAAGAATGTAAGAAAAAATTACTATGTACCCAAAAATATTGAAAAAAAAATAAAAAAAAAGAATTGGCCCATGCAGGTCTCGAACCTGCGACCTTCGCGTTATTAGCACGACGCTCTAACCAGCTGAGCTAATAGGCCAGTTGGTAGCTGCGTCAAACTATTTCCAAAAATACCAAGACTTAAATTCAAATAGGAGTATAATTCAAAATAAAAAATTCAAATAGGAGCACACACCTGGTGGAATTGAGGTAGGCGAGCAGCGCAACGCCGTCGGAGTAGGTGACGTGCGTGGCCGGGAGCACGTGCGCGTCGGCGATCATCTCGTTCCCGGTGGCCTCGTCGTTCGCCAGCACGAGCCCTGCCCCGCCGGCGCGCCGCACCGCCTCGCCCTTCTCCACCCGCGCGTTCTTCCCGCGCATGCACACCACGATCCTCCCCTCCACCTTCCCCCTCTCCAGCGACCCCTCCATGCACAGCCTCCTGCACACACATCGAACACACAGCATTTAGATGATGAGATGGCATCATCCATGGCAGCTTCAGCTCGAGGATTGGTTCGTGCTCGTCTTTACGCCTGTGACGCCGTCGCGTTCGCCGCCCTGGCTTGCTCGGAGCTGATCAGCGGGTAGTTCTTGCCGCCGGCGAGCCGCACCGGCGAGAGACTCTGCCCCTGCGACACGGTGAGATTCTGATGTAATCAGGACTGAAAAAAGATTGGTAGGATGAGAGATGATTCGATTTACTTTGATCTTCTTGTTGTTGCCGAGGACGAGGTAGGCCGGGAACTCGCGGTCCATGGTGCTGGCGCCGACGGTGACGAGCCACGGCGCGGTGTTCGACACGGTGCCGGCGCCGGGGCCGGAGTTCCCGGCGGAGCACACCACGGTGACGCCGCGCCTGACCGCGTGGAACGACCCGATGGCGACGCCGTCGCGGAGGTACCCCGCGGGGGCGCCGCCGAGCGACACGGAGAGCACGTCCACGCCGTCGTGGATGGCCGCGTCGAACGCCGCGATGATGTCGGCGTCGAAGCACTCGCTGCCGTTCACGGGGCGCCAGCACACCTTGTACGCCGCGACGTGCGCCCCAGGGGCGCCGCCCTTCGCCGTGCCGTTGCCGTACCCGAACAGGTTGGCGCCGGGGACGAACCGGCCCGCCGCCGTCGACAGCGTGTGCGTGCCGTGGCCGTCGGTGTCCCTGGTGCTCGCCGGGTTCGCCGCCTGCCCGACCGTCGACAGGTACCCCTTGTTGAAGTACCTCGCACCGATCAGCTTCCTGCATCAAATCCGTACAAATTTCATTCACCTCATCAACTGATCAACTTCTGAACTGTGAAACACTGAACTCTCCATTCTGCATCTCGATCAGAAGGAACAGTTCATCACCAAAGTTGTACTAACTTTCAACACTCTGTTACTGAATAATTGACCGTGATACTATTAATACTTGTAAATTTCTACACTCTGTTACTGAATAATTGACCGTGATACTATTAACACTTGTAAATTTCTACACTGTTACTGAATAATTGACCGTGATACTATTAAGTTTAAACTTTGACCGCTTGTCTTCTTTTTTTTCACAAAAGTTATAAATACTTGAAAATGTTTTGTATTATGAGAAACACCCAGGAGTCTCCTGGCTAGCTCCACAAGGTGATGGGCTCCAGAATATTAGTGCCTCTTCTAATTATTTAATTTATGGTTAACGTGAGATGACCGCAGTCAACTGTGTCAACTATTTGGAGAATGAATGGAGTAATTGCCAAGCACTTAAGCTAATGGTGTGGTCAAAGCACCAAGAGAATCCTGACGAAAGCAAACAGAGATTTGGGATAAGGGAGGGAGCAATGGTCCATGCACAGGTCGACGACAACCAGTCTGTCTGATCTCTCATCCCATCTCATCTCTCCCTGAATGCATTTCTTCAGGTTTTGACTGTACCACTGTGCTGCACTGCATTGCACCATGCTGCTGCCTTGAGCAAGACAGCCATGGCCCATGGCTTCATGGAGACCCATCCATCCATCCATCCAAAACTCGCACATTTTTTGACCTTTTCTTCAGATAAAACACACACACACACACACTGCACTGTGCTGTTCTAGCCGCTTGCTGCTTGTCGATATCTGAATGTGAATGAATCCACAAGCTGCAAGCAAGCAAGCAAACAAACAGCTCACTGCACAGTGCACACTGGGATACACATACTCCTACTACATGGGACAAGCAGGTTAATTTGGCACATAGTGTGATGCCACAGTAAAATTCAGAGAGCACGATCTCCGAGGGGAGAGGGAGGTAGGGTTCATCGTGTGGGGATTATATGTAATCATGGGAAAGGGGACGACAAAGAGAGGGGAAATCTTTCCAGGGTGGGGGCGGATTTTGGGCTCTAATCTCTGCGGAATCATGGCAGCAATCTGTGTGGCGCCAAGAACAGCAACAGCGAAAGAAATTAATAAAGAAAGAAAGAAAGAGAGAAAGAAATGCTCCTGTGACTGACCGGCCGGTGAGGTGAGGATGAGCTCTGGTCATCTGATCTCTCATCACATGATTCACTGCGTGGACTGGATGGATTGGCCGGTAGGGAGGGAGAGTGAGAGAGAGAATGAGAGATCCAGAGCTAAAAGGCAAGGGGGACAAAAGTCTACTACACTCTACAGAGATTTCACATTCTGTTCTTTTTATCCATTTTACATTTTGTTTTACATCTATATAAATGAGCTAGTCTCTGAATGTTTTTACTCCATAAGATTTCATGATTTATAATAGTCGACCTACCACTATTTCTTCTTTTTCTCCCATGATAGAAAGCTCTTTCTTTTTTCTTGTAATCTCTAATTATCTCAACCTTGCAAGGCAGAGCAGTTCATTTATCACATTTTAATAGGAAACGCTAAAGTGCTGACATCATACATTTGTGATATTTGCCCTAGTAACTTTCTTTTATCTTGAACCTAATTCTACTTACTTTTTTTCCCAATCTTTTGTCTTTTTTTGAAAAAAAAGTTATGCATACTTTTTTAAATGCAGTTTTGATTATTCTGCTAAAAAATTATGTCTTATTACAACACACATTGCTAACGCTATAAAACTTTTTTTTATTATCAAATGAAAGGGAAGGATTAAAGGATTTTCAGAGTCACATAGGCTACAAAATTCAGAACAAATAGAAACAATTGCTAGAGTTCTCCTTTTCTTTTCTCAATTAGAACTAGTTTTTGGCTCGATTAGTTGTTTTACACTACTACTTAGTTAAAAAAAGAAAAAAAAAAGAGCTCTCAGTCATGTAAGCTTGGCATTATATATGGCATAGCTTCCAAGGAGAGTTATCCAGATAGCACTAAGCACCAAGTTAAACTAATCAAGTCCAGACAAAGCCCATCTCTCTGAAGAACAAATCCAAGTTAGCAAGACCAGACACGTCTCTGGAACCAAAGTCCAGGTCTGACTGCTCTGTAGGCATTTGTAGCCATCCCTCGTTCTAAACAAAAGTGCAGTAGTTGTGAAAACTCTAGTTTACACTCTTCAATGCGACAAGTCAAGATGCACGCCTATTGCTTAGGGATTAAACAAAAGCAGTAAACAAGGCACGCAGTATAAACAACACGATCAGCAACGACAAACCCTCCCCCATCACGCAGGATAAACCTCCCCCTCGTGAGCCGATCAGACGAAGAAGGCACGCAGGTTAAGGACACAGCACAGCGTCCGAGACCGAGAGAGAAGACATAATTTAGTACTTACAAATAAAACTTTATTATTGACTTAAAAATCAACATTCAAAAAACTACATTCAAAAAAAATACTGAAATTAAACTGAAAATTTAAATTTTAGCAGCAACTGATTTTGTATAGGGCGAACGACGAGACGGTAAAAAGGAGAGAGGGAGAGACACATTTGTAAAAAGCGAAATGATATATTTGCAAATGAAAAAAAGTATGAATAAAAATTTTATATACGTGTTCTTAGCGATCTAAAAGCAAAGGATAAAATAAACTACGATGAAAAAAAACCTCAAATAAACTTCAAATTTAAAGTTGAAAATTCAAATTTTTGACTGATAAGTACTCCCCCCGTCCAATTTCAAGTGCAGTCATGGGTTTCTATGTCTAACGTTTGACATAGAAACCCCTCCGTCTTATTTATTTTTTTAATTAATATCTTTATTTTTATTAGATAATAAAACGTGAATAATATTTTATGTGTGACTTATTATTTTTTATTTTTTAAATAAGATGAATGGTTAAACGTTGGATATAAGATGGGAGTATAAGCATAAGCTAAAAAGACTAGGCTGAGAAAGACCTGTTGCAAGGAACCTGGGCGTCGTCAGAGGCCTGGTCCTGGCAGATTCCCCGCCACCGTACCGGCGCGGGTCCCATCCCGTCGTCGCTGAAGCTGCCGGCCTCCGGCCACACCCCTGCAAGCACGCGCGCGAGCAACAAATCCTTGTTAATTTCACATGCTCACAGGCACGCGAGAGCATGGCCCTGCGAATACTGTAAACCAACCAAGAAGCAATGGCAATGGCGCCGATGAGGGATTTGACTCTACATTCGGGGATTCCCTGTCGCCGCCGGTGCACACGTACGGCGGCCACAGGCATCAGGCTGCATTGCAGCAGCCGCAGCCTGCAGGCGTAGGAAAGCTGCCTCTCCTTTGATGCTCTGAACGAACGCCACTGCTCACACAGCTCATGAACTGTGCTGCTAGCCTGCTAGTAGAGTGCTAGTGCTACTACTCCTGCTGCTACTAATCTTATTGTTTCTGTAGTAAGACGAGAAACGGGGTAATCTTGCTAAAAAGAAAAAGGTTTAGCTTCCGTTGCTAATGTAACAACCAGTGGGGGAAAAAAATTCATTCAGGTCATTGAGCAAACGTACAACGAGATAGTGCTACTGTGCTTTTTTATTTTTTGGTTTACTTCTGTACTCCGTACTTGTCTAGGACGGTGTATCAAGCTGTAATGCTGCAGTTGTGCTAGCATTAGTCAAATAACATTGTGAGGTTTCTATGCTCTATGTACGTGCTACTGCAACCATTTCTGGCTGAATCCTGCTACGATCCAAACAGGCCTAGGCTGTGTTTAGTTCAACGCAAAGTTTGGATTTTTGTTAAAATTAGAGATGATGTGACTGAAAAGTTATGTGTGTATGACAGATTAATGTGATGGAAAAGGACTGAAGTTTGGATCTAAACTTTGGATCTAGGCCCTGTTTGGATGGGACTAAAACTTTTAAGTCCCTATCATATCGGATGTTTAGACACTAATTATAAATATTAAACGTAGACTATTAATAAAACCCATCCATAATCTTGGACTAATTCGCGAGATGAATTTATTGAGCCTAATTAATCCATGATTAACCTATGTGATGCTACAATAAACATTCTCTAATTATGGATTAATTAGGCTTAAAAAATTTGTGTCGCGAATTAGCTTTCATTTATTGAATTAGTTTTGTAAGTAGTTTATATTTAATACTCTAAATTAATGTCTAAATACATGTACTAAAGTTAAGACCCTGGATCCAAACAACACCTAAACACAGCCCTACTAAAAATGAGGCTTGGATGTTTGGAATTTGGATCGCATATAGTTCCAAGTCCCAACAGCCATAAAAACCGACGACGCGAAGCGCAAGGGACAATTAATCCTCAGCTGCTGCAAAATGCTCAGGGTTTGATTCATTCGATCGAGGCTGGCTGCAAACCAAAGCTCGCGTCTCGACAGATACATCCGAACCAATTGCAGCGAGCTCACTCGAACTCTGCACTGGCCTCACAAGCCAACAGAATCATCATCAGCTGCTGCCTTCTCCAGCTGCGAGGCAGCAGGATTTGGACTCTCTTCTCTTTTTAGAGAAGCATAATTTGGACTTGTGTTTTGGTCCTATCAACACACCACTCTGAAATATCGTATGTGATACACATGCTTAAGCAAAGTAGAGTGATCACTATGTCTGAAATCTGAATGTTATTGTGACCTATGAGCAGGTTCAGGTGGATTGGATAGTTGTTTTTTTTCCAACTTCTCTGAACAAAAGGGATGGTAAAATCTGAAAATTGTAACTGGAAAGATTATGCAGAAGTGAGATTACCAGTGTCTAGATTGCCAATGATGACGCCTTCTCCAAATCTCGCCTTGGCCCAGATGGAGTTGGCCCTAATCCGGCCATCCTTCTCCATCCCAAGAAACTCCCATGAACGGGTGGTGTGCAACCTATGCCCTCTGTTTGGGAAAACCGAGATGACACTTGGATGCTCTGCGATAGAGAACCAGACGAATCACCAAACCAAGAAAAAATCGTACAAAAATCACACAAGAAATAAAGAGAAAGAATTACAAGACTATTAGACTAGTACTTGATATCTCCATTGCTTCCTCCTCCTCCAGAGTAGCAGCGAAGCCATTGATGTACTTGGTGTAGGAGTAGAAGATCGCATCTCTCGCCTTCTCCTTGCTGCATTCAAACACAACCAGATCGTAAGATTCACTTGCATTTGCAGCAGATTTCATATTCAGATTAAACAGCAGGATAGGTGGTCCTTTACCTTCCCAGGAAAGAGCCCAAGAACTCGTGGTGGGAGTTCTTGGCGCGTTCTTGGCTGGAGGCCAAGGCGGCTCCTCCCCTTCCATGCGAGTGGCCGCCGAGGTAGACAACAAACGACTGCAAAGAAAGCAAGTTTTCACCACCAAATACAAAGAGAAAAACCCAATCCAGCAACAGAAACGATCAAGAAACCACTTGCCTTCTTCTCAGCATAGGCTGGTCTCTGCAGGAGCACAAGGCTACCGATCAGTAGAGCCAGAGCAAGAAGAGGAGCAGGGGGATGATTCTTCAGAGAGGAACACATGTTACACACAGAGTCTACTCAGATTGTTCTATGGATTAGTGGTCAAATGCTGGGGGGGGGGGGGATTTGGAGTGGATGGAATGGGTGATGGATTCTTCAGAGTTCAGAGAAGGTGAATTTCTGAATGTGCTTGGGCACTGTTGGTATTTTATAGGTGTAGAGATGGGTGTGTGTGTGTCTGACTGTCTCCTGGCCTAACAGAAAGTAGTGGAGGCTTTCTGTTTCCCAACAGACACTTTTTTTTCTCTGTGGGGGAAAAGAAGCGTGCCTTTCAGTTATTTCCCCACCCTTGGCCCAGGCATATGGCGAAAAACGTTTTCAGTTTTGGACTGAAGAATGGGGATTTTCTTTTTGGGAGTGTGGCCGCTTTCAACTGGAGATATGATGGATTTATGATGGTGTTTTAGTCAATGAAAAAACGTGTTGATCTGCATGCACATTGCAGACCCATTGGAAATACTAGGTTTTTCTTTTTGTTTCAAGGAGGAAGTGTGGATTTGTTTCTGCATAATCACTTCTACTACCTGTGACTATCTCTTTGAGATTACATTTCTCCAGAGTTTTCTTTTTCAGTGGAGTGTAGAGAGAATTGTTTTGTTCCAAGTTCAGACTAAAGGTTCGCATTTTAGTTTCTGTCAATGGCGTCATGCACCATGTGGTGACAGACTTGCTGATCTGCAACTGAAACTTTCAGTTATGTAGTCATGTTCAATTTTTTTTTTTAACAATGCAGACTATCTTTGGGTTCAGGGTTTTCTTCTCTTATACATATATGATCCACAAATTGTATCTTCATGATTTCCCCCTAGAATCATCACTAAAACAGAACTTTCAGAATTCGCTCTACATGTTTCAACTGGGTTTGTTCTTACGCATTGATTTATCATTTATGGCCTAAACACCAATCATCTTTCATTCTTTCAAACTTGAAAGCATTTTTCTTCTTGCAAAGCCAAATTAGGTAGCCTTCAAAGTAAGCATAAAATTACTCCCTCCGTACTACTATAAAATCCAAAGTAAGCATTTTAAGCTATGAATCTGGACAACTGTGTCTAGATTCATAGCTAAAACTTGTTATATTTTGAAATAGGGGTAGTACAATGAATCTGGACAGACTCCCATTTAAATTCGTTGTATTAAATTATATCCCATTTTAACCATAGATTGGAATTTTTTTTATCGGAAGGAATAATATATAAGATAGTATACATATTGAGTGCTAATTATTGACTGGTTCAACCCAAACCAAAAAGATTAAGTAGATACGGTGGGCTGTTGGGCTAGCTCGTCGGACCGGCCCGGATAAAGTCGGGCTGATTGGTGATGGACCTGACCCAAGCCCACTTGTGGTCCTTGGTGTCCACGGGGTTCTTCGCCTCGGCCACCTCGTCCATGGGGATGTAGGCGTAGTTGCCGTTGATCGTGCCGGAGACGAAGCCGGTGTACCCGGCCATGGCGCCGTGGATCGCCGCGTGCGCCAGCAGCGTGCAGTACAGGTTGTCGCCGGCGTTCGCCGGCACGGCGCGGATCATGTACGTCGGGTCGATGTACTTCACCGTGAACACCTCGCCGGCGTGCTCCTCCTCCCACCACGCCCTCATCTCCGCCTTCAGCCACGCCCCCACGTCCAGGAACGTCTCGTTCCCCGACTCGTCGGCGCCGGCGCAGGCGCCGGAGGCCGAGGTGGTGGTGGTTCTTGGGATGAGACGTTGGCCGGCGCCCTCGGCGACGACGACGACGGCGTGGCCGTTGTCCTTGATGCGGCGGTAGAGGAAGTCGAAGAGGCCGCCGGCGCCGCGGAGGTAGAAGTCCTCCTCCGGGATGAGGCAGCAGTCGACGTCGCGGCTGCTGAGCGTGGCGTGGAGCGCGATGTGGCCGGCGCTCCGGCCCATGAGCTTGACGAGGCCGACGCCGTTCGCCGCGCTCTCGGCCTCCACGTGCCCGGCGGCGATCGCCTGCTGCGCCGCCTCCACCGCCGTGTGGAACCCGAACGACCGGTCGACGACGCCGACGTCGTTGTCCACCGTCTTCGGGATCCCCGCCACCGCCACGGCGAGCCGCCCCCGCCGCCGGACCTCGCGGTGGATCCTCGCCGCGCCGCGCATCGTGCCGTCGCCGCCGACGGCGTACACCTGGTTGAACCCGTGCCGCTCGATGGCGTCCACGATCCTGGCGAGGTCGAACCCGCCGCGCGACGTGCCGAGCGCCGCCCCGCCGGCCTTGTGCCAGTGCTCCACCGCCGCCGGGTCGAGCGGGACGACCTCGTCGGAGTAGAAGCCGCGGTACCCGTTCCGCACGCCGAACACGCCGCCGCGCACGCCGTAGAGCTCGGACAGCCCGACGACGAGCTCTCGCACGACGGTGTTCGTCCCGGGGCAGAGCCCGCCGCAGGTGAAGATGGCCGCGCGCACCGTCGCTGGGTCGAACGCGACCTCGCGGCGAGGGCCCGCGCGGTGGTACGCCGCGACATGCCGCCGCCGCCGCTCACCGGCGGCCGACGCCGGCGAGGCGTCGAAGAGGATGTCGCGGAGGACGACGTCGGTGGGGGAGATGAAGAAGCTCGGCGACGGGTGGTACAGCGGGTGGCGCGCGATCGGGTTCGGGATGGCGGCGCCGGCGAGGGTGGGGAGCTTGTGGAGCTCGAGCGACGGCATCGGCGTCTCGCCGTCGTCGTCCATGGCCGTCGACGAGCGTTGCTGCGGTGGTGGTGGTCATGTGCGGCCGCCGGCGAGGTGGGGTTTTTGTGGACGCGTGCAGCGGCGGCGCGCGCCGCCGTGTCCCGAGCTACGTGTTGGTGAAGGCGCGACGTGGCGCGCGGCGGCGACCGCGAGCATGTGAGGCGCCACGTTTCGCGCGCGAAACGACCGGTCCACGTCACGCTCGCCTGCTGGGCCGATTTTGATGGGCCTTCCAAGCATACGCGTTGGTTACTTGGGCTATCCATGGGCCGAGTCTTTTGCTTGGGCTAGTATAGTAATGGGCCGAGTCTTTTAGTGGGCTCGCGTTTATGGCCGGTGTGGACTATTGTGTGGGCCGGAAGGCTGCTCGCAATCGCAACTCGTCTGGTCGTCAGTTACTAGCCGACTCTCTTGGTCCCACAGATTTATGTTTTCGATGAAAGCGGATTAAAAACGACGAAATTTCGATGTTTCAATGTAGGACAGAAGTATACTGTGAGTGAAATTTAAAATGGTTTTCGAGAGCCCAACTTTGGAATAATAAATTTTGTTGAAATTTGGCAGAAAATGTCATACTGATAGGGTCGGTATCTACCATTCAATTGGAAAGACGAACCCTGCTTGGTCCTGTTGATTCACACGGTCACACACCAAGTCATTTGACTCAAAAGAACAGAAAAAAAATTCAAGCCAAGTAAATTACTAAGTAGAATACACTGTTTACTAGGAGGAAACGCAACACAATAACAAAAAAAAAAAAAAGGGACGAAATGGGCAGGTGTTAGGCTGATGCTAACACGTGTTTTTATGTTACATTGTTAGTGTTTACTAGCTCCAAGCCTCTAATTAAGCTGGTCTTGTGGTATCTGATACCATGCATCTTTCATTGAGGTTACTGGTCAATGCTACAAGTTGCTGAGCAACTCGCAACTGCTACTCTACTTACTTACTTCAAGTGTGTAAATATTTATTTGGCATTGTTTAATAAATTTAGCCGATCGATCGTTGACACTGCACAATGCAATCAGTAAAATTCAGTTAGTCTTCTCACTCTATGACTAACTGCCCTTTCGAGTGCTTCTTGTGGTAGTGCATGTCTGATACAGAAATTAGCACCAAATTGATAGGCAATTGCAGACCTACTTAATTAAGAAGTTAAATAACAACAGATCGATCACATATTGATTGGTGAAAGAAATCTGTATGTCTGTTCAACGCGGATCGAGATATTTTTGTAAGACTATACAGAGCGTGTGTAATTAATTATCAGATCATCATATCTCCTCTTTTACTCCATCTGTGGTCAAGTTTTCTCTTTGTGTTGAGTGTCTTTGTAGTAGTATCACCAATTTGATGTTAACACTTGTTTTGTCAGTGGTTACTCTTAACTAGCTGTCTAGCTGGTCAATTGTGGTCTATTTGACCTAGCATGTGTGTATGCGGATGACTTTATAATTGGCAACACTGATCGGAGTAATTATCAGGTTAATGTTGATGAATAATGCACTCAGTCTTTACTTTAAGACAGTGGACAGATATACCTTGTCCACTCAGTATTTTCTGTGTTGGTCTTCTGGACCTTTGATCTTGTTGGTGTGCTTTAGGTGACCTCCGATTATAAATATTTTAAAAAAAGTCAAACCTGTGAAATTTTGATCTTTCATTTTTATATTAGGACATTTTTTAAAAAAAAAATCTAATAATTCCATGATATTACGAGAGAGTTGTTTCCATGGAATATATGCCTTTTTAATTAAGCATTCGATAAATAGCAAATATCAAAGTTTTAATTAAATCTTGCCCAAAATGTCAAATATTTATGTCAATTGCACATAAATACACAATTGACAAGCAAGTGCAGCTATTTACCTCTTCAAAAATTTAATTACGCAAGATCAATTGGTTGGAAAATACAGTTGATTCAACTCACAGTGTTTTTTTCTTATTAACCATTGGCTCATCTCATCTCTACTCCATCCTTAGAGCATGCACATTATGGTGGAATTTCCAAGGAAACCCAAGAGATGAAAAACCACTACTATGCGGGTTTTTATTTTCATCCATGGTAGCATTTGGAACTGAGGAATTGGCTAGAAGCTTCATTGAAAGTTCTTACTCTATCTCACTATAAGTTTATAAATACATGACACATTGTTAGAAACCTTCACTTACCTTTTCATCTCGTTAAAATTGTGCTACTCTTTACTTACACTTCACCTCATGTAGCACCAATAAACACAACTATATTATAGAAAAAATCATGATCATTTTGCTGTATATATTTGGAATTTTATTTTAAAAACAATAATTAAAATTTGAAATAAACTTGCTGTAATCTACTATTTCAAAACTGATTTTTGTTTGTCATACCACTCAACATTCTTTTCTGATTAAGATGCAGATTTTATCTGGGTGTTTATTAGCACGTTTTTCACACTACTAAACGGTGCGTTTCGTACGATAAAATTTTTATATAAAAACTGCTATCAGACAAATCTATGAGTAAAGTGTACGGGCGGCCCTTAAACTTGTAGGGGTATATCATCTAGGTCCCTAAACTCTCAAAATGCATATCCAAGTCCCAGAACTTGTCATAGTGTGTCATTTAGGTCCTAAATCGCCACAACCTCTTCAGTATTCTACGTGGCGTTGATGTGGCATTGCCACACGGACATGACATGGTATCATTTTGATTGACAAATGGGACTCATTTAAAATTTTTTATTTTTCTTTTTTCTTCTCTTTTTTTCCCTTTCTTCTCCTTTCTCTGTGACCCGAGCAGAAGAAAGGAAAAAAAGTAGAATGAGAAGAAAACAAAAAAGAAAAAGAAAAAGAAAAGAAGAAAAAGATGAAAAGGACACGTAACGTCCATGTGACATGCCACATCAGCGCCACGTAGATCCTAGAGGGGATGTGTCGATTTGGGACCTAGATGATACACTTTAACAAGTACTGGGATCTAGATATGCATTTCGAGAGTTTAGGGACCTATATGACACAACCCTATTAAGTTTGGAATAATTAAAATTCATTTAGGCCCTGTTTGATTCAGTTTAGGATTATTATAATCTAGCTTATTAGTAGTAAGCTGAAACAAACAAGTAGATTATTATAGAAGATTATTATAATCTATAAGCCAGATTATTATAATCTAATAAGCTGCTCTAGAGGAGCTTTTTTCAGATTATTGAGTAGCTAAAGACCCACTATCCCTACATACTTAAGAAAAATTACCCACCTATGCCATCAACCGAACATATAGCTGAGGGCATTATAGACTTTAGCCTTTCAAACCCAATAATCCATACCTCCAATAATCCAGACAAACAAACAACTCATAGCTTATTATATGTCAACTTATTATAATACAGCTTATTATAATCTGGCTTAATAATCTAGATTATAATAATCATAAGCTGAAACAAACAGGGCCTTAGTCTTGCGCTAATGGCGTGAACTCAAACGGCCCCTAGTAAGGACCTTTAGAAGTTTGTGTAATTTCGCAGGTGCTTCTCTGCACATTTGCTAGCTCGCCGTCGCCGTCGCCGTCTCCCTCTGCGGCCGTGTTCCCACCTCGACCCCTTCCGCGGCTAGCCGGAGGATGACCGGCGACCACCCAGGCTTTCGCCGAGGCTGCAGCAGCAGGCAACAACCGCCGCCGCCGCCACCGGCCGGCCACCTTCACGCCGCCGGCGCGCTCTGCTCGCTGACACGGCCGTACGCGGCATGCGCGAGGCAGGGTGGACTGTACAGGCGCAGGCGCCATCGGCGGCGCGGGTGCCCTCGCCGGAAGCCCCTCCCTCCTCCACCCGCGGCCTTCGCCATTACGCCGCCCCGTTCCACGGAGGTACATTTCGACTTCAAGCCTCCAATCGATTCCTCATTGTTTGCTGTTATGCTTTGCTTGCTAGTAATTGATTGATTGATGTTCCAGCATGATAGGATTCATGGGGAAGCAGAGTTCATTTCAGTAGAAGATGGAGAGATATTTGGACAATTAGGGGTACTGACTTTGGCAAAAAGTTAAATGCCCCGATGAAGATGGAGGATGGAAGGTAGAAGATCCAGCAAAAGCAATAACAATCAACCTAAAAGAAATCTGTGGTAGAGCGAAATGTTCCTACCGCGTAACATTGCGTATAACAGAGTCTGAATAAACTAGAGCTGAGAATCATGCTACCTCTATGTCGATTTAGAAAGGAAAGCACCAAAACATAATTACCGACAAAAAAAAAATTAGACTCATTCAGGATATACTTCATTGCTTTATTACTCTCATTTTTGGTTAAAATTGAAATTTTCAGTTGTATGCTTACTTATACCAATACAGGGTTTGGTTTCTCAACTGATTTATGGTTCAGCCTGCTGTGATTTGCTTTTATGGCATTGCATCATGAGAGAAGTCTAGATGATAATATCATCAACTGCGTAAATCTACCAAAGTTATTTTCAACTTCTTAATTCAAAGGTTCAGACAGCTGCAATTTGTTCTGAAGAAACCATCAACTAGCTGTTAGGCAATTCTGCATACTTTTGGTACATCTTAATTATTAAATTTGCTAATGAAAGACAACCGTGGAGCTCTGACAGGAAGCAAACGGAAAAAAATACTGGACCCACGAATGGGTTATTTGTGTATTTCCAGTTCGATAAGTATAGTAGAGATGCCACACATTTTACCTAACATCCTCTCTTACTGATTGGGCCTACTAGCTACAGCCCAACCTGACTGTGACACCACAACACTGACTGTGTAGTGGAGTGAAATTCCCATGAACATACTTTGAGCTACAATGAGTGAAATTTCCATCCAAAACATTTGAGTTTATAATTATTTACCCTATGTGTTGAGCATACATGTATTAGGATGTCAACATTGTCATCAGATAATTATTTATAGCTTTACTTGAGTAATAAGGCATTTGGATAGCTCTTTCTAGGAGTCAACAAAGTCAACTGGACCCTTCTTCTTAGATTTCTTGTTGATGTGTATATCTATATTACTAAAAAAATGTCTCTGGCCTTTGAGTTTCAAAATAAAAGGTCACTGCTGCTTCTTTACTTCTGCATTCCTTCAGCTTTGCCATTCTGTCACTTGGCAATTTTGATGATGCTGCCTTCTTGCTCAACAGGGAAGATTATTCACATCAGCATGATGATGAAGAAAATTTGATCAAATGTATAAAGTTGTAATGCTCTCTTCTCCTTTTCTTCCTTTTACGGTTTCAGAGTAGTGCTTTTTAGTAATTTACACTGTAAGCGTGATATAGCTAACATGGAAAATGAATGTGTTACTCAAGCACAATATATTTTTTTGCATTATTTTCTCAGTTTGAAAACAATCTAATTGTTTCCCAGTACTTATATCTTTAACTGACAAATTCTTCCATTTCCCTCCCCTGCCAAATTGTTGTGACATATACAGGAACAGCACGGCTATACACACACGTGTCCTCCTGTGTTATTATTCATCTCTCCTTTTTCTCCATCAAGCGGGTGTACTTCAAGAAAAAAATAATTTCAACAATTTTCAGCAATACTGAAGGTATTCAGCAACAATCTTTTTAGCAGATTGCACTTCTATAATTGCTGCTTTAACCATTGCAACTTGTTCGGCAGTTAGAATTTCCTGTTTGATGAATAAGTTTTTTCCCTGTAGATATGATGTACAAGGGTGGAATTGGTACTTAGGACTGATTGTTCATCATTGCAACTGCATTTCACTGAAATATTGAAGTAACTGCACTAATAGAAATGGCTGAAATTGCCGTTCTTTTTGTCATAAAAAAGATAGGAATAGCTGTGGCAGGAGATACACTAAAGTTAGCTATACCCCTCTTTGCAAAAAAGACCGAGTTAAAGAAAGTTGAGCTAGTAACAGCACTTCCAGTTAACATGAGACAAATAAAAAAGGAACTTGAAATTATCAATGCATTTCTTAAAGAACTTGGCATGAATGGGTACAAAGGTGAAGTTGTAGAAACTTGGATAAGGCAAGTTCGGAGGTTGGCACATGATATGGAAGATGTTGTGGATGAATTTATGTATGTTGTTGGCAAAAACAAACACAAGAAATCATGGGCTTGTGTGAAGAAAATTATCAAGAAACCTAAACCTTTATTTTCACTTGATGAAATCGCCACTAAAGCAGATATGATAAACACAGAGCTTGTGGAGCTTTCCAAAAGACTAGATCGTTGGACCCGACCATTATCGAGTGGGATTTATGTTCCTCCAACAAATTATAATAGCGAGCAACAGTTGTATTTGCCTGGATATGATTATTCAATCAATGACAATGAGCTTGTAGGGATTGATAAAAATAGGCAAACCTTGATTGAATCATTGCGTTTGGAAGATTGTTCTCTTCGGATCATTGCTGTCTGGGGTATGGGTGGCCTTGGGAAAAGCACTCTTGTCAATGATATCTACAAAAATGAAGCAATAGTATCCAATTTTAATTGCCATGCATGGCTATGTATCTCTCAATCATCTAAAATGCATGATATTTGGCAAAACATGCTAAAAGAACTTTGTGGAGAAGACAACCGAGGGGTTGATGCTGAAAATATGAACAATAGAGAACTAAGACTGGAACTGGCAAAAATTTTGCGTCAGAAGCGGTACTTGATCATACTAGATGATGTCTGGTTGGCTGCAGATCTTTTAAAGATTCGGGAGGTTCTTGTTGATAATGGCCTAGGAAGCAGAGTAATAATTACAACAAGAATTGAGGAAGTAGCTTCAATAGCTGAGGATGGTTGTAAGATCCGTTTAGAGCCTCTAAATAACCATGATGCATGGCTTCTATTCTGCAGGAAGGCATTCCCCAAAACTGAAAATCATATGTGCCCTCCAGAACTACATCAGTGTGGTATGGACATAGTGAACAAATGTGGTGGTTTGCCTTTAGCTCTTGTTACAATAGGGAGTTTACTGTCCCTCAAACCAAGGAATAAAAAAGAATGGAGGCTTTTCTACAACCAACTTATTTCAGAGGTGCACAATAATGAAAACTTAAACCGGGTGGAGAAAATTCTAAATCTAAGCTACAAACACTTGCCAAACTATTTGAAGAATTGCTTTTTATACTGTGCTATGTTCCCAGAAGACTACATTATCCAGAGAAAGAGATTAATTAGATTGTGGATAGCTGAAGGATTTATTGAACAGAAAGGAACATGCAGCTTAGAAGATGTTGCTGAAGGTTACCTAACAGAGCTTGTCCGACGAAGCATGATTCAAGTCGTAGCAAGGAATAGTTTTAATAGGATTCAGTGTCTTCGAATGCATGATATTTTGCGAGAACTAGCCATTTTCCAATCAAAGAAAGAAAGTTTCTCTACAGTTTATGATGACACTCATGGGGTGGTACAAGTGGGATCAGACTCTCGCCGCGTCTCTGTGCTCCAATGCAACAGTGAAATTCGATCAACTGTAGATCCATCCAGGCTACGTACCTTCCTAGCATTTGACACTAGCATGGCATTATCTTCAGCTTCTTATTTCATTTTCTCAGAATCCAAGTACCTTGCTGTGTTAGAATTATCCGGCTTGCCTATCGAGACCATTCCATATTCAGTTGGGGAGCTATTTAACCTTCGGTATTTATGCCTCAATGATACCAATGTGAAAGAATTCCCAAAATCTATTACAAAGCTTCTCAATTTACAAACATTGAGTCTTGAACGTACACAATTGCTGAATTTTCCGAGAGGGTTTTCAAATCTGAAAAAATTGCGTCATTTACTTGTTTGGAAATTAGTTGATGCTACATACAAAAGTCTGAATAATTGGGAATCTTTGGAGCCATTTGAGGGCTTGTGGAACTTGAAGGAATTGCAATCTTTATGTGAAGTTCGTGCAACTAGAGACTTTGTTTCCAAATTAGGAAATCTATCCCAGCTGAGGAGCCTTTGCATTACTTATGTAAGGAGTAGCCACTGTGCACAACTGTGCAACTCTTTATCAAAGATGCAACATCTCACAAGATTACATATAAGAGCAATGAATGAAGATGAAGTGCTCCTGCTGGATGATTTGATGTTGCCGAACCCTCTTGAGAAGCTCGATTTGCTAGGACAATTGTCAAAAGGAACTTTAGAATCTCCTTTTTTCACTACTCATGGAAATGAACTTCTGCAATTGGAACTATCGAGGTGTCAGCTTACAGTGAATCTTGTAGCATGGCTCTCTAAGTTGTCAAATTTAACAGAGTTACGTCTTACAAGGGTGTACACTGGACAACAGCTAAGCTTTCATGCAAATTGCTTCCCAAATTTGAAGAAAGCACTCCTGTGGGATTTGCAGCAAGTCAATCAAATATATATACAGGAGGGAGCTTTGTCCAGCCTGCAGTATCTCCACATTGATAGCCTCATGGAACTTCGGGATGTGCCCACCGGCATTGAATTTCTAAGATCAGTCAAAGAGGCATATTTTACTATGATGCATTCTGATTTCGTAAGGAACCTTCGAACAGGAAAGGTAAATCATATCCCGAAGGTCTACTGGTCAACACAAGGCAAGTTTCAATCACCTGTCAGTCAATAGATTATGGTCACACTTTACTTTTTTTTCCTGCAATGTTGTCAATCACCTTTGTACAAGTGAAATTTACGTACCTGCAAATGGATTGAGTGCAACCATCAATCTACTTTCTGACACAGTTTTTGCGCAATTTTCTGTATATAAGAAAGGATCAAAATACTTCACCATAGGCCACTTCGCATTCGAGATTATGTGCATCTCTATTTATAACTCCTTTTTTACATAAAATGCCTTTGTTCGAAAAATGTTTCATGCACATGTTCTACATAAAATGCAGGGGTGTCTGCGGAACCTGCTAACCTGCCTGGAGAATCCAGCACCAACCCACAATGGCGCATGTTAGGAGGGTCAGGTTGGGTTTTCATCTAACCCAGTTTGCAGAGGATCCTGGTTGGTTCACTGTGACAAAAACTTCAGAATCTACTCCCGTTACTGAAACGGTGTTCATCTTTGGCTCACTGAATTGGAGATTGTGAATCGATAGTGTACATTCCCTCCGGTTTCTTTGCGAATGGAGCTTTTGGCAAGGTACTTGGTCACCATCTTTTGTTTCTGGTGCCACAACAAAATACTGGCAAGTGGCAACTTCTCTACATTATTTCACTGGGAAGGTAACTATAATGTCAATTGGGATTTATCACGGTAAACTTCATGAGGAACAATTTTCCTCCATGGGCATCTTGACCAGAAGCAGCTCCCCTCAGTCCCCTTTTGTCAGAACTCTCAGAAACAATGTTCCAGCGTTCACTGGATTTGCAGCTGCTACCTGACTAGAAGTCTAGAACCTGAAGATCATACTACCTCCATATGGATCTAGAGGAGGATAACTAAGCAATATATATTCTGAAAAATGTCAATGTTGCTGTCCTGTGCTTTAGCAATACAAATTTACTATGTTCTCAGTTTCTTTCGGTGCTATATATATATATATATATATATATATATATATATATATATATATATATATATATATATATATATATATATATATTTGCGCGGTTTCGGTGCTATATATTTGACAGTATCCAGTTATTGATCAAGATGTTTTGACACAATGAAGCATATAATAGCGTGTGAAATGAACTGCTCTTCATCTGTTTTGTTGATGAACTGAACCACCTAAATTTTGTCTAGAACTTTTATATGACAATGGTCATGTTTGGTTTGCATGCCAATTTTTAAAGGGAGTCTCTGCAAGCTGCTACTACCCTACTCCCTTCCCACAAAAAAAAAAAACTCATCGCTACAAATCTGGTTGAGTAGTTTTTTTTCTAGGTTGAAGGGAGTACTACTCTATATGCTGCAGCCTCTCAACCAATGATAGAGCAGATGATGAAGGCACGGTCATCTTTGTCCTCCAGCTGCCGCTGTTACCTTTTTATAATAAAAGATACAATCATATTGAGAATACTCTCGTCTCCCGGTATATATATAACTAAAATGTACACAATAAAAACGCACACCCACTCTAGTTTTGAAACGAAATGTTAAAAAAAAACAAAGGGAGAATTAAGAGCCATCTATCGGTTGATGTAATGCACGTTGACACTTTGCTCGGTCAGTACGCGTCAAGCTACTTAATTGCTCTGAGCTGAAGTCTGATAATTCTTGTAGGTTGTTGTAGCTTGTCTCTTTGACCTTTGCAGGTGTGTATGCATATGGTAGGACTGAAAGTCTGAGACATGAACTCACGATGACGACAATTGGGTGCTTGCATTAATCAGACTAATTAAGTACAGTACTTCCTCTGAAGAAGAGGAAATTATATATGTAATGTGTCATCACCACAAGACTTCAAGACTTCAAGTTTTCAAGAGTTCAAGTAAACACGGATTTGACTGAGGGAAAACGAGTTTATACCTGCATATCAGTTGCTGCTCGATGTTGAGATGTGACCTAATTAATATAGGACATAGCAAAAGAAAGGGTGGATTTAAATAAGCAGTAGCTCTCTCTCTCTGCTTCTTCTTCTCTTTTTTAACAAGTGATCCCTCTTCTACTAAAATAAGGGAGGGGGAAAAAAAACCAAAATGCTCAAAGTAGTGTGTATTGAAGGGATGAAACTTTTTGATTTTATTTTGGGATAAAATTTGAACTTTAGAAATCAACTTATTTTTTAGACGGCAGCTCTCTACCTTCTCTTTTTAAAACATTCATTTGTCGGTATTGTTTCCGGATTCCGATTTGTGTAGAACTTCTCTTTTTAAGATCAAGTTTGGAGTTTAAATTTTGTATTAATGTCATTCATGATTTCTTTTCATGACTGTTTGTACTACATTTTGGGAAGGAAAGCGCAGGATTCATATGCACATCATACTTTCTCGTACAGTTCAATGCATGTGTACCTTGAAAAGCAGTAGGCAAAATATTTAATGTTAAGTCTAATGTTTACTTTGAAAAGCAGTGGGTACATATTTAAGTTGAAGTTGACACATTATTCAATTTATGTTTACTTTGAAATTCAGAGGACCATATATTAGGTTGACGTTATGCCTCCGAATTAATTAAATTCACTAAGTGCACACTTTGAGCTGGTCTTCTGGACTCTGACCTTACATTGTGTATATTTTAGATGCAATGTTACCATACATTCTTTTTAGAGGAGATGAGTATTAAAAGTATTGTCACAATTTTCAAGCAATTGCAGCCCTACATTAAAAATTCAAATATAAAAGGTAAATTTAATCAAGTAAAAGAAGATAAAGTCTATTCAACATAAGTTATTTTTATGTGTAGAAATACACTGGATCATCTCATCTACTCTATGACAAAACCATAAACCCATGTTTTGGCATACTAGCTTGTCCGTTGTCCCTTCAGCGTAACAATTATTGATGTCGCGCCTTACATGGTACACTCTTAATCCATCACACACAGAAAAAAAAAACAACTCTATTGTCGTCATAAAACTACATCCTTTTCAATGGTAGGTTGGAATTCTACGTAATAATAATTTATGTGTAAAAATTTTAACATTGTTGTTATTTTTATAAAATGCAAAAAAAGCTAGTAAGTTATTAAATGAACCTTTATAAAATTGAACTTACTGGAAGTTTTATCTTTGAAATTTTATTAAAAAAGATTCAAAACTAAACATAATCAGTAATGTCAATTCTCTTTTTTAAGGTCAATGATTTCTTGTCCTCAAGTCCAAGGACACATTGAAAATTATGTAGGTGCTACCGTAAAGCATAATCAGTAAGGTCAAAACTAAACATAATCAGTAAGGTCAATTCTCTTTAGTGAAAATCGATGTTGATGGTGCATTTATCAAGAGGGTCTACAGTGAGCATTGGTTATGATCATGAGGACAGATTGTGCAATTTCAAGGTTGCCTTCATCATCAGGTTGGTACGTCACATTTATCAAAGTCATCGTCAGCTAAAGCTCATGCTTTACATTAAATTGTTACGACTTATGCTGACCAAATTGAATTGGTAACTCATAAGAATTTTGATTCTAATCGATCTCAAATAGAAGAGGATAGATATTTTGTATAGTTCTTCAGTGATCCTCGAGAATTAAGTAGAAGCTAAAGCTGTATCAAACAAAGCACTAGGAATTTGTGCTTTGCTTCCTCTTTACCCAAGCTAATGTAACGTGAATAGGCCCATCTCGTTGGAATTCTGCGTGAAACCCATTCCAGCAATCCAGTCCACAAAGGCTTCCCCTTGCGAGTCGTCGCGGTGGCGAGCAGGTGGCGGTGGCGCCATGGATGGCCAGCAGGAGGAGCAGCACGCGGGGCGGCGGCAGCTGAAGCCCGGGAAAGACAAAAATATCCCTCCACAAATATTTTTTTTTAACAAAAATATCCCTCCACAATTCTACAACCAAAGTGTGATGGTAGTAGAAATAGATCTGAACCCTATGATCAAATGAGATCAACGGTTCAGATTATTTTCTACTTCAAAAATTTAGTTTCGTTTGTTCAAAAGAGAGATTTTCTTTCAATCATATAGAAAACGCCTCACCTATAGAAACTATTACATACTTAACATCTCAGGAGAGAGAATGTGTTTGTTCATCATAAGAATGGATGAGGACATTAGCATGAATTTTCTCGCGTTTGATGTTTTTTTTTTCTTTTGCGTGGGAAGAAATAAAGAAACGGGGGAAACACTAGTGGTGGTGTGGTGGTAGAGTCGTGGGTGCATGACTCTATCCACCAGGGTTCAAATCCTGGTGCCCATGAATATTACACATATGCAGGTGGGTTTTCAACAAGAGAAGCGTATGAATGTGCCACTGGTTTCCGTCTCTTAGAGCATGTGTTAGGTGACACATTCGCGGAGGTTGACGCATTCGCAAAGAACAAGAGAAGCGCATGAATATGCCACTTGTTTCCGGCTCTTAGAGCATGTGTTAGGTGACGCATTCACGGAGGTGTGAGTGTAGTGGTCATTTCGCGGAGGTGTCTCTTAGGGCATGTGTTAATGCGTCAACCTCCGCTCTTAGAGCATGTGTTAGGTGACGCATTCGTGGAGGTGCAGGGGCGTCCCGGTTAAATCGGGTCCCCGTGCAAAATATTAAAATGGGGCCCTAGTAGTCTAGTAATTTTTTATAGTAAAATTTAAAAAGGACGTAGCGATCAGCCGATCATCAGTGATGAAGTAGAAGTGGAGGCCGGAGGGGATTGGGGAGAGGAGACAAAGCGGCTGCGGCGCCGGGACTTCGGCGATACGCGACGACGCGGATGCCTGGACAGGAGTACGATGAAAGATGGATCGGTTCACCTTCTGTAGCGTTTTGGGCCTTGTTTTACTACTATTTGGACTAAAAATTAACAAAATTAAAACCTCTAATATTATTATATATATAGGACATACTTAATTAAAATTTAGGGGCCCTGTTCGGTCGAACAGCCCGCACGGGTCTAAGGACGCCCCTGGGAGGTGTGAGTGTAGTGGTCATTTCGCGGAGGTGTCTCTTAGAGCATGTGTTAGGGAACGCATTCGCAGAGGTGTGAGTGTGGTGGTCATTTCGCAGAGGTGTGAGTGTAGTGGTCATGTGGGGGTTTTCAACAAGAGAAGCGTATGAATGTGCCACTGGTTTCCGTCTCTTAGAGCATGTGTTAGGTGACGCATTCGCGGAGGTGCGAGTGTAGTGGTGTGTGTGCGTATGTCGTGTAAATGTAATCTCAAAAATAAAAAAGAAACAAAGAAACGAAAAACGCTGTCACGATTCATCTGTCCGATAGAGGAAATTATGTGATTTTCCAGGGACCTGTCCGCAAATATGTCTTCTCGTCTTTCCCCCTTCTCCTGTAGCGGCGATCACCGCCTCACCGGCGAACGGGAAGATGACGCGGGGGGTACCCTGGCCTTCGCCGTGGCAGAAGCTAGCGGCGGCGGCGGCGGCGGTGGCCGCCGCAACCGTCGAGATGTGGGCGCCGCCGTCACCGGGCTTTCCGCTCTCGTGCGCTCAATCTCCGGTGCTGCACGTGAGCTGTTCGATGTAATGGCCGTGTGATGCGCCGACAAGCACCGTCGCCGGAGGTCACCTCCTCCTCCTCTTTCTGATGGAATATTCGCCATCGCGCCTGTCTAGAAGAAGGTATATCTCGATTTCTTTGACTTAAGCAAACCCGGTAAAAGAAAATCCATTGGATGGAGAAAATCAAGTAAAAGGGTCAACTTGCAAGTTGCAAACAACACATCCTTCAGCTTACTGATTATTCAAGCTCATTTCTTTCCTAACTTAGTTGCTTCAGTCGGTGTATCAATATGTCCACATTTTGACTGTTTCTTCATGCCGGAAGTACTCCTATGCTGCATAAGAGACTTCACCATTTCTTTAGTGAAAGGAAATTCAGTTATTAAATCACCCCCCCCCCCCCCCCCAATGGCTCTGATGCCCTCCTTTCTATATCTATGCGTATAATTGTTGTCCCTAGTGCAAGATGCACCTACTGGATAACACATTAACACTGTTCATGCTACCTCTATACCAGTTTAAAAAGGAGAACTCCAAAAAATATTGCTTCCGTGAGAATTTATAGTAGGCCTGCAAATTGGTTAATGTACAACCATGATATTTTGCCTTCTTGAAAACTAATAGACTATAAAACGAAAATTGTAAACTAAGCCAGACAAAAAGCTGTCATAGTTCATGTATTTGAATGGACCAAGTCATAAATCTGTCTCCACATTGGCTGCGCAATTTCTTTGAAAATATTTGAGCCGCATTGGGTGTATAGTTCCCATTCAAATTAATATGAGTCACACTGAATGTGTAATTTTCATCCAAAAAAAATGATTATGTAATTATTTAACCTCATGTGTTTAGGAAACGTGTATGAGTAACTAAGGAATTAGGATGACACTTTCTACTTTCTAGGAGTCAACTAGTCAAGTCAACTGGACCTTTGGTCTTAGATTTCGTGTTGATGAATGATGATGTATCTCTATAGTAATAGAAGAAAAATTCTCCAGCCTTTGAGTTTAAAAAGGAGAAGGCCACTGCCTCACTAGTGCAGTAGTGCTTCTGTATTTTTGCCTTCCCTCAACCTTCCCATTCTGCACACTTGGGAACTCTAAATATTTATTCACACCAGCAGGATGATGAAGAGAGTCTGATGAAATGTGTAAAGTTGCAAGCTCTCTTCACCTTTAGCTCCTTCACTTGTCTCGGAGAAATACGTTAACCAATTTACAATGTAAGTATGATACAGTTACATGTGATTTCTTCACTAGTTTGTTAAGGGAAAAAAAGATAACTTGGAAATTTAGTATGTTGCTTTTCTTTAATATACTATCATTTTCCCAATTTGAAAAACAGTTCAATTGTTTTGCCGGTACTTTTATCTTTAACTGACACAATTCCTCCATTTCCCACCCCTTCGTAAATCACTATGACAGATAAAGGAGCAACATGGCTATGGATACCATCCACTTCGGTCTTTATTAATGATCCATCTTTATCTCCAGCAAGTTCCTTTGATCCAAGCATAAGGTGCATTTAAAAAAAAATCAGCAACACTGCAGGTATTTCAGCAACAATCTTGTTAGCAGATGTGAATTGTATAAATTAGCCCTTTAACCACTACATATTTGCTCATTAGTTAGGATTTCCTGTTTGATAAAAGAGTTTCTTTTTTCCCCATAGATTTGATATACAAGAATTGGATTGGTACAGAAGATCGATCTTTGATTATTACAACTATACTTCACTGAAATACTGAAGTCAAACCGCACAAAGAGAAATGGCAGAAATTATCGTTCTTTTTGTCATAAAAAAGATAGGAATAGCTGTGGCAGGTGAAACACTGAAGCTAGCTAAACCCTTGCTTGCAAACAAAACCGAGTTAAAGAAAGCTGAGCTAGTAACAGCACTTCCAGTTAACATGAAACTGATAAAAGATGAACTTGAGGTTATCAATGCATTTCTGAAGGAACTTGGCATGAATGGATGCAAAGGTGAAGTTGTAGAAACTTGGGTAAGGCAAGTACGGAGGTTGGCGCATGATATGGAAGATGTTGTGGATGAGTTTATGTATGTTATTGGCAAAAACAAAGAGAGAGAGTCACGAGCTTATGTGAAGAAAATTATCAAGAAACCTAAACCTTTATTTTCACTTGATGAAATTGCTACTAAAGCAGATAGGATAAACAGACAGCTTATGGAGCTTTCTAAAAGACTAGGACGTTGGACCCAACCGATATTGAGTGGGGGTAGTATTCCTGCAACAAAATATGACACTGAACAACAACAGTTGTATCTACCTGGACATGATTATTCAATTACTGATGCTGAGCTTGTAGGAATTGATAAAAATAGACAAACCTTGATTGAATCATTGTGTTTGGAAGATTGTTCTCTTCGGATCATTGCTGTCTGGGGCATGGGTGGCCTTGGGAAAAGCACTCTTGTCAACAATGTCTACAAAAAAGAAGCAACAGTATCCAATTTCAATTACCGTGCATGGCTTTCTATCTCTCAGTCATGTAGAGTACTTGATATTTGGCGAAACATGCTGAAAGAGCTCTGTGGAAAAGAAAGCAGAGAGTTTGATGCTGAAAATATGAGCAGTACAGAACTAAAAGTGGAATTAACTAAAATTCTGGATCAAAAGCGGTACTTGATCATATTGGATGATGTCTGGTTGGCTACAGATTTTTTAAAGATTAGAGAGGTTCTTGTTGATAATGGCCTAGGAAGCAGAGTAATAATCACAACAAGAATTGAGGAAGTTGCTTCCATAGCTGAGAATGGTTGTAAGATCAGTTTAGAGCCTCTAGATAACCATGATGCATGGCTTCTCTTCTGTAGGAAAGCATTTCCAAAAATTGAAGATCATATATGCCCTCCAGAATTAGAGCAGTGTGGTATGGACATTATCGATAAATGTGACGGTTTGCCTTTAGCTCTTGTGGCAATAGGGAGTTTATTGTCCTTCAAATCAAAGAATAATAAAGATTGGAGGCTTTTCTACAATCAACTTATTTCAGAGGTACACAATAATGAGAACTTAAACCGGGTGGAGAAAATTCTAAATCTAAGCTACAAGCACCTGCCAAACCATCTGAAGTATTGTTTCTTATATTGTGCTATGTTCCCAGAAGATTATCTGATTCACAGAAAGAGATTAATTAGACTGTGGATCAGTGAAGGATTTATAGAACAAAAAGGAGCATGCAGCTTAGAAGATGTCGCTGAAGGTTACCTAGCAGAGCTTGTCCAACGAAGCATGCTTCAAGTTGTAGCATGTAACAGTTTTGATAGGGTTCAGTGTCTTCGAATGCATGACATTGTGCGTGAATTAGCCATTTTCCAATTGAAGAAAGAAAGTTTCTGTACAATTTATGATGACACTCATGGAGTGGCACAAGTGGGATTAGACTCTCGTCGTGTCTCGGTGCTTCGATGCAACAATGATATTAGATCAAGCATAGATCCATCCAGGCTTCACACCTTCATAGCATTTGACACCACCATGGCATTATCTTCATGGTCTTCTTTCATTTTCTCAGAATCTAAGTACCTTAATGTATTAGACTTGTCAGGCTTGCCTATTGAGACTATTCCATATTCAGTTGGGGAGCTGTTTAACCTTCGGTTTTTGTGTCTCAACGACACCAATGTGAAGGAATTCCCAAAATCTGTTACGAAGCTTAGCAATTTACAAACATTGAGCCTTGAACGTACCCAGTTGTTGAATTTCCCACGAGGGTTTTCAAATCTAAAGAAATTGCGCCATCTGCTTGTTTGGAAGTTAGTAGATGCTACATACAAAAGTCTGAATAACTGGGAATCTATGGAGCCATTTGAGGGCTTGTGGGACTTGAAGGAATTGCATTATTTGAATGAGGTTCGTGCAACTAAAGCCTTTGTTTCAAATCTAGGAAATTTATCCCAGCTGAGGAGCCTCTGCATTACTTATGTAAGGAGTAGTCACTGTGTGCAATTGTGCAACTCTTTATCAAAGATGCAACATCTCACAAGATTAAACATAAGAGCACGCAATGAAGATGAGCTGCTCTTGCTGGATGATTTCACATTGTCAAACCCTCTCGAAAAGCTTGAACTGGTAGGCCAGTTGTCAGAAGGAACCTTGGAATCTCCCTTTTTCTCTATTCATGGATATAAACTCCTGCAAATTGAACTTTCATGGTGTAAGCTCACAGTGAATCCAGTGGCCCGCCTTGCAGAGTTCTCGGATTTAACCGAGTTACGTCTTACAAGGGTGTACACTGGGCCTTGGCTGTACTTTCCTGCAAACTGGTTCCCGAAATTAAAGAAAGCCGTCTTGTGGGATTTGCAGCAAGTGAAGCAAATATTTATACAGGAGGGAGCTCTGGCCAACCTGCATTATCTTCACATCGATAGCCTCATGGAACTACGTGACATCCCTGTCGGTATTGAGTTTCTCAGTTCAGTGAAAGAGGCATATTTTACCAGGATGCATTCTGATTTTGTAAGGAATTTACGAACAGGAAAGATAAGCCATATCCCGAAGGTCCACTGGTCAACACAAGGTGAGTTTTGATCACTCTCTCAACCCATACATTGCTTAGATTTCGCATGTCTTCCACAATGTTAACCAGTTACAAACATAACCTGTTTATAACTGAAAATTACTCACCTGCAAGTAGTTTTGTGCGCAATCATGAATTCACTTTGTAAGTAAGCATAACAAATACTCCCTCCGTCCCAAAATATAAACATTTTTAGCTATGAATCTGGACAACTGTGTGTCCAGATTCGTAGCCAAAAGTTGTTATATTTTGGGACGGAGGTAGTACATTTTTATTGACACGAAGTGTACAGATACCAGAGTTTTGCATCCAAGATCGTGTGCATCTTCATAGTATGCTTCATTTTTGTACATAAATTGCAGGGGTGTCCACGGATCTCACTGGACTTGCTAATCTGCCTGGAGCATCCAACATGACCAACACAAACCCAGAATGGCGCATCTTAGGTGGATCAGGCTGGGTTTTCATCTAATCCAATTTGCGGAGCTAGGTTGCTGGTTCGACACTTCGACCTGACAACAGTGCATAACCATTTCCCTCTGCTGCAATGTTTGTGTACACCTGGTTCACTGAAGTAAACACTGGAGCTGAATCGGTGCTGCACTTCCACTCTGATTTAGTATTTGGAAGCAAAGCTTTCTGGTAAGCTATGTCTCCATCACCATCCTTTCTTTCTCTTGGCACAACAGAACAGTGTCAGATTCTCTGCAATTTTTGAAGTAACTTGAAGAGCCAGTGGCATTTTGTCATTCCGTGGCCATGTATACTGAAAGCTGCTCCTCCATTGTCAGAGCAACTCAGAAACTTCTTTCTGCGACCACGCCTTGTTTCCTCCACTGGATGGTAGCATCAAGAATTCCAGATGATTGTTGCAAGAAGAGATCACGCTACCTGCTGCATGCCGATTTACAGGAAGATAACTACTAAATAGAAGATTGATACATTCAGAAAATTATCGTGTTATTATCCCATATTTAGCATTGCAAATAACGTTCTCGCTCTTTTTTTTTTCGCTCCGACCATTTTCTGGTCAAGATGATTATGCGAGACGAAGTGTAGCGTCCGAAATGGACTACCCATATTTGTAGATGCATCAGTCTATCACCATTCACTCACCAAAATGAACTGAACCATTTGGTGTTTATCTGAAATAATTTACGTAGCTGGTCATGTTTGGACTGTACGTCAAATCAAAATATTACAATGGCTGATATTTGCTTTCCTTTTCGTGTCACTGTGAGGAGCTATTGTGAGCAAATCATAAACGATCCATAAAAATACTGGAAGCAACGTTACTGCAATTTTTCTTGCAAAAGAAAGGTGCATAATTCTCTTGCAAACAGGCTTCTCCAGCATAAACATAGAAGTAAATGACATCAGAAAAAGGGAAAAAAAAACAAAGGAATGGCGCTCGAAACGCTGTGCATATATGAAGATAGTTGTTGGCTTGTTGCAGGTAGCAACTATTGCCTGAAAGTATAGGATTTCTTACACTAAAGAGCATTTCCTTATGCTGCTATGTTTTTGTGGCTAGACGATAATTTGCCACACAAAATGACTCTACCTGTACAGCTTCAACCCAAAAGCATCTTTCAATACCCATATCAGACCGAGCATATCACATCTTGAAAGGGCGAGTTCATCTGTTCTACAAGCAGATAAAAGATACACCCATACACTGAAGACCATCAGTCGTATCCACCATACTCTGCAATCAGCCTTCGCAGGTGCTCCTGCCTCCGAACAGATTCCTCGTAACGATTTTCCAGGAAATCGACGTACCTCAACCTGGTTCCTCCTGGCATCACCTGCCTCTCCATTTCATACTCCTGCAGATTCCTCGGGTATTCCCGGGCAAAATGGTAGTGATCATCTCTTACTTCTGGATCCATAATATATCTCTCTTGACGCCAAGGCTGCTCCTGAGGTGCAGGGAAGCTACTTCTGGTTATTCCGCGCATTGGTGAAGGAGTGCCTGGCATGCCGATCACTGTCCCGATAGCGCCACGCTGGTAAGGATACCTCTCTATGCCACCAAAGTTATCTAGAAAACCTGGCTCTTGCCCATGAGCAATTCCGAGGGGGTAATGCTCTGGAGGAACTTGCCTGTGAGCTGCATTGACTTGTGAAGGGAAATGTGGCTGAGGATATGCTGGAACAAGCGGACGTGGGTGAAATGGCATGTCATGTTGGGCTTGGATTCCCAGTGAAGATGCATTGATCCTGTTCCGACGTGCCCTTTTCAGCCTCGTCAAATCTCTCATGAACATGAAAGTGCAGCAAGCACCTAGTTCAAAAGGTTGATCACACTTTGCACTGTCTCCTCTCTTTTGGTTGTAACCTGGGTAGTCCTCTTTTCTGAAATCAACTTTAGCAATCATTGTAAGAGAAGACTCATATGCTAGATGCTCGATACACCACCTGTCATATGGCAATCCTATCTTGTGGCTAACATGAATTTCACCATAGGGTCGAAGCAGGTGTCTTGCATTCTGAAAAAAACCCCATACCAACTCCCTGTGCAAACTAAAGGTCATAGCAAAAGGATGTAATAAGTTAGCAAGTTAACTAACTGCAATTATAAACCACCAGCTAACTACTTTACAGCCACTCATTAACCTACAGATGGAAAAGTCTTATGCTTACAAGTTAAAAGAATAATTTAATGCTGTAATTGAAATGCCTTTTGTTAGTAGAGATTAGATACAGAAAAGTTGTTAGAAAAGGAGTTCACTAGTGCAGCAAAAAGATGCTTATCCAAGGGTCCAGAAACCCAATTCAAAATGTTATTAGTTTATTCTTCCTGCACTAAAGGTTGCCAGAGGGGTCCACTTTTGGTTATTTGATACCCCTTCCGATTCTAAATATAAATCGTTTTAGGCTTCTTGACTCTTTCCTAAATGTAAGTCGTTTCGAAACTTCTAGGCACCTTTTCATCTTCTCTTCCATTGTTTTACCTTTTATCTTTTCCAATGCAGTATAAATGAAGGGCATCAAAGTGGTTTGAGTTGTTTTCTTAATTATTGTGCAGAAGTCTAAAACCATTTATGCAGCACAGATAGCTATTAACTGTGTAATATAATATCTAACATCATGGCTATTCGTATTGCAATAATAATGAACGGTAATAAGGATGAACACAAAATCAAGTGACTGCAACAAAAGCAACAGAGGAAAAAAACTGAGAGAGGTAATACTTGATCATATGCAAATCATCCTCTTTTCCTTTGAATCCAGCATGAGGAAAATTGAAGATAATTCGATCAAACCGTCTCAGCTTCAGGTTGGTGTGATCCTTCATCCTTTTTGCATCGATGCCATGCAAAACAGTGGCCCCCATCCTTTTCAGCTCCATTATATTTGATTCTGCTTTGCTGTATTTGCCCCTCAGGTCCTCTGTTCACAAGTAATGCACAAATATTAGCATATTGCAGAGAAAATGGATAAACACAGCTAACAATTATCTATAATCTATCAATTGCCCTTCTTTCTCTAATTTAGAAGGAGTTCCACTATCAACACAATGTAATTAACTTGATTCGTTAGAAGAGTTTCTATTGAGTCTCTGCACCTATCCTTTTCCTTTGGATTCTAATTCAAGAACCGCTTGTTTTCTTAAAACACGGATTTGGCTCAGGATTGCCCCTTTTAATCCAGGGTTTCTCTGAATTTGGAAGTTACTACTTACCAACAGTATTATAGGTTTGAGGTTGTAAGATATACAGGGGAAGTTCGATGCATGTGGAGGTCTCAAGTAAGAATTAGAAATGAAACAAATAGGAAACATGGAGACTATTGAGAGTTAAAAAAAAATCTATAGAAACCGACAAACAGCCATCGTTACATGGAGACATGGAGTTAAATCAGGGTAACTTTGTGAGTTAGTTTTTTATTGTTGTGTGTTAAAGCTCTAACTGTGAATTCTGTCCTTTCTCTTCTAAGGAAATCCTTTTCAGATCCTAAATTCTTTACTGGCTGTACTGACTCTTGAGTCAACCATATCATAACAAATTTGCTAAATATTGTAAGAACATATTGCCACGTTGAGCTTCAAAAAGCAAACTATAAGAAAGCAAAGAGGCGAGGCCATGCCAAACTGATGATCATCAAACCATCTCGCCCAAAATCATTGTCAAAAGACAACACTGGGTACCCAACCTAGTCTAGGCCAATTGAACTGTACTACCAACAAGGTCCATAAATAGGTTGAGCTTAGCAAATTAGCAAATTTACATTGTTCAGGCCGACAGGTCCTATCAATGCAAAATGCAGAAAAAAATGCTAAAGGTGGCAGTAATGCTTACTCAGCATGCATGTTCCTTCCATGACATACTACATGTTAGTAGTGAGAAACAATATGCCACAAATAGTCTCTCCGTATCAAAATAAATCCTTCACAGGATTTAGCTATAGCATTCCCAATCCCAGCATTCATGTATTGGAACAATTATTTATTTTCAATATATGCAGGAGAATAGTGTTCCATAAAGAGATCACATATAAATCATTAACGATACCAGTAGTAATATATCTGAATGTATATGTGATATTCCTTTCTCCTCATTTTGTGGCATTTTTAACACTCAAAATGAACCCTTTTTTTTAATATAACACCTTGATCTTAACAGGGTAAAATGCACCAGATCTATTTACCAAATTATCCTAGAATCTACAAAAATTGGCACATGGATTCATGCATGCACCCCCATTGTTTGTTCCATTTATGGATTCCCATATCCAAGGCGAGAAGAACCCTACCAAAATGCTAATTGCGCCCATAAAATCTGCACCATTATTGACGAGAAGCAGAGAGGAAGAACAGAGAGGGTCGAACCAATGGTGTCCAGCGAGGTGGCGACGAGGTTGTCGCCGGAGCCGAACGCGGTGGCGAGCGCCAGCGAGAAGGAGAAGTCCCCGTCCCCGACGGTGAGTATGCTCTGGAGGGAGGAGTAGTGCTTCAGCCACTTCACCCCCTCGTCGTCCTCCTCCCGCTCCGCCGCGGCGATCGCGTTAACCCCCTCCGCCACGGCCGCCGCCTCGTCGGCCACCGGAATCGCTTGAAGCGCCTCGCCCTTGACATCCGCAGCCGCGGCCACCGTGTTCCCCCCCGCTGCTGGTGCATGCGCCGCCTCGTTCTCGCCCGCTACCGCCGCCGCCGCCACCGTGTCCCCCTCCGCCGCTGCATGCGCCGCCCCCTTCGCGGCGACCACCATGTCCCCCTCCGCTGCAGGCGCCTCCCCCTTCGCCGCGGCCACCGTGTCCCCCTCCGCTGCAGGCGCCGCCGCATTCTCGTCCACCATCGCGGCGACCGTGCCCCCCTCCGCTGCATGCGCCGGCACCTCCTCCTCCCCGCACCAATTCGCCCCCGGCGCCGCCGCATTCGCCTCCCTCCCGTCGCCGTCGGCCACGATCGCCCGCACCACCACCTCCACCTCCACCTCCACCTCCTCCAGCGGCGGCTTCTCCTCACCCTCTGTCACCACCGCCGCAGCCGCCGCTGGCGAGAGCAGCGCGACCGCCGCCATGCGCGCGTGCGTGTGACACGATCGGCGTAGTGGAGTGGAGTTGGAGTGGGCTCGAGTACAAACAGTTTCCGCGCGTGAGGATGAGGAGGAGGAGGAGGACGCGGCGGCGGAGGCGAAAGGATGCTTTTGACCTCCCGGAGGAAAAAACTCGCGGGATTCCCGAGGAAGGGGTGGGTCCCACATGCAGTGACACGAGGGCATGCACTAGTGGTAGTATGAGCATCTACGTTTATACTGTGCTTTTATTAAAAAAATATATTTTATTTATAAATTATTATTTGTTTGTAAATATGACGTAATTTACAGATAAATAGCAATTTATAAATAAAACTTATATTTAAAAAAAACACAGCACAAACGCAAGCGCTCACAACATGTGCACACTTACACCCTATAGATGTCTCGTTGTCGATGAGTACGTCGTCTATCACTGAAAGAATAATTAGCCGTAAATACGAGCACACTCATACCCTGTCCTTATGGCCGTCGCCTGCCACTAAAAAAATAATTAGCCGTAAATACGAGCACCCTCACACCCTGTCTTTATGGGCATCTTGTTGTTGACGGGTACGTCGCCTATAACTGAAAGAATAATTAACCGTAAATGCAAGCACTCATGATCTAGGATTTTAACCGGGGGTAGGCTGATTCCACCACAAGAAACCTAATCAGTTGATCTACGCTCACTTCGCTCCAAATTTAAAAGCAAAAAAGCAAAATCAGTTGGGTGGACTGGATTTTATATACATGTTCTTAGCGATCTATGAGCAAAGACTAAAAAATAAACTTCGATGAAAAAACCTCAAAATCAACTCTAAATTTAAGGTTAAAAATTTAAATTTTAGCTGATAAGTATAAGCATAAGCATAAACGAAAAGATGAGGAGGTGCGAGTGCAATCTTTTCGATAGATTTTGCATTTTATTTTGATTTCTGAACACTTTTTTTTATTTTTTAAACGCGATGAGAGTACGTAAAACCCTCCAAATTGGAGTGCTTGTGTTTCACAAAAAAAAAAGGACTTAAATTTACATTAGTTAATACTACTACTGCTCGTGTTGGTTGTGGAGTAGTAGTAGTGCTCCCTCCCTATTGACTTTTTAACATATGTTTAACTATTTATCTTTATTAAAAATTTTATGTAATTATTATTTATTTTTTATTAGGACTTAATTTATCATTAGATGTTTTAAGAATGATATAAATATTTTTTATTTACATAAAAGTTTTAAATAAAACGAATGATCAGATGTTGGTAAAAAAAATCAAGTACGTTATATATCAATTTATACTCGTGTTGATTTCTCAACGTGAGGCGGTGTAGCACAAACGCTGTTGCATCACGCCGTGCACTGGAGCACATACCAGTGGGTACACTACACCCCCTCATTGTTTGTTTTGTAGCCAACCAAAATGGTACGTAAAAGAAAAAGGGAAAAAGCAGGAGAAACCAATGGGAGAGGTTGCGTGCAGGCAACGTTCGCTCAGGGCCTTCAGGCTAGGAGAGTTTACTGGAGAACGTGCACGACCTGCACGGTGATGACGCTCACGTCTCGTCAGGTAAACAGCCAGCTTTTACGCTCATTTTCTAAATTTCATAGCCACATATTGTTATAATACGTATTACATCCGTCACAAAATATAAAAACTAGGAGAATAAAAATATTTTCCAGTACAACATATTTGGATACATTGTACTACTACAAAACAACATCACATCTAGTTATAGGTTCTTATATTTTAGATAGGATAAAATAAGAAATATATAACGGATAAATTTTCTCGGTTAGTGAATGTAGTAGCGAGGAATAAATACTAAAATATCCTCTCAATAGTAGGAAAGGAATGTGGAATGTAAAAGGAAAGCGAGCGATAAATTTTAAGTATACTCTCTTCGTTTCAAAATAAGTTTGCTTTTTACCCACTTCAAGCATATCAATAAAAGTAAAAATACTATAATACCTCTACTTTATCAAATGATACTTATTTTAGAACAAATAAGAGGAGTTAAAAATAAACAAGTTATTTTTTTATAGAGGGAGGACACCTAGAACTGTTGACACGTCGGCCTAGCGTGAAAAGAGCCGACCGATGAAAAACAACTTCAAAATAAATATAAAATATAAATCACTTTATTTATTTTAAATTTTGTCTTGAAATAAACTATACTTTTCACAAATTAATACTTCAGTTTTAGCTACTACCTTCAACCCTGTTTAGATTCGTAATAATGTCTCGTCTAATATTAGGTTGTTATATTTTAGAACAGATGTAGTATTCAATACGTACTAGCCCACTGATAATATTGTTCTTATTAACAATGGTTACTGTAGTTTTTTCACTCATCACTCAAGATATGATGGTTTGATTTATTTTAGCAAGGAGAAAGTAAAAGTTATACTAAGATATAAGAGTTTAAATCCTTCATGTTCCATTAATCACCTATTATTTTCAATTTTCTTCCTAGCTTTTCATGCTCATCCTCTCACTATCAACCAGTATCCCTCAGCCTTATTATTCTTTTCTAGTAGGAGTACTAATCTTTGGCATGAGGTAGCCGTGCCCGTTTATAGCAGTTTACCGTGGACATGCTTCACAAGCTAGTAAACCGTATATTTTTCAAAGAAGTTTTATATAAAAATTTCTTAGAATACTTCTCCAAATCTATTTCTATTTTTTTTAAAAAAAATATTTATCCATTTATATCCCTAAATAATTACCATAAAATCAGAATAATCTACCATCCATCCTCCACAATCTATTGCGAACCGGGAGCTAGTAGCAGAGCTAGAAGTCATGAGCTCATGATGCAACGGGGCATACCCTGCTGGGTGTTGAGTACTCCAGTACAGTATTCGCCGTGCCGTCAAATTTGTAGGCCCTATACAAGGCTCTAAGCGAGACCTAAATCAAGTACCAAATATAGTTAAAATAATATATATACTGCAGAGTAAATGCGATATATTAAGAATAGTATATTTTTTAACTCTTGTTTTGCATAATCAGAAACTGCCAAGCTAGAAACGGAGAATGTTTGTTGTTTTTGTTGGCTTGCTGCATAGTGCATTGCTTGTTTTATGCCAGCAAGCAATATTTTATTTTATGCCAGCAAGCAATATTTTATGCGACAGCAAGAATGTCAAGTAGTAGTAGAAACCAGTGTTTCAGTAGAACCAGCCCTCAGATTGGGCTTACAAGTAAAGCCAAGATAACCAGGGTTTTTTCAGTCCCAAACGGCACCTGCATTACAAAAAGGAACTTGGCTGTTGTGGTCAGTCAGAGTTTTGAGACACAAAACGATCCTACCTGTACATTTTCGACATCATCCATCTAACACAGCACCTCTTGAAATGAAATGCCAAGTTCTTCTATCCTAGAGAAATGCTGATCCTTTTAGCACTTAGCAGGTCAAATTCTCAAAAAGATACACACCAAGTCACCAACCAACTATCATTGATCACCACCGTGTAGCGTGCAACGTAATCATAGTTTGCAGCCACTTCTCCTTCTCAGCAGGATCCCTGAAGAGATATTCCAGGAACTCGAAGTAATCCAAGCTGGTTCCTGCAGGCATTGTTTGTCCTCTCATCTCAAACTCCCTCCGCAGATTCATTTGGTGTTCCCTGGCAAGGTCGTAGCTGCTAACGCTTTGCAATGGCCTAAGAACAGGTTTCGGCTGCTCCTGAGGTGCAAAGAGACTGGTACTTGTGATTCTGCCCATTTGTGGAGCAATGATGGACGCAATGGGCAAAAGATGAAGCGATGGCCTTACAATGTTGAGCATTGGGTGGATATTGCAATGCTGAAGAGAACAGGCAGCCGCTGTCCATAAGCCAACAAAATTGACAGGAAAACCCGGTTGATGGCTTTGAGCAATTCTGAGTGAGTATGGGTCGAAAGTTACTGGCATGTTAACTGCATTGACTGGTCGAAACGGCTGAGATGGACTCCAGTCACTTGCCAATATTTCAGGATGGACATGGCTGCCTCCAAGGGATGGGATTGAACCAATCTTCTTTGAATGACATTTCTTCTGCTTCTTATGGTTTCTGATGGAGAATTTGAAAATGCAACAAGGACCTAGAGGGAAAGGTTCGTCGCACCTTGGACCATCTCCTCTCTTGTGGTTATAACCAGGATAGTCTTCTATATGGAAATCAACTTTCTCAACCATAATAAGTGAAGATTCAGAGGCTAGTTTCTCGATCTCCCAGTTTTCATACACCTTTCCTCTCTTGTGACTAACATGGATTTCACCGGAAGGCCGAAGCAGGCATCTTGCATTGCGGAAGAATCCTCTGACCAGATCCTTGTGCAAGCTAACAGTCAGAGAAAATGGTTAATAAAAAGTTAACCAATAAACAGGATATCCAAAAGCAGCAGCCTGTTTAAGCATTACGGCATTCTAAACAGGTTCCTGCCTTCACCAAATGCAACAAGAAGGCCATCAGCTAAAAAAATAATGACCATCATCTATGAAAAGGTTATTTTGCTGGCCAGAGCCTCCCACACATCATAACTACAACCTAAGAGGCTAAGATCCATTCCAGTGTTTTTATGGTTTATGCTATTAGCAGTGAGCAAAACTGACTAGAATTAAACTTGGAAAAGAGAACTGCTTCCTAGAGATTATATCTAAAGCCATTTGCATCCGTGAATACTTCTTCTCAACAAAATCAACATAACAGCATAACTCCTTGTACTGCCGTACAAGACATATACACTTTCTCTATAACACAAATTGTGAAACGACTGATTCATATGGCAAACAACACAAGCTTCCTTGATCTAGGAACAATCAAACATTGACAGTAACAAAGATAATCATGACAAGAGGGATCACATACTTGATCATACGCATATCACCCTCTTTTGCTTTGAATCCAGCATGAGGCAAATTAAATACAATTCGATCAAACCGTCTCATCTTTAGGTCAGTGTGATGCTTCATTGTTTTTGCATCAACACCATGCAAAGTTGTGGCCCCCATCAATTTCAGTACCATTATATTTGACTCTGCATTGGCATACTTCCCCCTCAAAGCCTCTGGACAACAGGGTACTCACATGAAATACAAATGAGCACAAAAATCAAACAATAAAGTCCCTTTTGGCATGTAATGTAAGCGGGTAAGCAGTGGCAGCTCAATGCATACATTTTTTTTAAAAAAAAAAGAATTATGAAACATCCTATTCCTGATATATTTTCTCTGTTGAATAACAATGTTTTAACTGGTTCACATATGTTTCCATTTAGCCCCTTAGCGATTGCTTTGATGTCTGTACCTTAAAGCAAACTTGAAACAAAGATGATGATTAAACACAACATAATAATATCGTGCTGGCAGGCGCAAAAATGATATATGAAGGTAACATAGAGGTTACGCCTAAAAACTGATCAGAGAAACAGATAAATGGACGCTTGCGTCAAAAAAAATAAAATAAATGGACGCCATTACCAATATGAAATGATAATCCGACCTAGAACTTTTGAACCATACGGCTGTAAGTCACAATTTTACAGTGTTTGTGTTCCAACAACAACAGAGAGCAGAATACCTTGAAGATAGAAATAGTGTGCTCAATATGAGTGTTCCTTCAATAACATGCAACTCTAACAGTAGAGAACATTTTTCTTTATAATTATCCTCAGTAAAATGTACCAACTAGCAAAGCTTATTTCCAAAACCAAGAACACATGAAGGTATCCCACAAATAATTAACAGAATGAATACATTTCATAGAACCCCAAGTTTAACGGAAAACCCGGGTTCTTCTCAAGGAACCTAGGTTTTGGGGCAAAAGGTTTAGGACAACCCCATGTTTGTGGATGTCGACACATAAATTTCATACAGGTATACCCTAGTATTATCTAGCCTGCTAAAATTGTTATTCCTACGTTTGCACACGCACCAATTTAAGGTAAACTAAGTTCTTGATGGAGTAAAGTTCGCCTTCTTTTTTTTTTATCAGGCCAAAATCTCAAGGCATACAAGGCAAGAAAGGCATATCGCACTCATAGTAGTGTACTATTCTACTAAGCGCGGAAAAATGGCGGCATCCGCAACAAAATCCGAATCAATTGAGTAAGGGGAAGTGAGAGGCTAGAGTTGAGAGAAGAAGCAATCGAAGATACCATAGGAATCAAGAGACGTGGAGACGAGGTTCTCGCCGGAGCAGAATGCGACGGCGAGCGCCCGCGAGAAGGAGAAATCCCCGTCGCCGACGACCAAGATGCTTTGCATCGAGGAGTAATGCTTCAGCCACTTCACCCCCTCCTCCTCCTCCTCTTCTTCATCGCCCCCATCCTCCTCCCCCTCCTCTTCATCCTCTCTCTCTTCCTCCGCTTCTTCCTCTTCCTCCACCTCCACCTCCACCTCCTCTTCTTCACCGATCGCCGATGCTCCATCCAATGCGCGCACCTCCTTCTTCCCGCCGGCGACCGCCGCCGCCGCGGCGGGCCCTACCTCCGGCGGCGCCACCGCCATGTGTGTCCGTTTCGTCGCCTCGTCCGCAACGCTAGTCCATGTCCATTGGTCAAGTCCAACCCATTTCAAACCAGCTCGACGCGTGGCGGAGGCTCCTGGATTTTTCACCCTTTGCTCCTTTTAAAAAGTTCATTTTACATATAAATCCTATAAAAAAAACTTATTCTTTTTCAGGGCGTCAACGTTTACCATTATATTAGATCACGGCGCCAATGAGACCCGGTTTAGTTTCTAAAATAAAAATTTTTCACCTTTCACATCGAATGTTGGACATATGTATGAAATATTAAATGTGGAAAAAAACCAACTACACAGTTCGACAGAAAATTACAAGATGAATTTTTATGCCTAATTGTGCCATTATTTATCAATGTGGTGATATAGTAAACATTTGCTAATGATAGATTAATTAGGCTTAATAAATTTGTCTTGCACTTTTCTGACGAAATATGTAATTTATTTTATTTTTATACTACGTTTAATATTTTAAATATGTGTTTGTATATGCGATGTTACAATCGAACTCAAAATTTTCGCCAGCAAAACCAGGCATGACACTAGCGTCTCGAAAAGATCGTATTCTGAATAAACTTTTTTAGGTAATAAAATTTTCTAAAATGATCAAAACGTGATAAATTCAGGGCGAGCCTCTGCCGCATGGGGTCCACTTGGCAGGAGGCTCACGGCACCATCACTGGGCCGGCACAAGTTGGGCCATATCGGAAATCGGGGCTAAACATGAGGCCCATTATTTATGGGCTGGACGGGGATTTGCGGCGAGGCCCATAATAGGTGGGCCTGAAGGGATTGCCACGTACGTGGGCCACAACTGGTGGGCCTACGTATTCTTGGTTTGGAGCTACTCCAGTTTGCTTTCACGATCTTTTGCTGCATATACTGCCATGTTTTCCTAGAATTTTAAAGACTGCTGTGCTGACCGAAATTTGTTATTTAGGATTTATTTATCTTGCACAATGCAATTTGTTCGTCAAGTCTGCTTAACACATTATCTGAAAAATAAATCTGCTTAACGACCAGCATTTGCTTCTGTCCAGCAAAGTCTTTCAAAAAAAGTGCTTTAGCACTCAGCTGAACCCTCATATCCTTTTCAATATGTAACAAATGGAAGTAAACCTAACTAGTTGTAGTTAGTTATGCTCAATTGCTCATCACATTCCCTACTATGTATTTTCTTTCGATCGAATTACCATGACACTATTTCATATACTGCAATGCCTTCTTTTAAAATTTTATTTTGCGTGTAAACTGAACTTGTGAAATCTGAATTTTGCCCATAAAACTATGTTTTATTCTAATATATTGACGTGCAAACTTTTTGCGCGCTTGCGAAAAAAGAGTTTAGCTTCAATAGTAGAGCATGCAGAATGGCAACTCGGTTGGACAACAAAAGATCCAATCAATGATCACCTCACCTCGTCGGCGTGAGATGGACGTGTGACCTGTCTCCGAGAACGAGACGCACACAATGAGACACACGCATGATCAGGAGCATGTCACCTGGCTCAGCCCCCATCAATCTGCATCATTCACAAACCATCAACTGATTGGGTATACAGATCATCGATCGCTTTGTTTGTTCATTTTTTTTCTGTTCGTGATCCGACAACGACGCCGCCTCATCCACAAATTCGAGATGTAATCTTCAGCAATCAGAATGCCCAGAGTTATTTTACTGCTGCTAATGGCATTTCTTGGATTAATGTACAGTGGGGAAAAATTACACCTAAGTACAGAGTTGCTGCTGCTGATGATTTCTTGGCTAATCAACAGATTATGGGAGGGTAATTAACTAATTACTGCTCGCTAGTTTTTACTAAGCTTTTCAAAAATTTCAGACGGAGTAGTCGGTGACGGCGGCGAAGGAGCAGCTCGACACCGGCGATGCCGGCGTCGCGGTGACGGTGGTGGGCAATGACGGCGGCTGCGTGGGCTGCGGTGGCTTGGCGTCGTCGCCGGCGGCGGACGGCGCGGGGCGCCGGATCTCCTTGAGCAGCGCGACGACGTCCTTCATGGCGGGGCGGTCGTCGGCGCGGCGCGCCACGCAGAGCGCGGCCACGGACATCGCCTGCCGCATCTCGTGCACGTCGGCGTCGGCGCCGGCGCCGGCGCCGGCGGCGCCCCTGAGCCGCGCGTCGAGGAGCTCCGCCGCGTCGCGCTTCGCCTGCAGGTGGTCCCGCACCCACTGCACCAGGTGGGCCCCGCCTGGCAGCGTGGGGTCCAGCGGGTGCCGCCCCGTCAGCATCTCCAGCATCACCACGCCGAAGCTGTACACGTCGCTCTTCTCCGTGATCCGCTGCATCGACGCGTACTCTGAAAAAAAGAAAAAGAAATTCAGACAAAAAATTCAGCAAAATACATCGAAATAATGATGGATTTGTGAAAAAGCGCGGGAAATGTAACGAGAATTTTTGGTGTGATTTGGACCCCACCTGGTGCCATGTAGCCGTACGATCCGGCGATGCGCGGCGGCGCCGGCATGGCGGAGTCGAGCTTGGAGAGGACGCGGGCGAGGCCGAAGTCGGCGAGGTACGGCTCGTAGGCGGCGCCGAGGAGCACGTTCATGGCCTTGATGTCGCCGTGGAGGATGGCCGGGACGCAGTCGTGGTGGAGGTACGCCACGGCGTGGGCGACGCCGAGCGCGACGTCGTAGCGCGCGCCCCACTCGGAGTCGGAGGCGGGCGCGCCGCCCTTGCCGGCGGCGGCGCCGCCGCCGTGGAGGAGGCCGCTCAGGTTGCCGTTGGGGAGGTAGCCGTAGAACAGCAGCCTGGCGCCGCCGTTCGCCGCCCAGCCGAGGAGGCGCACGATGTTGCGGTGGCGGATGGAGCCCAGCGCGGCGATCTCGCTCCGGAACGCGGCGGTGGTCGTCTCGTCCGTCGACCACATCTTCTTGACGGCGAAGGTGTAGCCGTTGGGGGTGTCCACCTTGTACACCACACCGGAGCTCCCGGTCCCGATCACGTTCGCCGACGTCAGCCCGCGCAGCACGTCGTCCATGGAGATGTCGAGCTTCTGGTACAGCGTCACCTCCCACGCGCCCTCGCCGTGGACGACCCTGCCGCCGCCACCGGCGCCGCCGCCACGGCGCATGCGGGCGAGCAGGTACGTGGCGGCGACCAGGAGCGCCGCGCTGACCGCGGCGAGGATGGACATGGCCACCTTCAGCGACGAGATGGCCCCGCGCCGGGAGGACTCGTCGGAGCCGTCCCCGACGATGAGGTGGCGGTTGCCGGCGAGGTCGCTGAGGGGAAGCCTCTGGAAGAACGGGGTGTCCGGGAGCTCGCCGGAGAAGGCATTGTAGGAGATGTTCAGCGTGACGAGATTCTGCAGCGCCGCCAGCGAGTCGAGGCCACCAGAGAGCTCGTTGTGCGACAGGTCGAGGCTGCCGAGCTTTTCAAGTCCGGCGAACTGCGACGGTATCTCGCCGGAGAGCCGGTTGCAGCTGAGGTTAAGCGAAATCTCCAACGACGGGAGCGTCCCGATCTCCGGCGGGATGACGCCGGAGAACGCATTGTCGCCGAGGTCAAGCAACTGGAGCTTCTGGCAAGAACCGATCTCCGGCGGTATCCCGCCGGCGAGCCGGTTCTTCCCCAAGTAAAGCTTCGTCAACTCCGGCATCAACCCGATGCTGGAGCTCAACGCGCCGGCGAGCTGGTTGTCGGAGACGTCGATGAGCTGGAGGCTACGCGGCAGCGTCTCCGGCAGCGAGCCGGAGAGAGCATTGGAGTGGAGGTCAAGGAACTCGAGGCTGCTGCACCCGGAGATCGCCGATGGCACGGCGCCGACGAGGTGGTTGTCGCTGATGTCGAGGAAGTTGAGGCTCTTCAGGCCGCCGATCTCCGCCGGGATCGTGCCGGAGAGGCGGTTGACGCTGAGCCGGAGACGGTAGAGGTTGCCGCAGCCGCCGATCTCCGGCGGGATGGGCCCGGACAGCTCGTTGCTGATCAGCAGCAGCTTCGTCAAGTTCTGCAGGGCGAACAGCTGCTTCGGGATCACGCCGGTGAGGTTGTTGTACGAGAGGTCGACGGCCTGGAGGCTCGGGCACTCGGCGAGGCTCGCCGGAACGCCGCCGGTGAGACGATTCCTCCACGCGTAGAACAAGGTGAGGTTGCGCAGCCGCGGGAAGTCGACGGCGATCGCGCCGGTGAGCTGGTTGTTGTCGACCTCGACGTCGGTGAGCGACGTGCAGTTGGAGAGCTCCGGCGGGATGGCGCCGGTGAGCTGGTTCGTGCTGAGCTGGAGCTGCTGGAGATTGGGGAGGTCGCCGAGGGTGGCCGGGATGCTGCCGGTGAGGGAGTTGAGCGAGAGGTCGATGAGGGTGAGCTGCCTGCACCGGCCGAGCTCCGGTGGGATGGCGCCGACGAGCTGGTTCTGCCATAGGAGCAGCGTCTGGAGCTTGGCGAGGCGGCCGAGCTGCGGCGGGATGGGGCCGGAGAGGGAGTTCTGGTAGAGGTAGAGGCTGGTGAGCTCGGTGCAGTTGCCGATGGAGGCCGGGATGCGGCCTGAGAGGAGGGTGGTGTAGATGGCGATGGTCTGGATGCGGCTGAGCTGCCCGATCGTGTCCGGCAAGCTGCCGGACATGCCGGTCTCGGCGAGGCCGAGCATGGTGAGGTTGGCGCAGCCGCCGATCTCCGGCGGGAGCGGGCCCTTCAGCCCCTGGTTCCCGCCGGCGCGGAGCACCTGCAGCCGCTTCAGGTTGCCGATGCTCGCCGGGATCGCGCCGCTCAGCTCGTTGTCGTAGAGCGTCAGGTAGGCGAGCGCGGTGAGGTTGCCGATGTCGTCGGGGATGGCGCCGCGGAGCGAGTTGGAGTTGAGGGACAGCGACTCGAGCTTGGACAGCCGGCAGAGCTCGGGCGGGATCGCGCCGGTGAGCTGGTTCTTGCTGACGTCAAGCGTGGCGAGCTCGCCGTATTCGCCGAGCTCCGGTGGGATCTCGCCGGTGAGGTTGGTGCCCGAGAGCACCAGCGTCCTCAGCGATCTCGCCAGCGGCAGCAGGCTCGCCGCCGGGAGCGGGCCCTGCAGGTCGACCGACGTGACGGTGACCCCCACGACGTCGCCCGTGCGCGCGTCGCACGACACGCCGAGCCACCGGCACGGCGTCGCGTCCGACGCCCGCCACGAGTCCAGCGCGCCGCCCGACGGCCGCAGCGACGCCTTCCATCGGAGCAGCGCCTGCCCCTGCTCGCTCACGCCGTGGCACGGCGACACCAGCAGCAGCGCGACGGCGACGGCGACGGACGCGAGCAGAAGCGCGTGCCTCGCTGCTGCTGCTGCTGCTGCGACGGGCGGCGGCGGCGGCATTGGCGGCGCGCGCCACGGCGAGGTGGACGGCGACGGCGAGGCGAGGGTGGCAATGCGGTGGATGTGTTGGTGATGTGGCGGCGGTGGCGTCTGCTGCTGCTAACTAAGCAAAGCCTTGGGATTGTAGAGGGGGAGACCCCATGATTTGTTTATACAGGAAAAGTTTAGGAGATCTGGATCCAAATGACCACTAGTCAAGCTGCTAATGGCTAATGGCTACTGCAATTTTTTTTAAAAAAACATTATTTATTTGTATTTTTTTTTGTACAAAGAACAGATTTGGTTGTTGCAGTGTTGGTGTGTGCACTAAGTATAGCACTGATCAGTCTGATGATCTCTGATCTGATCTTGGCTTGAGCAAAACAAAATAAAAATTGGTTCTTGGAGGTTTTATTCAGAGGAGGATAATGCAAGTTATATTGATTTTTTAAGTGATAAGAAGCTGAAAGGAAGGTGGTGTGGTTGCTGCCATCATCTGCATTAGTACTACTGCACATGTTTATCCCAAGTTGGAGTACTTATTACTGCTGCCATTACAGTGTCTCTTGATTAGTTAATTAGCTACTATTCCTGTCTTGGAGATGAAAACATCTCTGGTTCTTTCTCGTGTTCTGTGAGAAAACAGGCTGCTAATTCTCTCGGTAATCCAACTTTTTATCCACTGTTTAGATGGAAGAGAGCATTTTCAGTGTCAGTTAAGTTAAACCTCGTTCCTTTGTGCTGCTGTGTTTTATGCTCCAGGGGTTGACAGTGGCTGTTACTGCTCTTTTAATCTTTTTTGCATGCATGCATGCATGCTTCTTTTCTGCGTGTAAACCTTCTGAATGTTTCAGTGTTGCTTTACGGCTCTTATCTTTGCAAGACGGTGGTACTGAAGATTAACTACTAGTACTTTACAGTGACAGTGAGGTAAGTACAACTGTAAAAAAGTGCAAGTTGAATTGTAGTGCTGCCCCATTAGCACTACACCAACAAGAAAATAAACATACTTACCTTACTGCCAATTCAGCATAAGTATTTTCTCTTCTTCAAAATTCATTTAGTTCTCTTGCTCAGAATTCCACCATAAAATATATGATTATGCTAGTATGTGACAATTTAGGTTACTTACTTTGACAAAACTAACTCATTTCACATGTACAAGATTTCAGTTAATGTTTAGGCGCTTCTTTAATTCAAAATTTCAAGTGCTTTTTCAGTTAATGTTCACCACCAATCCGTCCTCTGATCCGAAATTATTCTTTCTGCAGCTTCCTAATAGGTGTGTTCAGGTTCAGAAAGCATGCTCATGTCACATGGCTAAGTTTCTGAAAAAGAACACTAGGATGATACAAGAACAGGTAATCAGTCCTAATTACTTGCTGTGAACTCATCATGGGCATCAGAGAGAGGCTTCCTGGTTAAATTAAAGCAGCAAGGCAGAGGGGAATAAGAGAGGAACCTTATGTTGCACATGACAGTAAAGGGAGGTGAAGGTTAGTGCCATACTCATGTCAAAAAAAAATTAGCAACTTACCCATGTGAATAGTTGGCAAACCGCTGGAAAGTAACCTAGAAAGATTAGATGCTAGCTGATAAAAAAAACTGAAAAATTTTCAGCAAGAACATGTACATGTCTTTGAGTGGAAGGGACAATGAGGAATAAGATATTAAGATAACATTTGTTCAGTTTAATACCCATTTGTCAAAATCCTTTACTTTTGTCATTAGTTAAATTGATCGGTCGATCTCGACCTAGCACCATCACTACGGCTGGTAAATCTCTGTGGGGTTTGAGTGATTACCATTTCAACATCAAAGTTACAACTTTATAATCCAAAGCACAATTCTTGAAAAAAAAAGTTTTTTTCTCACCCCTGCTTGGTGGATCCAATTATTTCACCATCTTCTCTGCATTGTGGTTTCAATCAATTGCTGCACTTTTAACTATTTTTCTATCTGTTAATTTGAACCAAATTACACTTCGAAATTTCCTTGCGGATGGTTTTTACAAAACTGAAAAATTACAATCAAGAAGCAGCAGCAGCAACAACATAGCACATTGCCTGAAGTTCAAGTCAACTATTCGAATTAACTTTTTTTATGTTTCGTACCGATGTAAAGTATAAACAGATAAATAATTCTCACTAATCCACCATCACTCGCGCCTAACTTGAGGTTAGAATGCGGTCACATGGGTGATGAGGAGACATGTTAGGTGTCACACATGGTTGATAATGTTTGAGTAATATTGGAGATGGTAACAGCAGGGGAATATATATGAGGATGATTTCGATTCAGAATTCAGATCCCATCAAGGGTGTGAGGACAATACGGAGGCATATGCAGCACATGGTTAAGTTTAGGTGGACTTATCACCTGATTAACTAAGATAAAACCTGTACCTGTGACTGCGATGCAGTTCTTTCACAGCTAATTCTTCCGTTAGTTCTCTGACAAATTATGACATTTCTCAGGCCTGGTTGCAGTTGCCGCCAAGATCTGATCATATGCCGTCTGTTACTTCAACAACTTTTTTTTTCTAATTTCTTTTCACAGTTGCATCGAGCTTACGCGGATAGATCCAATCGGAGAATGCATCTGGATGCACTGTCAAAAGGTAATTAGAATTGATTGTCGGTTAAGAACATTCTGTCACCGAAAGGTTGAAACAGTTAAAAAAATGTTGCTTCAGACATAATGCGTCTTTTTTACTTCAGTTTTCACATTCAGTCATTTCCTGTTTGCAAAAGGCAGTGCCTATGGAATGCTAGGAGTAGCCACCAAAATATTGAAGCATCTAGCTAAGCTAAGCTATTGTACATTGTTAAAGCTACTAATTCACTATTATATATAGCTATTTTAGTCACATTCTCCGAAATCAAAACAGTTAAGACATCTATGAACAGGGGGTAAAAATGAGTGTCTCACATTTTGTCACCTCTTTGAGGGTACCTACAATCATAGATCAAGAAAGCCAAATTACCACAAGCAATGCTCCTAGTCTCCTAGTGGTGGTTACTGGTAGTATGTGTTTTGTTTGTAAATCAAACGGTTGAAAGCTTTGTTTGTAAATACTCTTTTTTTTTTGTAAAAAAAAAAGTATGTGTAGCAGACTAGCAGTACTCTTTTACTACCACAAGCAGGCTGGTTTCTGTCAGATAAGAACATCCTGTTACCACTGCAACAGTTAAAAATGGCAGAAGAATGGAATTTTTAACTTCTTCTAGGTTCTTTCATCCAGTTACTGTTACTCTGTAATGTGTGGTGCCAACCTATGAAATGCTAGACATAGCCTGATAGCCGTGCAATTTTTTCTAGCCTGAACAAAGCTGAGCACAAATTTATGAGCTCGGAGCATCTGTCTGCCTCTCTGGGCCTTCATAGTCTGTCCTAGTAATTTGCTACTAGCTCCAATTGTAGCGTAGAGCTGCCTACTCCATGGTAAGAATGCAACAGATTCAGTTCAAATTAGTGGTCATAGAAATCAAGATAAGAACAAGATGCATCTGTCACGAATCCTGAAGATTAATTTGTAGCTCTTCACTTCATGTCAGCTGATGCTTACACAGAACAAGATATTTGACCTGAATCTTTATGTGGCACTGGCATGGATCAATCTGATGCCTTGATTCAATCAGAAAGGAACAGGATATTTCACATTTCTCTTGTCCTAAATTATGATCACATTATCATAAACAATACTACTATGATGCATCTGTGCTATCAGCAAGATGTGGACTTGGGGTAGTTCAGGTGGCACTACCCCATGTTTGGTGTTTTTCCCGGAGAAAACGTTGCAAAGTGATCGACTTGTCCCACACAAACATCAGAGTTCAGAGCTCACAAGAGGAGGCCCCATCTGTATCACTGCCTGAACTTTACATGTTTGCATTGCAAGATTGAAACTTTATTATTATTATTATGCAGAGTGGATGCCAAGAAGCAAGAACAGTGTGATCTGTTGATGCTACCTGCTACTACTGGTTGCAAATTGCAGAGCTTTAATCTGTTTAATTTGCTCTCACTTTCTTGGGTCATTTCAGTGCTCCCTACGTACGCACAAACGCCTATTGGCTGGAGATGATGCTTCAGTCCTTAATTTCAGGATTTTGTTCCTCTTAATGCACACATCCATGGCCTTTATCTTTATGGTTTTAGGTATTTTATCTGTATGGGCAAAGATCACAACTTGTGCACGCTTGAGTTTAGGTTGTGCATTATTTAGATCTTTATGGTGATTTGATTAGGTGAGAGAAGATTTGGAAGATGAACTTATCCGCACTTAGGAATGAGAGAACAGACAAAATAATCAGTCACATGCATGTTTGCAAACATGTGCAAAGAAACTGGATGGAATTTGATTAAGTTTGCTTTGAATGATTGAGGTTGAGGCTGTTTGGGGGCAATATAATCTTAGTTGATCCGATGGCCAACTCTATGATTGAACACCAACCTCGATTGTATCTCAGATAATAGTTTATTTTTCGGTCAACATATTTTAGTTTGTAGATATTTTTGTTCATAGTTAGATTCATGAACGGAAAGGTTTTTTTCTGGCCTTCCCAAACAAGTCTAAGGCTATATAGATTCAAAGAAAAGCAGAGAAAAAGAAAGAAGTCCATGACTCCATGTGACTACTAACGTTAGGGAAAATATATATTATTTTCATGCTACACTCTAATGAAAATATAATAGATTCTATATTAAAAATAGTCTAGCCTTTACGTGGACCAGCCAATTAGTAGTACAAACATGCAAACTTTTCTTTAAAATGTGCTCTTCAAATCACATTTAGTGATATTAAAGGATGGAGGTAGTAGATCACTCTCAGGTTGGATTCAACTTCAGCAGGTTTCGGGGTAGTTTTATGTTGTTATATCGTGCTTACGTTTTATTTTTCAATGCTAGTTTAGGAAACAAGTGGTAAAAAATATAATTCCCTTTTGTGAAAATTAACACTTCCCGGCTCTTTTTTTACATTCCAAAGCTTTAAAGGTTATGACTATACAAAAGTCGGATATGATCGTTTTGCAGCTGATAAGTCGTAGAAATATGAGTTAAGGAAAAAAATAATTAATAGGTAAAACTTCCATAGTTGTATTATTTGTAGTTTTAAAGTCAAAGCTGAAAAATAGACTATGCTTAAAAAAACTACAAAATTAAGTTTCAAATTCTGACTTTGGTTGTGGCTAATCAAGCAGAATTAGCATATGTCACTTCAATTTGTTAATAAAATTTTGGACCACATTCAAGATGAGATATGCGCTAATTTGTTAATAAGGAATGCTAATTTTTCACTTGAATAGAATATCATAATCCCATTAACATATGCTGACTATGTTTTAGAAAATACTATACACCAAAGCATATGAAAAGAAAAGAGTAAATTTCAGAAAACTGCAACTTTAGTGACAAAACTATTAGTTTGCTGCAACATTAGCGACATGTTTCAGTTTGCTGCAACATGTCGCTAATGTTGCAGCAAACTAATAGTTTTGTCACTAAAGTTGCAGTTTTCTGAAATTTACTCAAAAGAAAATGACAAATAGGAGAGTTTCAGAAAATATATATGTTACCTCCATCCTTGACTAATAACCTACCTGGTCCTGCCAATGCTGAGGTAGGCAGCGTTCGTTTGGAGGACATTGAGGGAGAAAGCACCTCGTTTTCCGCACGTACGCTTCCCAAACTACTAAACGGTGTGTTTTTTTTGTAAAAAATTTTTATAGAAAAGTTGCTTTAAAAAATCATATTAATCCATTTTTAAAATTTAAAATAATCAATACTAAATTAATCATGAGCTAATGGCTCACCTCGTTTTGCGTATCTTCTCAATCTACTCAATCCCCTTCTTCTCAAACACACCCTAGTGTCTAGGGAGCAGAAACTCTTCAATGAAGCTTCCCTTCAATTCAATCAAAACATTCTCTCTCATCTGTTCTCATCTCTCATCTCTGCTCCCTGATTGTGCCTGTGTCTGCATCTGCATCCCCAACAAGAACACAAATGCAAACGTCAAAAATCCTGAGCTCCAATTCTCTCCTACTACTACCTGCCTGCACAACGCCATGCCTGCAGCACTCGATGACGCCTGCTCCCCTTTCTTGAAATGAACAACGCCGCAGCACCGTCTCACCATGCATTTTTCCTTGCAGTTTTATCGGGGTTTTTTTCTTTTTCAGGCCATGTGTCGCTCGAAGCCTGAAGAAACCTGCATTTTTTTTGCTGGGATAGACCGGTCAGTGCCATGTCGCAAATCATAGTACTCCTGACTGTCGATCTCTGAAACAGATGACGATGACAATGTTCAGAAACTTGGACACTGGATACGAGCAGAAAGATTCTTCAACCGAGCAGTGTTTGTTTTGCAGGAAGCTTTTAGATTACAAGGCGAAATGGGAGCTGGTAGATAGATACACCCCATCGAAAATAATGAACTTCTAAGAATAATTGGTTCTCTTAGAACAGAGGAAGTATTGGTGTTCATGATGTGACGAGATTGTTACGCACAATTTGAAAGTTTCTTGATGAGTATTAAACAGAAATTCCGATTAATTTTGATGGACACACCTTGCAAAAAAAACTTGAACATCTATAATGGACAGCCAAAATTTAGGAAATATATGTTAGTTTTTTTTAAGCTAAAAGATACTACCACCATCAAAAAATATAATGAGTTGAAAATTGTGTTTGGTTGAAATATTTGGTACTAAGGAAATATTTGGAATTAAATGGGAGAAAATTGTGATTGGTTGAAAAGATGAAAGTAGGTGAAAAATTTAAATTCGTGAAATGTTATGATCGTTTGAGAAGAGAATGTAGGTGAAGAAGTGGTTATATTTTAGGACCGCTTTTAAATGCTAGAAGTTTATATTTTGGGATGGAAGAAGTATGTTATAATTTGAGCATATTCCTAAAAAAGAAGGGTGGTGATTAGGGGCTGGTAATTTGTCAAAATACTCCCTCCATTCTAAAATATAAGTATTTTTAGCATAGTGACAAGTCAAACATTTTTAAATTTGACTATTAATAGAAAAAAAATAAAAAAGATCAATCATGTAAAATTGATGTTACTAGATTTATCATTATACAAACTATCATAATATCTAACTCTTTTTATTTAAAACATCTTATTTTTATATATATTGTTGGTCAAAATAGCATCTCGGAGACCATGTTAGAGTTCAAAAATGCTTATATTTTGGGATAGAGGGAGTAGTAAAAAAAAGAATAAGCAATATTAAGTTAATGGAAGTGTAGCTATTTTAAGTAATATCTCATGATCCAGCTGAAGAATCCTTGCAGAGTTTCTGACTTTGCACAGATCCAGCTCCAGAACTTTTTCAATTTCCAACCCTCGGTTGCTTTGGCCTACGCACAATTGCAGTCTTTTTGCATGCATGATCCAAACCTTACAAGTTACAAGAACATGAAAACATCAAGGCTTGTGTTCTGGAACTTGTCAGGACTCAGGACTATCAAATGCACAATTTGCAAGATAAAATACTGGCACTGGATGGAAGATTGGAAGATATCTGCAGGAAAATTTCTTCGTTGTGATGAATGCATTGACACCATCAACATTGCGGTAAACAATAACTGACATTAGCAGTAACATTTTAAGAAAAGATGACAGACATAATGGCGTCAAAGATGATAGGCAGATGCCATGGTTGAACAGACAAAAGCTAAAAGTGTCAGCTCAGTTTTGTGCTGCTACAAACTTAAGGATCACCAAAATATCATGAGGTTAACATTGTCGTCGTTGTCATGAGCCAGATATGCCAACAGCTGAACTCGAAGTACCCTGTGAAATTGTGGGAGTTGGGATCAAATACAAGAGTTAGTCATTGCATGCCAGGAAATGCAAAGTGCAATACTTATTAACCCACTGCAAGACAAAAAGGTAGCAGTATTTCTTATATTTCTTTCTTTTTTCTTATGGGTAAAGGATATGCTGCTGGCCTAAATGATCTAAAACCATGTAAACTGTGACGATTATTTGCGGTGCACTTGTTATCTTACCTTTTGTCTTTATGATGAATGAAACAGTGCACTATGGCTGTTCATAGCATAAGGTAAGATTGCACAAATAAAGGTTTTGTCCTCAGCATTATTTATTCAACATTTTCAGTCAGCATGTCAATTGTGTTTATGTGTGTGTAGTCTGGGGTGCAAAACATCAATAAATTTGGTGTCAATAATAAAAATATGATTACAAGACACAGCTACGTAAAGGGAAGTAGGGAACACTGTCATACCAATATATGAAAATAGAAGGTCATTATTTCATTTGTTTCTTACTGAAAGAAAACGGTCAGAACAGGAATAAATAACAAGAACCCACAGGCGCCTATTTCAGTGAACATATATCATATCTTTATAAAAAAAGCTACCTGATCTGCCACATGGCTTTCCTTATTATGGGCAGCACCAGTTGTGTTGTTCATGACCTAAATATAGGTAAATTTTGTCAGTTTTACAAGACACAAAAACAAACCACAAATAGTTATAATTAGGCCCTCTTTGTTTTTATGAGCTAAAAAGTGTAAGTCTAAAAAAATAAGCAGTTTTTTCGTTTGGCTTTTTTAAAGCCATAAGCCAGTATTACACTATTAAGCTAAAAGCTAGGTTGGAGAAGTTTTTTTTTTTTGGCTTATGTGAGATAGAGGTATAATTTCATCCTTAAATTTAGGACTTTAAATCCATCGGCTTATAAATTATATAAGCCAAAAGCTGACTTAAAAAACTAAGCCTAAACAAAGAGACCCTAAGAAGTAAACACATCAGCCCACCCACATACCGTTAATACTTCATGCATGTTGTCGAGATTAACACACAATATCTCTAGTACCCGCCTATACTCCAACCAGTTGATCAGCCGCAGGGAACTATCCTGCAGCATTCACACACAAGATAATTGCAATAGTTTTAATTACAATATATTCACAGCTATTTTTTACCAGAAATATGAAAAGCTGCACAACTTCCAATTCGATGCAGAAGCAGTAAGTTTACCAAATCTGGTGTCTGCTGCAAATCTAGTTTGATCTCCATGCCCATTTTATCTGCATTTTCCTACAGAAAAGAGTAACTATGAGTTAGGAATTTGTCAAACCATCAAGAAAAATTCGTGAATCCTATTATGTAAAGAAAGTCTAGCTATATACATAAATCTTGTGTTTCATATCATGGATACTTCTGCAATGATTCTCTAGTCGATGGAGCCTATCCATCCACACTTCCCACTTCTTCAATTTCCAACCCTCCTGTCGCTTTGGCCTACGCACAACACCAGCCTTTCTGAATGCATCCAACCGTACAAGCGACTTCACAAACATAAAGCATTGCATGTTGTTGCGGGGGCTGAATCTCAATTGCTTCACTAACTTGCTCGACTCAATCTCAGAATTCTTCCCCATCAACTCATAGAAATATAGGTTCTTATTAAAATCATGCAAGATAATCTTATCACCGCAGATCCAATGTGGTCCTGGAACTTCAAGCATTGATAAGCGAATGTTGTACTTCTGACTCCAGCTTTGCTCTATCTTGCTGTCAATTGTCCAGATATGCAGCTTCCCTGTCTCGTAATAGCTTACAGACACATTGCTATCAACCTCTGTAATCAGCCACTGGTCAGGATCACCAAGCACATAGTTTGCAGGATCAACTGCTGGGAGCTGTAACCACTGGAAAAGTTCTTCACTGAGATCAAAGGTCACAACTGCATGTTTCCAAACACTTTCCTCATCTTCAGTCAGCCAATACATTGCCCCACCAACATTGACAACTCCAGATCTTTCCACACATCTCAAGCTTAAAGCCTGTGGAGTTCTAACATCTCTCCATTTCTCATCACCGAGTGTGTAAACTTGAATTATGCTGAAGCTAGTACCAACATGGAGGTGCTCGTCACGAAGAAAGTGCATTACCTTGTATTGTTTTGTCACTGGGTGAAACCCAAAGCTGTAATAAGAGAAGTGATCAGTCTTTGAGTTCCTGACAGGTTTTACTAGATGCATACATTCACCAGTTGCAAGGTTGGCTATCTTGATTGTTGATTTATCCGAGTGTAAACAAATAAGTCCATTGCATGAAGCACATAAAAAATCATCAGGCTCGATCACAGGTACAACCCATTTTGATGGTGACCATGCTTCATCAAAGAGGATTGCTTCACTAGGGTAGAGGAGATGGACTAAATTCTCTCGTTGAAAGAAAAATAGGGGGCGACGCGGCGCACGCTGGATGTGCACCATGGCAAACTGAGGATCCCGAATAATGCCATCCCATTGCTTGCAGACACCACGGCACCTCAGCAGAGTGCTTACCGGAAGCCTCAGAAGTATCAGTTCAACAATGTCTTGCGGCAACAAGGTCATGCAAATTTTCTTGCTTGGCTGCATTGCCAAGGCTTTCTTAGAAGCCATGGTTTGCTCCTAGGATCTACCAGATCTTCCTGAAAGCAATAATTTCACAAAATTTCAGAACAAACCTAATCGAGGAACGTATAAACCATGCATTTAATACATTTAAGCAATATAATTCAAGTCAATTTTAACTATCACAGAGGTTTTTTAGATAATGAACTATCACAGAGGAACAATGGAACTGAAGAAACTAATCACCACCATATCAAGATTACCCCTTTCTCCTCCTTATGACTGCCCAAAAGCTTCATGGTACTAACATATCTTTGCCCATAAAAGAGGGGGGAAAAACTTTTTTTTTCTACTCTGACAATATCATCCACTCCTGCATTCCTTCGCTTTCTTCCCTGTCATAGTGTCACTCCTCTGTTAGCCAATTTCCAGGATAAGCATGCTCCTACTTCTGAATCTAATTCAGGTGGGATCAATCAAGAAAATTCAAGATCAAACACCCCTCAACTCAAGGAAAGCCATCACTATTCATTTATCAACCTAAAATTCACACAAAATTCTCCCCCACTCCAAGACAGAAAATTCTCCCGGAATCCACAGTAACCACACGAAGAACCCTAACCACATCTCATCCTGTCGCCAAGGAACCAACAGAAACCAATGCCGAAGTAACACCCACTCCAGAGAAGGCGAAATTTTGCGAAACTTTGCCACTTACGAACGCATCGACGAACCCCGCCGCCGCCTCGGCGTCCGCTCCCCTCGCCGCTGGTGGGTTTCGGTGGTTTCGAAAGGGAAAGAGATCTTATTTTTTTAATTATTTTAGTAGGGAAAAGACAAGAAGTGTATACTACCTTCGTCCAATAATAAATTCATTTTTAATTCTTTACATTTGTTCTGAAATAATTTTATTTTTAAAGTAATTATTACATCAAAATTTGTGAAAGTAAAAAATTAATTGTATTGGAAATAGATAACAAAGTAAGAAATAGTTGTATTGTGATTCGATAAAATAGGAATATATTTTTTTATATTGGAATATGTGTGAGATGGATAAAAATATTAGAAATATCTACCAACGAGGAAGAGGAAGGCCCAGTATGACCCACAAGGCCTAGAAGCACGTTTCTCCCAGGAATACGTTTTTGCTACGGGATTACGAATTCGGAAAAAACGATTTCACTTTTGGTTTGCGTACTCTTATGCTCAAACTTTGGTTGAAGAAGAGCGAACAGCATGGGCCTCATGCAAGCTTATCTCACATCCTGGTTGGGATCACACCTCTATGCAAAAACTGACCACATTTTTTTTGCTTTTGCAAAGATTTCAGGCCACTCTCCAAGAGGTCTAGCATGTAATCGAACCGTATGAATTTCTAATACAGCGATAAAATTTTCCATGGATATAATAATAGCCATGAAAACTCCATTAACATAATATAGATGGTGACTAAAACATCACTGGTTTAACATGACAGACAGCAAGAGTTCAAAAATCCTTCAAGAAAACAGAAGTGGAGGTTCTCAAAGAAAAACTAAACGATAGAACGGATAGTAGCAAGAATTCCTGCCACATAGAACCATAATGCCATGTGAATTTCAGTAATCTTCAAATCGTCACCATCATCTCGCATGGCCACCACCGAGCAGAAGTGTTGAAGGTCGAAGCCACTAAGTAGAAGAACCAGATGTGGGAATCCACACACCCTGTGAAATGGAGTAAAAGTACAAGTGTTTGGTACTATCATCAAGTCTATGGGGGCCTAGAATCCCCACAAAACCTCAAGACAAGGGAATCTCTCAAATTCCAAAAGATAAATATATAATACTGGTTAAATTAACTATAGAAGAATACACCATGAAAGATTGGAAGTGTAGCGAAGCTTGTTCAGTTCACATTTTCACTAGAAGTGTATTTACTAAAACCTTGACAATTTGTTATTTTCATATTGTGAAAATATGCCATAAGTGGATTGCTAGAGTAAAGAACTCATTGAATTCAGTAGCTATACAACTTAACTCGTATACAAGATGGAACAATAAACACATTAGGGAGGTCAGTCATCTGTACAAATGGAGAGAACATGGTTAATTAGTTATCTTGCGAGAATTTAAATTCCTTGTATGTTGCAGATGGGATCAGATCGAAACATGTAAAAGGAGATTGCGACCTGTAACAGAAAAGATTAGCGCCTACATAGACATTTACCTGATCGCGTAAATAACTTGTTATCATCCTTAAGAGGTCACCACCTTCTTGATTTGAGGCAGATAGGCAGGTTAGCTCTGTCAATTAGCAATGTTTCAGCGATATATGTAAATATTGTTTGCTAGAGAATACCTTAACAGTATCTCTTAGTCTATTCACATAAGCCTTTAAATCATCCAAGTCCTGCTTCTGCTCCAACCAATTAAGACGCCGGAGTGGCCTTGGATGCTGAACTCTCAGGCAAGATATTTGTTACAATACTACTTGCAGTTTACTTATAAACTCCTAATATCATCACGCCTTTGATAATACAAAAGCTTTTCAACTCCCATTTAAATACAGGATTACCTACCTGATTTGGACAATCTGATAGACAACGCAACATTTGATCAATTCTCATGCTTATACACTTCAATGCTTCATCATCCGGTTGACGCAGCAACAGCCAGTTGGTTACTGTGTGGAAATTCTTCCTAGTTACCTACAAAATGCAAAATTGTAAACTTGCATAACAAATATCTATTAACAGTGCTGACAGTTTAACCAACGTACAAGATAATCTTACTCCAAATGCTGCACGTCTTTCCATGTATCCTCTAGCACGCAACGGTTGCTCTCCCATGCTTCCCACTTCTTCAATTCCCAGCCTTCCTACCATTTAGGTCTACGCACAATACTAGCCTTCTTGTATGCATCTAACCGTACAAGTGATTTCACAAAGGTGTAGGATTGCATGTTCCCTGGCTTGCGGGGCGTGAAATCTAACAGCCTATCTGCATTGCTCATTTTAACCTCTAGGTTCTTTCCAAGCAACTCACAAGAATATAGGATGCTACCATATTGTTGCGACAAAATCTTATCCCCATGGAAAATATTTGGTCCAAGAATGCACTGCGGTGAGGACTGGATCATGTACTTCTGGATCCACCTTTGCTCTAGATGGATGTGAAGAGTCCAGATCTGAATCTCACCTATAAGCTCTCTGGGCTGATTTTGAGTAGTTTGAGATGTTGCGATGCATACCTTTCCATCTATCTCTTTGATCCAGTACTGATGAGGACCATAAAATGCGAAATCTTCAAGTACTACTGTTGGCAGTTGTATCCGTCCAAAACTTTCTCTGCTAAGATCAAAGGAGATGACTGCATGCTGCCAACTAGCTCCCTGGTCTTCAGTTAGCCAATACATTATTCCATCAACGTTGACTACTCCAGAGTTCTTCACACAGTTCAAGCTTAGAGCTTCTGGGGATCCTACATCTTTCCATTTCTCATCACCAAGTGTGTGAACTTGAATGGCATAGAAGCTGTCTTTTGCACGGGGGTGAGCCTTACGGCTATCACCAAGGAAGTGTGTGACCTTGTATTTTTTGGTCACTGGACGAAATCCAAAGCTGTACAACGAGGAATAATCACCAGCCAAATTCTTTGCAGGTTTCTCGAGATGTAGGCATCCACCAGTTGCAAGGTTTATTATCTTGATTGTTGTTGTCTGTGTGTATAAGCAAACAAGCCCAATATTGGATGAACCACAAAGGAAATCATCTGGCCCAATCACTGGCACTGCCAATGTTGACTGTGAAAAGGCTTCATCAATGAGGACAGAATCACTAGGGTGCTCACTTGAAACTGACTCTCGAGAGAAGAACAGGAGCGCACAACGGGTCGCAAGCATGAGGTGCGATGTTACAAAATTGGGATATCAGATTATGCTGTGCCACTGCTTGCAAACACCACTGCATCTCAACAAAGTTTTCACCGGAAGGCTCAATCAGGTCTTTCGGGAGGCAGTCGATGAAGCATTCTAATTTCTATTGCTTACTTTACTTGATTCGGATTTCTCAGGAACCATAGTGACAACAATCTAATCCCCCAACATAGTGAACTAGACAATCCTTCTGCAAAAAAGGAACATCTTCAAGATGCTGATTGGGCATGCAGCATAGAGAGTACAGATTGAACTTACACGCAAAAATAACACAGAATATATGCAATCCATGATTAATTCATTTTTAGTTTCATCTACTAAACAATTGATAAATAAATAATTCGTTAGCATCTCCAACATTATGCCCGCAGCAAAAAAAAAAAAAAAAAACTCTAAACTAAAATAATCCCAAAATCCTGACCCTTCAGCCAAATGATTTATCACTATCGCCACAAAAGAAGATTTTTTATTAAATTACCATTCCCCTTTCCTCTCTAACTCAAGAAAAAAAAACAGACACCATTTTTACCACTCTACAAAATTCAGATGATGCTTACTACTCATCATCGCGCCCGTCGAACCCTAGCCGCCATTACAGACGGAGAAAGAAACAAAACAGCCGAACCATCCCAAAATCAAGCACGCGATGAGCGCTCCACGGGAGCAAAGCCGGCGAGGGGAGAGGATGGGAGGGAGACTTACGGGAGCACGATCAGATGAACTCCGCGCGCAGCCGCCGCCATTGGTGGGTGGGAGCTCTCCTCCTCCTCCTCTCCTCCGTCGGGTGGTGTGGGCTTCCGCGTCCCACGGCCCAGCCAACGGCCCACCTGGCCCAGTCGTCGCTTCCTCTCTCCGCCAAAAATACGCTTTCGCTTCGGGCTTGCGGGTTTCTTCGGCTCGCGCGCTGTACTGATTCCGTTTTCCCTGATAGCTGACGGGTTTTATAGAATACGCCTCCGGAACTGGCAGAGGGGAACGGAAGAGTCTCCTTGTAGAGGTTGGTAGCCTAGGTAGGTCTGCGTCCCGTGGTAGGAGCATCTCCAATAGTCTCTCCAAATGTCTATTTGGCCAACTCTCTATTTAATTTAGCAAATCAAATTGTCTTTTACTCCAACAGCCTCTCCATTCGTCCTCTTTATTCTGAGTCTATGACAATTGGGCCCACATGTCAGCCTCTACACCTCCTTTTTTTCTCTCACCTTTCTCCCCTTCTCTCCAAACCCTCCTTCCCTCTCCCATCCGCCGCCGCCGCCCTATCCCCATCCCCACCGCCGCTCGGGCTGCGTCGCCATCCACCGCCGCCGGGGGCTCTACCCGCCGGTGCTGCTCTCTTCGCTGGCGGTGGTGCGGCGATGCGAGGAGGCGGGCGGCCGCGCGCGGTGGTGCGGCGGCACGGGGAGGCAGGAGGCGAGACGCCGGCGGCTCGCAACGACGACCTCGACGCCGCTTGGGGTGGAGCTCGGTGGCAGCTGCTCGCGACGACCTCGACGGCGGATCTAGAGGGGCCGGCAATGGAGCTCGGGGCGGAGCTCGGCGGTGGCGGTGACGGTGGCCGGCCGCGGCGATGACGGGGCGGCGGTGCCCGACTGCGGCGACGACGGCGCCCTCGTCACATTTGCGTGCCGCACTGCCACGTGGAGAGAGAGGGGGAAACAGGCGTGGGTCCCACATATGGCTAGCCGGTTTTGGCTGGCCAACTTTGGCTAGTCTAGTGGGGAATTTAGCCAGCCGGATGGCTTGGAGAGGCATTTAGCTAGTCTGTTGGAGTAGATTTTTTGTGCAAGTTAGCCAAATTTTAACTTGGCGAGCCATTTGGCTAGGCTCTTGGAGATGCTCTAACTGTGATAATAAGGCCTCAAGTTTATCAACAGCTTCATCTCCTTGCATCCGAGCTCAAATCTGCATATGCTTCTCGCCTGGTAAATCATGGGAAAACGCATTGCCTGTGTTCGCATGAGCGGGATGGGAACTTATTCCCTTCGCACGGAAAACGAAACGATCCATTAGCACATAAATTAATTAAGTATTAGCTAATTTTTTTTTCAAAAATAGATTAATTTGATTTTTTAAGCAACTTTCGTATAGAAACTTTTTTAAAAAAAACACACCGTTTAGCTATTTAAAAAGCATGCGCACGAAAAATGAGGGAGAGGGGTTAGGAACAAGGGTTGCAAACAGGCCGGTTCATGGACGGAGACCTGGATGCTGTATTCCAGGGACCACTTATGTTCAGACTGAATTTGAAGAACCCAAACATCCAATTCTTTCAGAAATTTCTGCATTGTAGCGGCGACACCGGGGGACATTGGCTGTGGAATGGAGTGGTCACAAGACACACCTTGCCATCTACTCCTTTTTTTTATATTAGGGTGAATAGCTAAAGTGGTTCTCCAAGTTTCACTGAAGCTCAGTTTAGTCCTTGATGTTTTAATCTATCCATATTAGTCCTTCAAGTTTTCATTTTAGTTCAAACTTATCCTTAAACCAACAACTCTTTTCATAAATGACACTTATACCCCTCATCATTCACATATATAAGAGAGAAATTGCATGCTTAAATTTTTTATAGATAATACATAGTATATTATGTAAAACGAAAAAAAAAATATGTACTAGCAAGTGTATATGATAGCAATTGCTTAAATTTCATGTGCATATGTTGAAATAATGGGAAGTAGATCTGTAATATTGTTTATTCATGTTGTCTTTCTTTTTTCTAGTATATAGATGTATACAAATTAAGGGCAAAAATGATATTTTTTAATAGAAATATTGACTAGAAATAGCCATATGGCATATTAAGTGGACCCAAGAATGATTTCAAGCCAAAACAAATATTCGAAGGATCTATATGGACAAAATGAAACGTGAAGGACCAAATTGAGCCTTCGCTGAAACTTGAGGGACTAAATTAGCTATTCACCCTTTATATTATAAGTCGTTTTGATTTTTTTTTTCTAATCAAATTATTTTGGGTTTGATAAGTTTATAGAATAAATTACCCGAAGCCTGACGAGTATCTCCTCGATAACATCTGGTGTCATTCTTATGGCAGGAGTTGCCATTGGGTGCAGTACAGACAACAGTGTTTAGACCAGTGTCCATTACAAGCACCTTTCCTCTCGGAAGGTTGCCAAGTCCTGTAGAAAAGCTAATTAAGGATGAAAATGTAAGCCACAAAACAGAAAGGAAGATACAAGCATCTGTTATCAATGGATGACTAAACCATGGAATCACATTTTACCTTGTAATCTTATCTGAAACAAGTCTTTTACCTTGTAACGAAAGAAAGCACTTCCTCACTAATCACATCTTATTTAACTGAAGAGAGGCAATATGCATTTCTTTTGAATAATGAACTATGGTAACTTGTAGTTAACCCTCTATACATGATAAAGAAATAGCGATGTTTTAGTACTCTCTATTTATAATATTATACTATCAGTTGAAATGATCTGAATTGTTCGTTATTAAAGTTAACTTAGTAATTTACTAATATAATGGTTAGGGGTAACTTTATCATTTATATTTTTTTCCGGCTAAATCGATCTACGGTCATTCATTGTGATGGCATCGCTCATATTCCATCGAAAAAACCTAAAAAGAAGGGGAAAAAAGGTTTGGTCGAGGCTAAATGACGATTATACATCTCCATACTTCTTTTTTTCAATAGCGCCTCTCCACGTTTATACTACCACTAACTATGATGGTAGTATAATTAGATCCGAACCATTTAATTAAATAAGATCAACAGTAACCCAGTTATTTTACCGAAATTTCCTCCGATAAAAGAAAAATGCCATCTGCTGCACCAGAAGAAATACGTATCCCTGCTAGTACTGCTAGTCTACCACACGTAGTATTCGCTGATCCACTCGCCTACCCACTTGACCACTCACCACAGCGGCAACTCTCTCCCTCTATCTCCTTCTGCCGCCATGGTTGGATCCAGCTACTGATCGAGCCATCGTCGTCGTCGGACGTCCATTTCACGGCCTTGTTTTCACGCGTCAGTCGTAGTCGCCCTCGTCCTCATCTCCATCCACCTCAGACGCTCTCTGATGATGTGTCGACACACACGCACACACGTCGCTGCCATCACCCTACAAAAGCGCAAAACGACCGGTCGCTTGCAGTAGTAGTACCGCCACTTGCGTCCTTGACGGAACGTACCCAAACATGCTTCCCCCAAGTGGGCGGTCTCGTATTTTCGCTTATTCTTACGTTTATTAATTAGAATTTAAATTTTTAACAGTTGATTTTAAGAACTTTTTTATCAAAGTTTATTTTTTAGCTATTGTTTTTAGATCGCTAGGAACACGTATGTAGAAGTTTTATTCACAAATTATTTTCGTTTATAAATATGCCGTTTGGCTGTTCCTATAAAGGCATCCACAATGTAGTCTAAAATTAGTTCATAAGTAATAAAATATTTTATTCAGCCACCTAACCACATTGTGGAACTAATCCATAGCAAGAAAATAGCAAAAGTCACCCATAAACATATGGGTTCCCCGTATAAAATAAAATATTTATTTATCTCTATTTTCTCTCCTCCTAATACTAGTTGCTATCTTTATACTTCCTCCGTCCAAACAACAAATCTAGAACTGGACGTGATATATTCTAGTACGATGAATCTTGACAGATATATGTCCAGATTCGTAGTACTATAATGTGTCACATCTAGTACTATATTGGTTTTTTATAAAACAAAAAGAGAGTATATTGTGAAGATAGCAATAGTTATCTATATTAACTATTTTTGTTATATACATCTGCTCTCATAAGCGAAACAATGGGGACAGGGCTTGGCTGCCTCGTTCACCTGTCACCGGTACCGGCGCCGCCCGAGACTCGGATGCTCCACGCCCGCCGCTGCCGGCGGCAAACCGGCGACCAATTCTGTTCCACCGCCGGCGAGAGGCGGCCGACCCCGCCGCCGCGCATTGGCCCCGCGCGACGGCGACGGCGATGGCTGCTGCTTCCTGCTCCTGATGGTTTGCCAGGTTCACCGCTCCGGGACACAAGACCAGTCCACCACCACCACGACGTCGCTCTCCAGCACGAGACGAGCCACGTGGCGACCACGTGACCTGGCGGGGCGGGGGAGGGGCCCACCTGACCTGCCGCGCTGGGTGCACCGCACCGCACGGGCGGCGGCGGAAAGCAACGCCCGACGCGGCACACGTCAGCGGTCGCGGCTTCGCTTCGTGGGCGCGCGGCCACGTCCCCCCCCCCCCCCAACACTGCAGGCCGGGCCTACCTACATAGCCCACTAGTACGAGCCATGCACCCATCTGGGGGCCCATCTCACCATCCTCCCCTTCTCTCTCACACACCCACCCCTCTCCTTCATGTCCCTCCATTTTCACCCATTGGTAGACGAGGAGTCAGATGACTAAGGAATTATTCGTTTTGCTCGTCGAACCAATTATACCAAATTTTATTAATGCTAAATTTTGATATATTTTAACTTTTATCAAATTTCAGTAGTGTTAGTTTTATTTGTTTGTATAATCCTACCAGTAAAATGCAGCAGAACATCACTCACTCACCAAAATATAGTACTAATATTGAGAATTTAGTAAGGTTGATAGTGAACATGCACTAACCAAAGTCAATGACTATAAACCATACATATTGTTGCATAATTTTATATTTCACCCTTACTGAAACCTTCTAGAAAAAGGTGGTGGCCGGAACGTAACCAGACGCTTCCAAGCCGAAGAAGAAAAAACCGATAGAAATCAAAAGGCAGCATGGATCGATGATAGTGATCAGGAGAAGTATAGACTATAGAGTAGACAAAGCGTACAACACAAGCACCCACTTGACGAGCCCAACAAGTTGGGCAGGCAGGCAGAAAGGAAAGAGAGCAGCAAGCACGGCAACAATGCACGCACGCACGCACGCAGTCATCGGATGCCTCCTATCTATCGCTGTGGATTAGCGCCGCCCACATCATCCCCCATATGTAATTACTCTAATCTAATCTTCTCATCTCGATCTGGTCCACACGGCCAAAATCTCCACCCGGATCTCGCTTAACCGAGTCGTCATTACACTCGAAGCATCCATCCCATCGATTTACAAATTAATCCCCTCCAAGCAATTATAAGCCGGCTAAATACTGAGATGGAAGAGAGAGAATAAGCAAACTGTAAACTTACAGCCGATTTGGACACAAGAACCAAAAAAACTCAATGGAAGAGATAAGTGGACCATGTATTAATTACAAAAAGCTAACAATATATGGGTAGGCTGAGAAGGCTACAAATAACTTTATACCCAATCGGCTGTATTATTAACCTTGCTCTCACTAATCTAATCCTCCTCTGTACGCTAATTAAACTAGTCCCGTTCACATTAGGGGGCGGGGTTCGTTAAATGTGGCTGCGTAATTAGGCGCTAATCACGCCCACCCATGCATGTGCTGTGCCGGTGTAATTAAACAACCACCCAGGACACAACATAGTACATTAGTACTGCATTAGTACCCAGACTTTGATTAATTATATCATCCGGTCGAGATAAATTAGGCAGTTAATTAGAGCAGGTAAAATAACAAGCTATAAGCCAGTTGCAAACATATTTTAAGAAGATAAATCAGGAGAGAGAAGAGCAGCGGGCTACAGATTTATAGCTAGCTGTAGCACGGACTTCAAAACATAGTGTGTCTATGACAGGTGGGATCTTCAGACTTGAGTTCATTTGGTGCGCTTAAAATTAAATTGGCTATCGCAATCTCCGGCCCGAGATCGATGTGAATGTTAGTTTAGGTGAGGAACTAGCTAGCTAGTGGCTCGATCGGCGTATGAACGGAAATTTGCACTTTGAATTTGGCGAAATGGTTACAATATTCGAGTTATTAACCGACATGCTAGTGGAGATGAGCATTTGAAAAATGGGCCAAATCTTCTTCGCGATCCAACCGACTGTTCGAGGCGGTGGCACGCATGGCCTGGCCACGCTTGCTAATCCCCGAGTCAAGCCGGTGGCGAGGTCAAGTTCAGACACAAAACCAACATCAACAATTTTTTTTTGTTGGAAGCGCGTACATCTAGGCAGGCGTGCAGTGATTATATTACTGCCAAGTGTGAGACGAGTGGCAGTTTAATCAGTTAATTTTTCCGGATTAATCACCAGGTCCGAGAAATGGATTTTTTTTATAGATAACATGAACAACTTTATTCAACAAGACAGAATTTAGAGGATATACCCCAGTACATCGCACGAGGATACAACTTAAGCTAAGAAAACCATCTCTATCAAGGTAGAGAGTAATCACTCTAAGAAAGCAAACTTTCTAAAGAGACAAAACAACAGTAGAGAATCAGATTGACAGAGTTGAATCCTTTGGCCTCCATTGATATGCACACCGCTTGACAGACTGGAAGGCTCCTACAACAGTCACCACGATGAGCATTTCATACGCTGTAAGAGCGAGTATAATAGCAGGCTACAAGTTAGCTATAAGCAAGAGAAGAGAATAGAAGAGAGAGGAGAGAGGAGAAAAATGGACTACAGATTTATAGCCGGCTGCAATACGAACTCTAATACGTTATGTATATATAAGAGAGGTGGGACCATATATTAATAGCTTATAGGTAATTATTGTATGAATGGGCTACTCCCTCCATTCCAAAATATAAGGCACAACCACACTTAAACTAAAGACCAAGAAACAATTATTATCACCTCTTTGTTTGAATCATCCCAACTAATATAACACATGCACCCAATAGAATTAAACATCTTGTGATTATAGGATTTAAAAAATAATAGTTTAGGAGAGAGGAGGTGCTATTAATTGTCATATATGCATGCACGTCTTATATTATGAAACACCTTTAAAAAGTGGTTGTGTCTTATATTTTGGAACGGAGAGAGTATTAGATTGGTTATAGATGATTTAGAGCGGTAGTTGGCTATACTATTAATCTAACTGTGAGACGAGTGGCAGTTTAATCAGTTAATTTTTTCGGCTTAATCGCCAAGGTCCGAGAAATGGAGGAGCATTTCACACGCCGTGGCACCGACTCCGACATCGCGTCGCGTCGCGTCGTCTCGTCTCTCTCTCCATCTTATCGCCTCGATCGCCAGCCTCGAGCGACACGGGGAGCGCCGCGGCAGCCGCCGCGTGTGACGCGTCGCGCCCCCGCGGCGTCCCTGCCTCGGCCGGCACCGCCGCGCGGCGCGCTCCAGAGCGCGCGCGCCCACACCCATCGCGTCGCGCCGCGCTCCGCTCCGCGGGTCCCCCCCACGCGCCTCTCGCGGACACCGTTGCGCGCCGCGCGAGCCATGCACGCACGCACCGGACACCGATCGATCTGACGCCGCCGCCTTGACCGGCTCGCGCCGATCGAGCAGACGACGTTGCTGGCGGAAAGCCCAAGAAAAATGACAGACACAAAAACACCTCCGAATTCTCATCACATTTTCGCCGATCTTTGATCTGAATTGTGCCCAAATCCACCAATCATAGCTAACGACGATGGAATTAGAATATGTTCCTCCATTAGTCCGACGCATTCTGCATTTTGTACACATTACATATGATGATTATTTGGATCATTTTAGCTAGAATCTCTGAATAATTGGGGGGCTTCTCTTGAGCCGTGCACATTATTGGACGCCACGAACCAAAGCAAAGCCGAATTATTGGGCGCCCACGAACCGCACATGTGGGATGTCTCCCCCCGTTTGCCGATCCGACGGCCGGATGCTCGTCGGGGAGAGGATCCGACGGCTGGGATGGCCTCCGCGGCTCGCGTCACCCCACCCCGAGCTATAAATGCGGTTCGAGCCACCCCCCAGGCTCTCTCCCACTGTACGCAAACGCTTCCCACCCTCCACTCCTTCGCGTCGATCTCCCCGGAAGAATCGTAAATTACAGATAGGTCCTCGGATCGAGCGGGCTGAGATATTCGAGGGGGTTTGCTGCAATTTGTTGTGTTCGTCGGCGGCGAGCGAGAGAGAGAGAGATGGGGATCTCCAGCATGCCGGCGCCGAAGGATAGCCTCGTGCTGTACGTGCTGTACAACGCGGTGGTGTCGGTGGCGGCGCTGGCCGGCGTGGTGCGGGCGGCGCTGGTGTTCCTGGGGCTCCCCACGCCGCCGTCGCTGCTGCTGCTGCTCGGCGGCGAGGAAGGGGGGGAGGACGCGGCCGTGGCCGTGTCGGTCTCCGCGGCGGCGGCGGCGGCGGGGCCCAGCCTGGCGGACACGTTCAGGGCGAGGTTCCGACCGGCGCGGTTCGGCCACCGGCGCTGCGGCGGCGGCGCGACGGCGGACTGCCGCGTCTGCCTGGTGCGGTTCGAGGCGGAGGCGGTGGTGAACCGCCTCCCCTGCGGTCACATCTTCCACCGCGCCTGCCTCGAGACATGGCTTGACTACGACCACGCCACCTGCCCGCTCTGCCGCTCCCGCCTCCTCGCCGACTCCTCCTCGCCGCCGGCCGCCGCCGCCGCCTTGGCCCGGACTTAGCGAGTGGATTCGATTCGACTCGATTCGATTCTCCGACGAGCCGCCCCGCGCCGGCTACGCGCCACCGTCTCCGGGTGGCCTCCCCGTGTGGGCGTAGGAAACTAGAGAGAGAGCTCTTTGCCTTTTTTGCACTTTCACCCCTCACTTTGTCCCTTTTTTTTCCGTTTCGGGCGGTTTGTGCCTGTACCGTGTAAATACCTCGCAGCAAGAGAGTGCTCCTACGGGTGTAGCACTTTTTGTGAGCTTTGTGTATAAAACCTTCTCGGAATAGCAACCAAAAAAAGAAAAAATCGCATTTACACTGTTATTTATTTATTTATTTATTTATTGAATTTCATGCAAATGATATTGTGGAGTACATAGAGGAGAAATGATTTTTTTTTTGGGGGGGGGGGGGTTTCTTCCGGAGAAACGGCAAGGAGAAATGATAGAGTAATGGAGTCAAGTGGACGGGTTGGTTACTTGATGGGGTTTTTTTTTTGTGATGAGAGAGGGGAGGGGGGAGACAAGGCGCTGAAAGGCACGGCAGCGGGAGCGGTTGTTTATGCGCGCGGGTCACATGGATACGTGCCTATCAACGTGGGGCCCACCCCCACCCCCGGTGCGTCCGTCCGCATCGCCCGCTGGCACATGCGCCCCCCAACCGGATTCGGTTCCTCTGCAGCAGTGTTCTTGGTGTAACAGTAACTTAAGCGGCCGTACTACGGCTGTTCAGATGACATCCAACGGCTGAGATTATTAATTAGTGAAGACACTGTTTGCAACAAATAAATAAATACTCCCTCCTTCCCTAAATGTTTGACGCCGTTAACTTTTTTAAACACGTTTGACCGTTCGTCTTATTCAAAATTTTTTGTAAAATATGTAAAATTATATGTATACATAAAGGTATATTTAACAATGAATTAAATTGTAGGAAAAGAATTAATAATTGCTTAAATTTTTTGAATAAGATAAATGGTTAAATATGTTTTAAAAAATCAACTGCGTCAAACATTTTGGGATTGAGGGAGTATGTTTATAATAGCATTGGGACTGTAGCACTCAATCTAAACCGTTTCTTGAAAAAAGAGAAAAAAGAGAGAGGAAGGGATGAGATAGCACACAGTCACTAACTTGTAGTTGTAGTAGTCACCGCATGTGATCTCAATCCCCTGCAACCTTGTTCTTTCTTCCTCCTCGCTGCTCATCCCTATCTCCTTCCCCTGGCACAACATGATCCATTTTTTTTGAGAGCTTTGAGATTCTAATAAGCAAACTATGAGTAGCTAAATACTACTCTCTCCCTATCCCAATTTAATCATTATCTAAGCAAATAGAGCAATTTAATCATCACTCTGAAATTAATCTTCATCGATCAAGATGCTATGTTGCTTCGTGTCCCATAGGTTGCATTGTGTTTTAAGTATTGCATGGAGGTGCACCAATAAAAAATAATCTTGGCTGGTTGCATACAGCGTATTCAATGATACCTATTTACCTTTTGCATAAATAGACGAAGAGAATGATCACATGATGTTCATTTTGGGAAGCAGGACCAAATCTTAGATGATGATTAAATTGGGATGAAGGAAATAACAAGAATTTATAAGTATTTAGTTTCTTTGTCTATCACTTCTAGTTTGTTTATGGATTCTTCATAATAATAAATTCTTAAAATCTTTATGGGATTTTAAAATATTTTAGGAGCTGAAGATTCTGGAAGAAATTACAGCTGGTAAAAGCTTCTTAAATATATATAATCCTCGACAATCCCCTTTGATCTTATGTATAGGGTCTCAGAAATGTCTTTGATACAAGTATATTGATCTTGTGCATAGGGTCTAATAAATTGTTTGCCGATGAATGCCGCTTGGGAGCGGTAATAGTTGGCGGTAATTCCAAATTCGACAAAATTGCTCTTGATTATCGCTCGATAATCAAATGAAAACCAGTAAAATTCGAATAATATTTGCTAGAAGTTTGAATTCCAGTTCGATTCCAGAGGATTTTTGTCAATTTGTTGATCACTGCTGCTCGAAAATTGATGTAAACAAGTGAAATTCAGATAATTCTTAACAGAAAATTGAAACTTAATTTTTTTCTATAAAGGCGATGGTTTACTGAGTGGTTTCCCATGCGAGCCGGAATGAATAAAGAAAACGTAAATACCAACCGGTGGTTCTACAAACTTTGCTCGAACTCCCTCTATTCCAAAATATAGAGCACAACTACTTTTTAAAAATATTTTATAATATAAAGCGTGTATGCATACATGGCAATTAATTAGCATCTCTTCTCTCCTAAATTATTATTATTTAAATCATACACTCACAAAATGTTTAATTATATTGGGTGCATGTATTGTATTAGTTGGAATGATTCAAACAAAGAGGTGATAATAATTGTTTATTGGTCTTTAGATTAAGGGTGGTTATGCCTTATATTTTGGAATGGAGAGAGTATCAGGTATAGATAATTATACGGTAGTTTATTCAGGAAGGCCATAAAACGTACTTTGCTCCAAAATATTCAAAATTATATTTTAAAATAGAGGAGTAGCTAATTGTACATTTTCTTTTAATACATGGATGGTGAGATGGTAGATGCTTTCGATGCAAGTTGCAGCTTTGCAACCAGCCTTGATCCTATCTCTTTGCATGAGATTTGCTTCGGTTGATTTTTTTTTTGTCAAATGATATTTATTAACATGATTTAGTAATAGCAAACATAAGATGCTCTCTCTGTAGTACTGTTCATTAATATGCAAGTCAAAGAGTAATTAAGAGTTAAGACCTAGGGTCTATTTGGTCCAACTTCAAGCTCTATTACTTTTGATTTTTTTTTCGAACGGCCAAACAGGTTGCTTGGCGTTATATTAATAGAAGGAGATTAAGTACACAGCAAAAACTGAAGAAAAATGAAAAACTGTACATTGCTGACTGCAAACATGTTTGCACATCAGTCCACCTTGCACCTCATGGCAACAATCTCGCAACGTGCTTTGCGCCGACCAAGCTCCAACAACCTAACTCGTCCTGAATTTAGTTGATTATTTGATGGGTTGTCGCTTCCTTGCCTCAGAACATTCTCGCATTTCTTTCTCTCCAGATTTCCTAAGCAACTAGCAGGAAGATTGATTTGAGCCCTTTGTGTTTTGTTGCTTCTGGATCGCTTGTTCCTTGCGTCCATCAATCTAGCAGATCCTTGCTAGTGCTCCACCTCGGGATGATGTGCCCTTATCGTAGCCAATGGAGCACGTCAAACCAGACTTGCTTCGAGACTAGGCATTCGAATAGCAGGTGGTTGATGGTTTCAAGGTTTCAAAAGCATAACTGGCATAAGTAATTGTTTGGCCACCCCCTGATTTGCAAACTATTTGCTATCCATACCTGATTTTGAATCGCAAGCCAACTGAAGATCTTGCATTTTGCTGGGGCCCATGCCTCCCAAGATAACGTTGCTGACGGCGGGGTTGTCATTATCTCAAATTGGTAAAGATAGGCAGATTTTGCGCTGTATTCCCCATTTACCGTCCATCTCCAAGTAATCAAATCCTCTACTCCTTCTATCAGTTGTGGGCATTGAAGTGCTAAGACCTCCCAGATCTTTATGTATTCTGAAAGAATGGTGATAGTGAGGTTATGATAGATGTCATTTATCCACCTTCCATGTTGCAAGGCATCATGTGCTGTGTGGCTTTTCCTATTGGAGTGCCTGAAGTGGTTCGGCGCTAGACTTTTGAACCTATGTCCGCCAATCTAGTTGGATTCCCAGAAGTTCGCCTTTCGCCCATCCCCAATAACGACTCTAGTCGATACCGCAAACAATTCCTTATCAAGATCATCACATGGTGTTTCGGTTCTTATCCAGGGTTTATTTGGCGCCTTCCATTCATACCTAAGCCATCTTAGTCGCAAGGCTCTAGCAAATTTTTCCAGGTTGGGAACTCCAAGACCGCCATAGCAGAACCTCATTACTTTGCATTTGCGCCCCACGTATTTCCTCATTACCGACCCAAAGGAAGCGTCTTCTTGCTTTGTCGATTTCTTGAAGAAATTGTTTTGGCGGCTTCAACACCGTGAGGACATACGTTGGGATGGAACTTAGCACCGAGTTGACCATAACCCGGCGCCCTCCTATGTACAACATCGATGGCTTCCAACCTGATAGGCGGCCTTTGATCTTATCATGCACCGGCTGGAGATGTACCTTGCGAGAAACCTAACCAAATGATTTCAGCTTCACGAGCTAGCTAGAGTGATCTCACAAAATAAAACAAGAGGGCTAAAGTTGGATTTAGGTAGCTTCACAACTCCATTTTATATTCAACTCTTAAAGTTAAATTTAAAAGTTACTCCCTCCGTTTTAGGTTATAAGACGTTTTGGTCAAAGTCAAACTAATCTAAGTTTGACTAATTTTGTAGAAAAAAGTAGTAATATTTTTAACCTAAGACAAATATATTATGAAAATTATTCAATTATAGATTCAATGAAACAATGCTGGTGTTGTAAATATTACTACTTTTTTCTATAGAGTTAGTCAAACCTAGAGTAGTTTGACTTTGACCAAAGTCAAAATGTCTTATAACCTGAAACGGAGGGAGTATATATGGTTGTGTTTAGTTCCTTCCAAAGTTAAAAGTTTGGGTTGAAATCGGTATGATGTGACTGAAAAGTTGTGTGTCTATGATAGATCGATGTGATGAAAAAGGTTGGAAGTTTGAATTTAAAGTTTAAATCTAAACACAGCCTATGTTAATGAGCGGTGATGCAATCATGCAAAGAACCCATATGTCCAATAACAAAGGAGGTGCTCCAGTACATACTCCTACGCACGTACTAGCAGCAAATGGTCGTTGTCAAACCAAGTTTGCAAGTTTGTTGCGACGTCGAATTCAGGTTGACATCTACGACTTGTCCAGCGTCAGCGTCGGCCGATCGTACGGCCTACGCAGCTGTAAAACCGGCGATAAGTATTGTGTGCATTATTTTGAACGAGACGGTTCCAGTTCTATTGATAGAGTAGCAAAAAATTACAAGATTACATCTTTGGAGGGTCGTAATCAGGAAAAGAAAAAAAAAACCACCTCCCGCACACCGGACCGGCCGCCGCTAAGCGTGACCGACCGCCGCTAGACCAACAAAGGAACACAGACAAGATCGCCCTCTAAGGGATGCCAAAAACGACGTCTTCAAGAAGAGAAGCGACGGAAAAAAAATCGCCGCCGCCGTCCATCGGGGCTCAAAGGAGCCGAGACTAGGCTTTTGCCCGGCAACCGCTCTTGAGAGGTGAGGCAATACGACAACGCCCTCAAGAGGAGAAATAAACCATC